GACGCGAATCAAATACCTTGACAGTTTATGTACACAGATGTCTTGTACCCAAATAGTAAAGCAATTTAATGTATTGTTTTTTCATCTAATTGAAGTATTGTGAATGTGTATTAAAAAATAAATGAAAATGTCTTAGTACAAACGACAAATTATTTGGGGATATATATTTTTTTTATTCGAGTTGGAATAAGTTAAGTCATGTGGGCAGTAGTAGTCTGTCATACAGACCCTGAAACAAATATATCCAATACAGCCCATGCAAGTCTATAATGTTTGGCAAGTCTAGATTACTGCAGTATCCGGAAGAAAGTCTCTGGGTTATAAGTTAACAACTGTTTTTTTCTGTAAAATATATATACAGTGTGACCTTTTTGTCAATTTGTATCAACAAATCAACCGAAATTGTACCCTACTCGTTTCATTTAATGCTGTTGAATATCTTAAATATCTTAAGACAAGTACACGGCAAATGCCACAATATGTATATGTAAGATGAAAAAAAGAAGAAGAAGGACTCATAGCAAGCAAACACCTGATTACTGCAGATAAACCAAACCACCTTGGTACATTCGTGACCAACTCATGATATTCCCGGACAAACCCAATAGCGACTCGTGCCCCTCTCGTGGCCATTTTTGCGACTGGGTTCCGTCTAAGCGCAAACGGGCATAGGTAAAGGAATGGCACGTAATGATTTACGTATATTTCCCCTATATATCATATATATTCCAAATGCAATTCGGGACTTACAGTATTATACAGTGTGATTGAACAAATTTAACTGTATCTTGGGCGTATTTTTAAATGCAAGACATGTTACATTAAACATTATTCCTGAGGGATTCTTTGACCGGAGTACTTGAAGTCAAACGCGCTTTCTTGTTGGTTTGTCGTATTTACGCACATAACAGTCATCGATAGGGGGACGAGTCTTCTTGCAGGTTACGGAAAGGGCCTAGTGGTCACGAATGCACCTTGGTAATGGCGAAATGCATACTAGGGGACGCAACTCCATTTCAGATTTTATTCTTTTCCCACCTTTGGGTACACCAGAGATATTCTATTTTATGGTCTCTGCGTAAACATATTGGATTGGATCAAATGGCAAATTCATGACTTCCTCAGCAATAGAAGCCAGTATGATATTTCACACATTAAATGTTTTGGGTGTCCACGAAAGTTTACATTACTTTGTATAGTGTATACTGTTAATGGAATATGTGTCTCATAACCCGCTCTGGGTGGCATTTGTACGTCATGGTACTTGTCTTAAGTTTTTGAGTGATACGTGCTGTAGAAATGGCGAGAATACACTAAACTATTTTGTATTGTATTGTCGTCTGTATTTTATCTTCTTTTTAGCTGTTATTAAAATATGTCCCACTGCTGGGATTCGAACCCTTTCACATCGCATGACATTTCACTAATGATTCTCAACTAGCTACAACTGTATCTTTATGGACAGTAGGTAAATATTTCTAAATCATAGTTTATTTTTTTATAAATTATTACTGTCCGCGTGAGGTATCCATATTTTAATATATCTTTACTTACACAGAGATGTCGTATTCTGATTGGGTGGGACCCATTCTAGTATTTTCAATGTACCCCGCATTTTCAAATACCAAATCTCCTTTCAAGTTTAGGTGGGTTTTTTTATATATCCTTTACATTGACGCATCTGTCAACTCAATGCAAATACCGTAGTTCAAATGATTTTCTACACCCCACAACATAAAGTTTGTTTTGTTATAACAAAAGATTTGAAGAAAAACACATTTATTTCAAACCTTTTAACACTGGTATTTTTTGTTCTCAAGCTTTCATTTGTGGTTTCATAGACCAACGTCGCCAATAAAGTTGATGGTTAGTTGTCGGAACCAACTGTAGGTCAAGGGAGATAACTCCAATTGCGAACACCACGGACAGCAGTTGGTATTTCGATGTTGAGCAAATAAGAGTTCTAATCTCTCTACAAACGTAGATATGTCATTTCTGCAAATCGTGTTTTTTTTCTTTCCTCGCGTAAATTTATTACTCATTGCTTGCAATGTTTCGTGAAAATATTGAACAATTGTTATATAGTATCCTTACATAATGAGCCTATGAAGGTGTTCAACTTGAGTAGCTTAGCTAAATTGTTTGAAACATATTTTATTTGTTTAAATTCCATTCTCGATTATCCAGTATACCATATCTCCATTCTATAATGATGCATACCCTTGACACATTCGTTTTGGAAGTGATGTCACTACAACGAACCCTCGCTACAACGCTACCTTTGGGGTCCACATTATTGGGACCCGTCAAGATCCCGGGAAGAATAGGTCTTCAGCAACCCATGCTTGCCGTAAAAGGCGACTATGCTTGTCATAAGCGACTAACGGGATCGGGTGGTCAGGCTCGCTGACTTGGTTGATGCATGTCATCGATCCCAATTGCGCGGATCGATGCTCATGATATCAATCACTGGATTGTCTGGTCCAGACTCGATTATTTACAGACCGCCATCATATAGCTGGAATACTGCTGAGTGCAGGCATTAAACAACAAACAAACAAACAAACAAACAAACAAATCTTACGACCAACAAAATCATGTCCTCCAAGGTCAAGAGCATCTGCCCCGAGAGCGGAAGGTCAGTGGTTCAATCCCTCCCCGCGTGATACCAAAAGACGTTTAAAGATGGTACTTGTTGTTACCCTGCCTGGTGCTCGGCATAAAGGGACAAAACTAGGACTGGTCGGCTGGGAGTCAGTATACTGTATCTGAGTGGGGTATCCATGTTAAACTCCAGTGTGCTGTCTCTGGGCTAGCACTATAAAGCTGGCATTATTCCAAGCAGCCACACAGACAGGGTCCTCACACTAATACACAAGACAGAATAAGTATTGTATGGTAGAAGATAGTTTATTGTTGATATTTCAATATATACACCAACTACTTCAACCAATCAGGCTTCTTACAAAATATCCTATTATCCTTCCATCCCATGCATTCTTACATACTTAAATAACAGTAATATAAACATACATACATACAACCAACAAAAGAACAATATTAACAGGAATATTGTGATATGGTATACCAGATCAAGCCAGGAAATAAATACTTCCATCAACACATTTCAGTGTCCAAAGAATAGTCAAGAGACTTGCATTCAGTCTATCTTAGTGAGTTAGGTGGATTTTATGCCACTTTAAGCAATATCAGTCCATCCTAACACCTCAACATATCCTGCCTATTAGTCACTACCTTCTTGGGGGAAACATGTTCACTTTTCATTTGAAAGTTATGACATTATTAATAGTGAATTCCTGCCTAAATAAGACAAAATTAGGGTTAAAAAAATAGAAAAGTGTTGGTTTTCATGCCAAAACTCTAGATGACATCATCTCAAGTCTGCCAGAAGACAATTTATTTCTGGCAGCAACTAAATTTTTCCTGCTTGAAAAACTATCTGCCTGTGAAAAACAATTATTTCAACAACATCGCCAGATAATTGATGTTTTTATCAACATGTGTTCCTGATCCACATGAGTGGTACGGAATGCTGTATTCCCTAATAACCTTCAGATTGCAACACTACAGGGACATACACTAAGGCCCTACATCTAGATACTGGTGGATTGTTACGCCTACATGTAGACAAAGTTAGATCCTATAGGTAAAAACAGGTAGTCCCTTGGGTTAGACACAGTAATGACGTACAGGAAAGTACAGTTTGGTACAACAGGTAGATACAGGTAGGCCCTATAGGTTATTAAAGGTAGTCTCCACAGGTAGATACAGTTAGGCACTATCCATATATAACCCACAGTTTGGCCCGACAGGTTGATACATATAGGCCCTATGGGTAATTACATGTAGATCCTACAGGTAGACAAAGGTAATTAAAGGTAGTCTCTACAGGTAAAAATAGCTAGGCCATATAGTTAACTACAGGTAATCCCTAAAGGAAGAAGCTGATTTCTCTTTACAAGTGGATACAGGTAGGCCCAAAAGGTAAATACAGGAAGTGCCTTCAGGTAGACAGAGGTAGGCCCCATTCCTACAGGTAGACACAGGTATACTATACATACAGGGTCTGCTTCCAGTAATGCCTATATAACAGACACAGGTGGCCCAGTGGTACAAGGTGCCTCAACTTGAGGTTTCCCTTGACCGCTGGGTATTGGTTTGATCCCTAGTCTGGTCAAAAACCGGCTCCACTCTGGGCTTTCCCCACAGAAAGCTGTAGGCATCACAACTCGTTGGCAAGTAGGCATTAGTAGAGGAAAGCCATCAAGGCTGCCTCCAAGTGGCTATAAGTGTGTACACAGATAAATCTAGGACAACAATAAACTGGGCAACTCCCATCCACATCAATGAAGGTGGGATAACTAACATTCCTACGACTGAAAAGAAAGGGGTACATTTATTGCAGTTCTATCTGGCATTAACCCATATATAAATGAAGCAGTGAGATTTATTGACAAATGTTCCACTTTGAAGTACGAATAGTGAACCATGATGATCATGACTGGCTACTTTGATAACTTCCCTGTCCTTGTCTTTCATGGTTCATGTTCAGATTCCAGAGAGGCGATGTGAGCGTAGGCTACTCAAATTGCTCTTCCATATTTTGGTTAAAACAAATATATTCCAGAAAGACAGATAAGATAGATAATAACACCTTTATCAAGCAAGTGATAAAGGTGATAGTCGGCTTGATAAAGGTGTTAGGATCTACACCGAAACGTCGCACTAATTGTAATAAAGAAGTTGTTCATTCATAGAACTTGTCTTTCTTCATCACACCAACTTCTAAATGCCACTCAAAGAAGAAATATATTCAAATCATTTGTTTGTAGAGTGTTTGTTGTTTGACGCAGCATTTAGCAATATTCCAGCTATATGACAGCAGTCTGTAGATAATTGAGTCTGGACCGGGCAATACAGTGATTGACATCATGAGCATCAATCCAGGCAAATGGAATACGATGACATGCATCAACCAAGTCAGCAGGCCTGACCACCCGATCCTGTTAGTCGCCTATTACGACATGCATAGTCGCCTTTTCAGACAAGCATAATATCCTCATTAGATGAGAGAGGTCTGTGAAGAACTACCTCAGTAAGTCAGTCATAGATTGCTTCAGTGACCACTACAAATAACAGAAAATGCTTACCAGCTTGTACTTGTGAGCTAATAACCCCTGGTAAAGTTATTATGTCGTGGGAATGTGCAGAAAGAATGCACGAATCATGCAATTGTGCAGCCTAGATCTATCTGTGTGTGTATTGAAGGTATATTGCACTTTGCAGTAGACATTTAAACATGGAACTTCTCATTGTCAACTCTCATGACGTGGAAATGATACAGAGGTGCACTGGAAGTGTTAGAAGTCCCATGTGACATTCAGTCTGAGATCAAGTTACACCAGTGATACATCTGAGCAAGGTGGCTGTTGTTGCTGTACATTGAGCTGACACACACCTCATGTGGCAAATAGTTCTCACGGACCTCAACCCCTGGAATTTTTAATTATGCCAGACTTAATTATTTTCTTCAATGTATTTGGGCTCAAACTTCAATTAGAAGAGGATTTTTTAAAACAAGTTAGCCTAATATCAACTTTAGATTCTTAATTCTTTTACTTTGCATCCTACCTGGAATATTTACAAAGAAAATCATGTATGGAGCATAGGAGTAAATGATCTATCTTAATGTGTTTGCTTACCGAGCTGGTTATAGTAGTAACAAGATGGTTGTACGGTGTTGTTTTATGTTTAACCAGCTGTACAATTTATTATTATTCCACGATACACATCCATAAAGCTATTGATACAAAGCTTTTTGCAGTGTTCTGGAATTACTGAATTGTGTGTGTGGTGGGGGGGGAGTCAAGAAAAAGAAATAACACAAATTTATTATTTTCTGAAAGACATGAAACCTGAAATGTTCTGCATAATCCTGACTATTATCAGATTATTACACCGGAACTATACACTGATCCTACACTACTGTTAGACTATCTCTAATGTAATACTGACCAATGGCTATCTTACAAAACATGACCAAAACATACCAAGTGAAGAGGACATAAAATCCATTTTAAGTCTGTATATATCCTCATTAATCCCAAAACATTCACAGACCATTTATTTCAGTAGTGCCACATGTCCAAATCTCAGCTTGGATACAAGTTAACATCCTTGACAATACAGTGTATGTTATCTCCATTGTATTACCATATATCCCCCAGACCCATTCCCTACCATAGCATCATCTAGGAAGTGATGTTATTGTCTCCATCAGTCCGATCAGAAACTACTCACATTGCTTGTCAGTGTAATTGGATTGAGTCAGACTCAAAACGAGGGTATTGTGGTAATTGGATCCTGTGTATTCATCAAAATAAAATTGAGATTTATATAATACACTGGATTATCAAGGATGATCAGTTAAATGAAATAAGAATCCGGAGATGTTTTCAGTGATTTCAGATTAATTCGGTGAAAGTGGAAAGACTGACCTGTGTCACGGTCAAGGCCATGGACAAATGAAATTGTTCTGGTTTATCATAAATAACCCACCAACTGAGCCCAACTCTTTACAGGTTTGTGAAAACTAAATCATCAACACAGTGCTTGTGAAACAAAAAATAAAAAATTCAGTTCAGACATTTTTGTACTTAAGCAACAATGCCATAGTGTTTAGTCGGTTAACAAGGGCAAGAGAGAAATAAATGTCCTTTTGTTTACCTATTTGCTGAGAATCATATTCCTTCAAATTCATATTTGTCTTACAATGATTGTGATAAAGTTGCTTAACTGAAATATTCAAATATAAAAATAAATAAACAGAATCTCTAAGTCATTCTCCAGCTGATGTTATTCAGCTTGAAACATGATCATAGCCGGCTCCACCGACGTCGATGTTGCCTGGGGTGTGGCGGCCACTGCTGCTGATGTTGCTGCAGTCTCTATTGTCTCTGCCGTCGTGAACTGAGCCTGGCCAGCCGCAAGTTGCTGAAACAGACCGAGGAAGATTGTACTGTACAGTGTACAATTATAACACATTCGGGTCTTCATGACATTTTTCAAAACTGACGGGGTTGGTAGGGAGGATATATGTTGTCATTGTTGACTGTTAGTGTTAGAGTTGTGTGTTTGTTTGTTGTTTAACGCCGGGTGGTCAGGTTCGCTGACTTGGTTGATGCATGTCATCGATCCCAACCAGGTGGATCGATGTTCATGATATCAATCACTGAATTGTCTGGTCCAGACTCGATTATTTACAGACCGCCGTCATATAGCTCGAATATTGCTGAGTACGGCATTAAACAACAACGGACCAAACATGATATCAACCACTGCATGTTTTTTTCTGGTTTGGATTTAGTAATGGCTAGATTTCCACAATACAGTTGGAACATGGCTTCTTGTGGCATTAGGTTTGGTTTGGTTTGTTTGTTGTTTAACGCTGCACTCAGCAATTGGGATCGATGACATGCATCAACCAAGTCAGCGAACCTGACCACCCGATCCCATTAGTTGCCTCTTTAGATGGCGCAGTTGCCTTTTACGGCAAGCATGGGTTGCTGAAGACCTATTCTACCCCTGATCTTCATTGGTCTCCTGTGGCTTTAACAACAAATGAGTGAGTGAGTATGGTTTTACGCAGCTTTTAGCAATATTCCAGCAATATCACGGCGGGGGACACCAGAAATGGGTTTCACACATTGTACCCATGTCGGGAATCGAACCCGGGTCTTCGGCGTGACGAGCGAATGCTTTAACCACTAGGCTACCAGACCGCCCCTTTTACAACAAAGATAATTAAATAAAACAAAAAATACCTGCAAACTTGCATGTATGGCTTCAAGCTGACTGGGGTCCGTGACGACAAGCACCTGTTGACCCTGGTCGCCGACGGTGATGCTGGCAATGCCCTGGGCTTGTTGTAACTGCTGAAGCGCAACTTGGCTCGGTGCATGCAGCGTTACCATCCCCATCCCTCCAGCATCCTCAACCACGCCTTCGGCAGATACCATGGCAACCTGACAGAGAAAAATACAAGCATAACTATAAAAATAAGATCGGTGAGAGGTCCTCATGCTACAAGATGTATTGGGACAGCTGCTTGTTTCAACTGTGAAGGAACAGTGTAGTTCAAGTCATTGGACACACAACCAAACTATGGTAGCAAATGGGTCCAGGGTATTTATAGCACTAGAATGCGATATTTTTCACTGGACAAAGCCAACACAATAGCAGGAAACTTTCCACAAAATGTTACTGCTGTGATGACCTACCTGTTGAGGTTCTGATGTGTTGATAACCAGAGTACCCTCCCCTTCCTCCTGAGATGCTCCTCCCCCCGCCAGTGTGACTTGTAATCGAGATCTCTTATTGGCGGGCTCCTCGCCTTCCTCACCTGCCAACACAAAATAACAGTCATTCAAAAGTGATGAGGCTCTGCCAAATAGGAACTGGTATGGCAGTTTTGGCATGACATTGTTACTGCCACGGGGAGGACTAGGTCCTCAGTACCTCTTTCTTGTATGATGGTGATCCTGTGGATACAGTGGGTGCTTCGCATTCCAGATACCGTATTCGACGTAATAAGCGCCCCGCTCTAATAAGCGCCCACGGCGATATTTGCTAATATATTGGCTAGTGAACAATCCCAATGAGCACCCCTTCCGATTGATCAATGTACACGTGATTTATTTATTCGTGTTTAATACGCACATATGCACATTTAATTATGGGCAATTAAATTCTGGAAAAATATATCTGTCGTATATAAACCTTTCAGGCTGTCAGCATAAACCACCAAATATACGATCTTTCAACCCAAAATAATATTCTAAAAAGAGCCCCCTACTTCTAATTTTGAGAGTGCCCTGGACGCTTATTACGTCGAATACGGTATTACAAGGTGACTGTGTGGACATGCCCCCAACTGTAACAGCCCACAACCCTACCGTGCGTGGTTCCTGCTGAACCTACCCTGCGTCAGTTGCTGGTGCTGCTGCTGCTGGGCAAATAACTGAGCCTCACTCTCAGCCGTGGTGTCCTCACCGTGAGCTGTCCTCTTGTGCATGGCCAGTGTTGATGTCTGCCGATACGTCTTGCCGCAGTGGTTGCAGATGTATGGCTTGGAGTGTGTGTGCACCACATGGTGCTTGTAAAGGCTGGAGTACTCAGTGAACCGCTTGTTGCAGCCCTGGACTGTACACACATACGGCTTTTCACCTGCAAGGAGAAAATCAGCATGGAATAATTGTTGTTATTTTGTTTATACAGCCTGACTGTGTGTCTCCTGCCTCGTGGGGATTCAAGATCTGCATAGGTCCCCAGCAACCCTTGCTGGGCGTAAGAGATGACCACATGGCTTGGTGGTCAGCTATTGATCCTGACAGTGTGGAACACTGCTCACAATATCAATCACTGGATGGTCGTTTTCTTACAGGCCACCATCATATAGCTGGAGTGAGTTTTTGAGTTTGGTTTTACGCTGCTTTTAGCAATATTCTATCAATATCACGGCGGGGGACACCAGAAATGGGCTTCACACATTGTCCCCATGTTGGGAATCGAACCCAGGTCTTTGGCGTGACGAGCGAACGCTTGAACCACTAGGCTATCCGACCGCCTCATATAGCTGGAATGTTGATGAGTGCGGTGTAAACAACACACAAACTGTCTCCTAAGCTGAATCAGGCCAGAATTCTGAGCTGATTATTTCTTCACTGCTGGAATATTACTAACTGTGGTGTTCCAGCATTGAGGGAACCTATTCACTCAGCATGCTTCCTCAGTGCAATGCAAGATACATATCGATAATCAGTACATTTATTTTACACTGGTAACAGTTCAACTTACAAGACCCAGCTTATAATATACAGACACAGTCAAAATGCAAAAGCCTCTCAAGCTGTTCCACCCATCACAAAATCACAATCCCCTACATCAGACGATTTCACAATACCATGAAATTTAAAAACACACAGAATGTCAAGACACTACTGAACGCCTAACATGAAATCAGAAGTTCAAGAAAGGGAGATAACTCTGTAGTCCTATAATGTACAGAAGATCATGACAGCCTGTAGTGAGTATGGTTTTACGCCGCTTTTAGCAGTATTCCAGCAATATCACGGCAGAGGACACTGGAAAATGGACTTCACACATTGTACCCATGTGGGGAATCGAACCCGGGTCTACGGCGTGACAAGCAAACATGTTAACAACTAGGCTACCCCACTGACTGCCTGTAAATAACTGAGTCTGGGCCAAATAAACTAACATAGAACAAATCAATTTAAATGTCAGCCTGAAAAAAAAACAATGTTTATAATAATACCAAGATATCAAGAAATGGTATGTAATAGCATTTATGATACAAGATCATGTCATCCGAGTGGCTAGTCACCATCTTGTAACAACTAATACACTATGTAATATTTTCATATCATATATATTCATACTATAGTGATATGAAAATACTGAGTGGTCCTTAACTTCTTTTGGGTAGTATGCAAGCAAGCCTGCATGAAAACCATGACACCAAGTTCAAGAAGATATCACTTGCATCCCACATTACAAACACCCTTGACTGAAGCTAGTGGCATGGACTGCGTACCTGTGTGTATTCGGACATGGTTCTTGTAGTTGGTTGCGCTGGCGAAGGCTCGTCCACACCCTTCCACCTGGCACACGTACGGCCGCTCCCCGGTGTGGGTTCGGATGTGAACTTTACGAATGTTGGACGTTGTAAAAGATCTATCACATCCCTCAAAAGGACATTTGAACGGCCTCTCTCCTGAAATCATCAGAATCAGCTAATGAAACATATTTTGTTTCAGGAAAGTTCAAAATGAAACTGAAAACTAGACAAGGCGAAAACTGAATGAGGACGAAACTGAAAAGCTACACGTGTCAGTTTTAATAAGCTAATGAAGGTTGGAAGTAGTATGAGTCGCATTCTGTGTAAACTTTGCAGGAAAACATGAAGTATTGACAAGGAAAGGTGGCCATGTTGTCAGTATTGAATCCAAATTCTCTAAGCATTCCATTGAGACAGCATTGGAGTGCATATATACACAGAACTTTAGCTTCATTAACCAACACATTTCGGAGACCAAATGCTGCACCATTATGTCTGTGAGGATTCAGAAACATGGGTCATCATGAGGTCTAAGATGAAACTTATGATACAAACATAACATATCATAATTGTCATACCAAATCAAATGTCACACTAATTTACTGTATGAGATGCAAATGTTTCGGAGAGACTAGCAAAAATTCAAGGCAGAGCGGCAGACATGTTTCAAATCGAATAAACATTTTTAGAGCATGATAAAAGTTTACATAAAAAGGGTGATCGGCAAATATGATAGTCCAAAGGAAATCCAACCCCGCCCAAAAATAATAAATGACTAGACTCTTATTTTACATAAACCACTAGTCCGAAATGAGTTGCGGATTAGCTCAAAACTCATAGTCAAAAACTGATGAAAAGTTTCAGGTTCACATTTTCACATTTTTTGCACAGAATTAGATTTTTTATTTACACTCTCAAAAAGTGCAATTTTTAACAAATCAGAATTGAGTTTGCAGCTGACCTGTGTGAGTGCGGACATGTTTCTGGAGATCGCCAGACGTCTTGAATGCTTTATCACAGTTGTCTTCTGGACATTTGTAGGGTTTCTCCCCTGTGTGTACACGCGTGTGACTCTTGAGGCCATACCCTGTAGCGAACGCCTTCCCACATGTCAGGAACTCACACTTGAATGGCCGGTCCCCAGTATGAGATCGCTCATGAACCTTTCAATGGAAGCAATGTAGCAATGAAATACCATTGTTTCAGTTCATTTACCAGGCAGTCTACATACTAATTTATTTTACCAGCTTCAACTTGAGTTGAGGACTTGAAATCATGATCTTGAAATAAACAACCAATCAAAATGCCTCTTCTGATTTGTTTGTTGTTGAATGGACAAGAAAATCCAGTGAATGATATAAGCAATGATCCAGTGAATCAGGTACACTGACATGCATTTAAATCACAAAAACGGACCCTCCAATTCACTGAGTCGCCTGTTACAACCAGTAGGTTGCTGTGGCCTATTCTAACCCGGTCTCCCTTTGAGGTCTCACCTTGAGATGATGTAGCGTTGTGTAGAGGCGGCCACACCCCTCGTAGGCACACCCATAGGCCTTCTCCCCTATAGCCAACGCCTTCTCGGTGGCAATCCGGTTACAGCCCTGGCCAAGCACTGTCTGAAGAAGAAATTCCTTCTTGTGAAAATAATATACTGTACATATTCTAGTGATCCATCTAAGGATATATAGACATGTCACATGAGTGTCTTCATATCAACTCGTAGCTACATGTATATGGCTAAAATAATGCCAATGCAACGTTAAATTTCAACTCACTCACACTTCATATCAAACAAATCAACATGAGTCAATAAAGTTATAGACAAGGCGTTTTAAACTTTTGTTGACCCACGTTGATTTATTTGATCCAAAGACATTCAAGTGAGAATCTATTTATCTTCAAAAATCATTCTTTAAACTTTCTCAGTTATAAACAGTAACAACCAGCTTCAGTCAGAGAGATTGGGGATGTCATTTGATTGTGACGTCATGGTAACCAATGATATCAAAATGATCTGGTAAGTGTGATGATGCAATTTCATTGAAGCGATATCTCCTAGGAGACATCACTTGATCTCACCCAAGCAATATCTCCTGTGGAAGTTTTGAATGAACTTTATATTAGAATAAATTATAAGTTTTTCATTCCCATCCACCTCACTAGCACACAACCTTCCTCACAGCAATTTATTGTTCTTGATCACCAAAACAGATGAAGAAAATCTCTGTGTGTGTTCTCTTATTTCTTTATTTGATGAAACTCTATATAGACAGTCCAACCAAACCTTCATCTTCATGGGAATCACATCCATTGAAAGATGATGCTCTCACCTCACATTATTTTCAATATCTGCAGTGAGAGGAACTAACCATTTAACCACTAGTCCTTATAATGATAACATATAGCAACACCCTTAAATAGGGCAAATTTCTACTAGTCCTTGGATACCTAACTATTGGGCAGATTGGTAAGGACTATAGGACTAGTTTCAATTTCTAATGCTGATTTGGAAGAAAAAAATTAAATTATTATCACTTACGGATATTTCATTATGTAATGTCACCTAAGTTTTCAAAGTAGAGTTTTAAACTCAGACTCAATATAACATTAAATTTTGAATGATAATTACAGGAATGACACCCTGTCTAAATTCTCATTTGAAACCTCTAAGTGCAGTGTACATGTACTCACTATGGTGGTAGGATTCGTTGCAGGTTTGTCATCCTCCTCTTGATGGATGTGAGCGTGTGCCTGCTCGGCAGAAACCTGTAACACATACATTTTCTTAAGCTCAAAAAAATAATAGCCTTGGTTCTAAGGTACCGCCCACATCATCAGATGTCTGCCGCACGTTTCGTTTTTATGTCCATTTAAAAAAAATAATTAAAAATCCAAATACTTAAAAACAATAGGACCCAAAATAGCACACAGTTACTTCCCTTAACATGCACACTGCTTCACTGTGCATCTCGTGTTATGGTCATGGCAGCAAAGGGAGTTTGTATGCGTCTTTATGCAGGGAGGCCCTTCCCAGGTTGATGGTACACCACTGTTTAGTTTGTTACATGCTAGTCTGAACAAGCAAAACCAAAAAAACACCGCCCACCCTCACTTCATATTCAAAAGTCATTGCCTGAGAAACAATTCTTTTTAAAAAATTTTAAGCCTTAATGATTTTGTTTTACTGGTCTGTCTTGATCCAGACTTGATTATTTACGGACCACCATCATAGTGCAGCATTTAGCAACAACAAACAAATCACATATATGTGAGGGTGAGTGAGCAAGTAGGTTGGGCTTCATGCCACTTTAGACATAATATCAGTCATATCAAGGCATGTCAGCTTACGACATCACATTAATATATAAGTGAATCGTGACACCAATACACATGTGGTGTCTCCATAGGCAATGAGTGGGTACCCGGTAGGATGAGAAGGTGACGTGACTGTTAACATTCTAGCACCTAACAGGCAGCTTGGTTGTATATGAGAATGAACACCAAGGGGTTATAATGTACGGTAGCTCCTTGAGCATGCATCAGGGTTTGCACTCAGTGCATTATTATTTACATAGAAGCATATAGTAAGACGAATGTACCTGGGACAGGTGCTCCAGACTGAGTGCGCTGCCGTCTAGAGTTGCTGCCTCACCAAACAGTGCTTCAGGATTAGGGTGGGCGATATAGGCCGTAGTACCATCCTCAAGCGTGATAGCTTGGAGACCCTCGGCCACTGGGAAAAGAAAGAGTCACTATATTATTTAAAAACATCCAGTCTTTGTTGAGTGCTATAGTTTAACATGGATACCATGCTCAGACACAGTGTACTGACTCCAAGCCGACCAGTCCTTGTTTTAGCCCGTCAATGGCAAGCTACAGGTAGTGTAACAAGTACCACCTTATAACCTCTTTTGATCTGACATATCTGAGGATCTAACCATCGACTTTCCACATTGGGGGAAGTCTCTCTATCCACTTCATCCCAAACAAACAGTTAGAACTATATTAATATGACCTGGAAATATTAAATTGCAATTTGATTTTAGTCCCCTGACATTTGCTGCAGACGAAAATTGGCCTAAGAGCAGGTCTATATAAATCCATGTTCTTGCCATTTCCAAAATAAATTTATTGAGCTACACAAACTTATCTCATCTGACCGCAAAGTTGGTTAAGAAAACCCAATAAACCCTACATGTAAGACAGTGTGTCGCTACATTAACCCCCGGCCCCCTGAGGCGACCTACTTGCAGCTTCAGACATGGGTTGCAGTTATGCTGTGGTGCTACTCTAACCCCGTCCCCCTGTGACGACGTACTTGCAGCTTCAGACATGGGTTGCAGATATGCTTGCTGTGGTGCTACTCTAACCCCGCCCCCCTGTGACAACCTACTTGCAGCTTTAGACGTGGGTTGCAGATATGCTGTGGTGTTACTCTAACCCCGCCCCCCTGTGAGGACCTACTTGCAGCTTTAGACGTGGGTTGCAGATATGCTTGCTGTGGTGCTACTCTAACCCCGCCCCCCTGTGACGACCTACTTGCAGCTTTAGACGTGGGTTGCAGTTATGCTGTGGTGCTACTCTAACCCCGCCCCCCTGTGAGGACCTACTTGCAGCTTTAGACGTGGGTTGCAGATATGCTGTGGTGTTACTCTAACCCCGCCCCCCTGTGAGGACCTACTTGCAGCTTTAGACGTGGGTTGCAGATATGCTGTGGTGTTACTCTAACCCCGCCCCCCTGTGAGGACCTACTTGCAGCTTCAGACATGGGTTGCAGATATGCTTGCTGTGGTGCTACTCTAACCCCGCCCCCCTGTGACAACCTACTTGCAGCTTTAGACGTGGGTTGCAGATATGCTGTGGTGTTACTCTAACCCCGCCCCCCTGTGAGGACCTACTTGCAGCTTTAGACGTGGGTTGCAGATATGCTTGCTGTGGTGCTACTCTAACCCCGCCCCCCTGTGACGACCTACTTGCAGCTTTAGACGTGGGTTGCAGATATGCTGTGGTGCTACTCTAACCCCGCCCCCCTGTGACGACCTACTTGCAGCTTTAGACGTGGGTTGCAGATATGCTGTGGTGCTACTCTAACCCCGCCCCCCTGTGGCAACCTACTTGCAGCTTTAGACGTGGGTTGCAGATATGCTGTGGTGCCATCCTCCAGTTGTATTGGCTGACTGTCCACCATCTTCTCTCCCGACGAGGGGTCCACACCGCCCACTATAACACAGACACATACTTCAGCCTGGCGGCAACATTTCAAACAAAGCTTAGAAATCAATCTGTGATCAGTGATGTTTTGATGATACATAAATGTTCACCCATTTATTAAGTTAATATTTACACATTAACATCCTCATCAATAACAAATCATCTTCCCGAGACAAGAGAGTTAACTGACTATAAAAGTCCAGTTTCCACCCTTGCCGAACTAGGCTGGTATTATGGAGTTACATTTTGGCTTGACTAATGAGTCTATTCATAGTACAATCAAAATCGCGCGCCGAAATCAAAATCCGGTTCGTAAACTGTCGTGCAGATTTCGATCAATTGCAGGATTTGCAAAGGATGTGCACCGCCAACTCGTTGTCAGCAGTTATTATTCCAAATCTTTTCATGTTTTTAATCGAGGTGCTCACAGGATTTGATGCATTTCGCGATGTAAGACCTGTTTTATCACAATATAGATCTTGATTATCGATCAGATCGTCCTGACTGGGCGCCACCATTTTGTGTGAAGCAAACGTAAGTGATACGAGAGGTGGAATCTGATTGGTCCATAGGAGAGGCTTAGAAGGGACATAATAGCCACTGGTGGCGCTACGATCGAGCCCAGCAATTCCAGCCTAGTTCGGCAAGGGTGGAAACTGGACTTTTAAAGTCAGTTAACTCTCTTGCCTCGGGAAGATGATAACAAATATGCAACAAATCAGTCAATCTAACTTAAGGAATACAGTTTCATACAGTTTTAAATAATGATGAAAACAAGACAAATTGAATGTATTTTCAATAAAGTACAGAAAATATCAAATAACAATTAATATCACTGTATATGAGTTGGAAACAATTTGAATGGTCGAAAATGAAATCCTTACCAAATCTCAAACCTACATTATAATAATGTGATATTTGAAAGCTTTGCTGCATACTATAAACAGTCTATTCTTCAAAAATAGTTCCATCCCTTTGGTAACCACACAATCAGGTAGACACTGGAACCTTTATCCGTTCTACCCAGTATATGTAATATACATCAGATAAAGATGTTATTGTCTGACCCCAGGTATATACAGAATCTAGCCCAAGTGTTTTTTAATGCAAAATATATTAGCATGAGTACCAGTATATGTAATATACATCAGATAAAGATGTTATTGTCTGACCCCAGGTATATACAGAATCTAGCCCAAGTGTTTTTTAATGCAAAATATATTAGCATGAGTCAACAAAGGTTAAAAATTCAGAGGCTTGCCGAGTTTTAAACTTTTGTCGTCCAGTGTGGACATATTTGATATCAAAATAAACAAAGGTGACATTAAATTTATTATCTAAAATCATTCTTACTATTATTTCAGTTTGTAAACAGTATAATGCGGTGTTTTAAATAGAAAATAATGGTCACCAGCTTCAGTGTCAGGGGGATTAGTGATGTCATTTCATTGTGACATCATGTTAACCGATGATGTCACAATGGTCTGCCAAGCATTTCAGCCATATCTACTGCTGATGACAGTTTTGGATGACGAAAAATATAATCAGTCATCTATATTTAGTACCTTTCTCGGCAATGCTCTGCACGACGGCCGTGCTTCCATCCTCCAAGGTGACCGTCTGCCCCTCCAGAAACTTGGCATCTGATAGAGAAAGCAGAACAATTACTCAAATTTTCAACAAGCTTTCAACAAACTTTCAACAAACAATTAAACCAGTTAAAAACATGTCTTTTTTTTCATGTGTGTCACAGCCCTCTAATAAAGAAGTTTAGGTGTGCATTTAAAATGTGACAACTAGAAAAATAATTTCGATCCATCATAGGTCTCAGTAAATGTTATTTCAACAAGGCTAGATAATAAGCAATTGTAGTTTTGAATATTTTGCCCCTTCCATTTCATTGAATGGAATAATAATCTTTTTCCTTTCTGAATACCTAGATGTGTTTTGCACATCATACCATGCATAAAGTGAGTTCACATTTCATTCTGTCCATGTGTTTGTCATTTGTGGTTTCACAAACGTTTTGTAAAAAAATGTATTTTCAAAACTTACCTTTCAGGGAGTTCAAACTTATTAAATGTGTCATTACAATTTAAAATGTGTCATCGGCAAAGTTAGAACATTTTACATGTCTATCAACATCACATCAACTTTACTGAAACATTTTGCATTAAAAAAAAATAGTCTTGGTTCTCAAGCACTGTCTGCATCATCATAAAGTCTGCTGCACGTTTCAATTTTATTTCCATTTAAAAAAAAAAGATAAAAAATCTTAAAATATTCTGTGTCGCGAACACACAACCCCGGCAGTTAAATGCTACAATACTTAAGAACAACATGAAAACCTATAGCAACCAATCAAAATGAAGGAAGCCTTTTCTTCAGCCAATCAGAATCAGTCTTGCTGACTTGGTTGATGCATGTCATCGTCTCCCAATTATGTGGATCGATGCTCATGATATCTACGACTGGATTATCTGGTCTGGTATATTGCTGAGTGTGGCGTTAAGCAAACAAAGATAACTTCCGATATTAAGAGAAAAAAAAAACACAGAACACAAACTTTCCCTTGATAGTACATCCTTTTGTAGCTCAGAAACGACAAGACGTATAACATATACACAACAATTTATAAACACAGCTTTATGCTTTTGCATTCAGAACTCCCCAATGATATTAGTTTTGGAGATACAGGAATCAGGTAAGCTTGTCTGAATATCTAGAACACATACCATGTACTAAAAAGCCTCAACACTGATCGACTGATTCTTAAGTTCACTGACACGACCTATGGAGATGTCGTCAGACCTTCATAAGGAGAGTTATCACATCGCAGTAAAAGATCTGATCTTAATTTAGATACATTGTATTTCCCATTCACTATGGAAACTGACCCCTCGGATGCTGTATGAATGCTGTGGTCCCATCAGCTAGAGTGACGGCTTGGACAGTCTGGCCCGCCTCCGTTGAGACAACAGTGCCCTCTGGTAGTGAAACCGACACACTGATATGCTGAGCATTGTTGGGGTCATGTACCATGTTTTCTGCTTGCTGTCGCCAAAAAATCAAAAACAAATTTTCACTAATATAATATTAATACTGGTAGCAAAACCTACCAAAAAGTAGTCATTTCTATGTTCTTTGTATTCTATGCCTGGAAGGGTAGAATAAGGGCTGAATAATTAAATTGATATTTCTTAAGTAAAAAAATTGGAAATGGCAGTTTTTCTGTCTGTACCAGTATTGTACTTTATGTTAATTTTTAGTCTCCTCAGGGTTAAAAAAAAGATGTGTAAAACTATTCAAATTCTATAATATTGTTGATAATCTGCACCAAATACAATAGGCTGTTGTTATGGAAACAGAGATTACTCCATTTAGCACCAATGAAGAATCTTAAATATCAACAGATAACTGTTTTCTTTGATTGAGCAACTGTAGTATAAGAAACTGCTACCAAATTCCACTATATGTATATGGTTCATACACACTCAGGGTTTTTTATATTGGTTCAGTTCCTAGGACACTGGTTGAATGTCATCCAAAATATCTTGAAGATATTTTTCAAACTTGGTAATGATATAGAACAATGTCCTATAAACACTTGATAAATAATGAGAATGTCCTATTGTCATGTCTCCAGCAACATCCCTAAGTGCTGGAATTTAACCCTGTTCAATTAAAAGTACCGGGAACTTAAACTTACACTTATCAAAGCTAGGTGAATTTGGTAGTCAAGTTATTTTTTCTTTGTATTTTTGATATACTAGATCACTTAGTCATATCATGTATAAGTATATTATACGATTATTATCATTCACCCTGCACTGGATCTAAATATGACACTCAAGTCTGGAATAATGTATTTTTTAGGGCAAAAATATTATTCAATACTATATCCTGACTCATACTTATTGCCTATCTATACTCATTTCCAAAGTGGTTGGCGTGAAAATGAGAGAGTGTCGAACCGGGCTTCCGGTGCGCATATTCAGTCCAGGGGTGCTTTCAGGTGAGATGTTTGCTCTGTTCTCCAGGAACACAGTTCAGGAAATTTCCACTACCTTTCGGAAATGAGTAGAGATAAGCAATAGGTAGGAGTCAGGATAAGATAAATTAATAGGCTGTGGATGCAAAATGATGTTTTCTTCCTAATATTATTTTACACAACTTCCTCATCACTTACCTCGTTGGCTTGAAGCAGCAAGCCTATTACTTGTTGTGAGGACACCGGTATGGCATTGGCCAGTTCACTTGCTGTGGGATCCATCATAGACACAGTGGCTACACTTTCCGTCTCGTTTTCAGTCACATCATTGGAGTGCTCTCCTATGTCGGCCACGACGATGCTCTCGTCCACCCCTTCCATGGAGTGCACTGGGTCACACGACTCCTCCCCACCTTGTTCAATACCATCTGTTTCCGACGGCAACGGTGACATGTGATCTGATTCGACCTCAGGTAGATCAGACTCAAGGTCTTCTATCTCCATTGCTTAGACCTACAACTGGACAGTGAAACAGAATTAACTCAAACCAATGAGACCCAAGATGCATATATTAATTATTATACGGCCCACTGTAACTTGATTATGCCCTCATATTGCTTTACGACGGGCCATTATCACGCCTGTTGTTAGGTGACGTCATAGGGTAGGGATAGGTGACGTCACGTTCAATAGTGACGTCATCTGGTTTGTTCTATGACGTTTCCATATTTGTAAAAGTGGGTCACTGACATTCGTGTTGATTGCAGTAAATGTTTCAAAACCGATATTGTTGTTCTTTTATTTGATAACAAATTCCATCCATTTTGGCTATAATAACGTTAATGCTCTTTTTCAGGGCATTATCACTTGCAGAAGCCCTTGGTCTTTTCAACTGCCCTCCTTCGTCAGACAGTTAATGGAAGACCTCAGGCTTCTGCAAATGAAAATGCCCTGAAAAATAGCGTTACCCTTACCGTATCCGACGTAATAAGCGCCCCGCTCTAATAAGCGCCCGAGGCGATATTTGTTAATATATTGGCTAGTGAACAAACCCAATTAGCACCCTTCCGATTGATCAATGTACACGACTTATTTATTCGTGTATAATACGCACTCGTGTGTTATATGCACCCTTAATTACGGGCAATTAAATTCTGGAAAAATGTATCTTTCGTGTATAATACGCACAGACTTTTCTTTTGTATCATTTCAGGCTGTCAGCATAAACCACAAACTTTACGATCTTTCAACTCTTTCACCAAAATTATATTCTAATAAAAGCCCCCTAGTTCTAATTTTGAGAGCGCCCTGGGCGGTTATTACGTCGAATACGGTATATTAGATTACAGAAAAGCTTAAGAAAGATGTAACTGCAAAGGTTCCACACAAGTAGAACCCTTTGCTGTTTATAATAATATTTAGTAAGAATGGTTCTGATCAATTCATCCTTTTTTTTAAATCATTTATTGTGTATACATACTGCAAATATTGAAACAAAAGATACACCACTCAACAGGAGATTAAAGAACACCCTATTTATTCATATGACTTTAGTTAATCAGAGCTACAGATAACCTGCATATTTGCGTAAAATACCCCCCCCAAAATATTCAAAACCCAATTACTTTCAATGAACTTGTGTAAAGAAACGCATGCATTAAATGAAAAACTCAAATGTATAAAACAGCATAAATACCAAATGAAGCTTTTTCAGCATGCGTACAGAGGAGCTAATTTCCAAAGCACAATTACCAGCTAATTTATTTTCCGAGTCAAACCTATATATTTAGAACAGTTATCATGGTTATGTACATTCTAAAACATTATTTCATAATTTTTTTAAATCTTAAAATGTTTCCTCTTTTGGAGAAATACCCAATAGAGTCATGAATACATGAGTGAAAAAATATTGGTCACCCAATGAAAAGTGTAATCACCCAATTAAAATAGAAACCCTAGAGTAAAAACTCAATTGCTCAAAACGTTATCTGGAGCTCTGGTTAATCTGTCCTGACTGTTGGGTATTACAACACACAGCCTTGTATTGTACCATAACAAATTATGGTTTTTCTTTACACATTTTAAGTGGTCTACATTGGACATAGCATCAAAATTAGCACCATTTTCTTCACTAATTCAATCACATTCTAAATTCCAATGGAGAGATCCATGGAATGAGTGAGTGGAGATTTATAGTAGTATGTCCTTCATACTATTTGTGTAGCCTTCTGGATGAGTGAATGAGTTTGGTTTAAATCTGCTTTGGAAATATTTCACTTATATCACAGTGGGTCAGCTTTTGGGAGGAAAGTCCCATGTGATGCAGGTCTTCAACGTTTACCCTGTACTACTGTGGTGATACCCACAAGCAGTGTTCGAAAATAAAAATATTGCCGATTGCCATCAGCACCCACAAATTTCAGAAGCTGCAGGCCCTGACAAAAAAATTCAGGCCTTCATTAAAAATAACTGCAGCTTATTAAATCGAAACATAAATTTACTGCAGGCCTCAAGGACTCATACAAATTTGAAACTATGGCCTGATTCGAAATATACCTGCAATGGGCCTACGGATAGGCACTTGTCTTGAACACTTCCCACAAGCATGGGTATGATCTTAATAACCAAGGGCCATTATCAAGGCAAATCTGGGAGTTACACCTGTGATCACTGGTCACATACCCAAGGAACCCTGCACAGAAAATTGCTGCATCTTTGACGACCCATACTGGATGACTTTTGTTGGAACCTCTACATATGTACAAAGGGACATTACTCTTGTATCCATGATTTGTTAACCTGGAAATTTAATATATACTACTCAAAAGAAGTTAAAAAACAACCGATTTGTTCATATTACAACAGTTAATCAGTCACGGCATGTTAACCACTTGGCTCCTTCAACACCAGTCAACAGAAGACCTTCTCCACGGGCAGGTGATTATTCTCGACATCGCTGGTTGTGTGGGGAGAACATTATATCACAGTATCCTCGGCAGGTGTTGCTGAGGACCTATTCTGTACCCAGATCTTCACGGGTCCTTGATTCTGTACAGTTTGCTATGATATTTGGTAGGTGGAATATTGCCGACTGCGCAAAAAAGACATTCTTTACTCCATTTTTTATCTCAGTTGGCGAAGTTCCAAATTTATTTTTAATATTTACTTTGTTGTGAAGTCCTCCCATCATGGTGTTACCATTCATCTGGCTGCAATTTATCAACAAGGTCAAAACTATTTGTTTTGTAAATAATTGACAGTGATTGTTTACAGACTGAACTTTTATTATGATTATTGGGTATATGGAACAATGTATTTGGTGAATGTGTAATCATTATTTGTCAAAAGTGAGTCGTTATGTGTATCAGTCAGCAATAATTTATGTTTTGTCTGGGTCAATCCCTGTTTCAGTTGACTCATCCAAACCTGAGTGAGTGAGTGAGTGAGTGAGTGAGTGAGTGAGTGAGTATACGCCGCTTTTAGCAATATTCCAGCAATATCACGGCAGGGGACACCAGAAATGGGCTTCACACATTGTACCCATGTCGGGAATCGAACCTGTCTTCGGCGTGACAAGCGAAAGCTTTAACCACCAGGCTACCCGACCGCCCCCCCAAACCTATGTGAGTCAGGATAGTATGATGACTCTTTTCAGCCTTATTCCAGAAGTACCCAGTACCATAGTACCCAAGTTGGTTGGTTGGTTGTTTTACGCCGCACTCAGCAATATTACAGCTATATGACGGTGGTCTGTAAAATAATCGAGTCTGGACCAGACAATCCAGTGATTGATATCATGAGCATCGATCCACGCAATTGGGATCATAGACCTGCTTCAACCAAGTCAGCGAGCCTGACCACCCGATCCCGTTAGTGCGATAGTACCACGACTGTGTTATGAATTATTATGGCAGAGTTAGGACATCATCAAGATTTGTCAAGGTGTACTATGAAATGATGTCACTACGGAGTCAGTATGATTTCATAAGACGCCTGTACGTTATAAATAATGACATTACCAAAAAGGCGCAATGGGTGAATTTCCAGGTATTTGGATTTCTCCTTCTTCACCATGTTCAGTAACCTGGAATATATGCAAGCTGCTGCTCTAGAGGATTAGTGAGTATGGTTTTACGCCCCTTTCAGCAATATCACGGCGGGGGCCAAAGACATGGGCTTCACACATTGTACCCATAGCAGGAATCGAACCCAGGTCTTCGGCATGACTAGCCGACGCTTTAACCACTAGGCTACCTGACCACCCCTGCTCTGGAGGAAGAAGAAAATCTGTTGGTTGCTGCAGCTTTGGTTGTCTGAAATAGGGGTCAGCGTGGACGTCAAAGGCACAGGCAAAGAGAAGTTTGGGTGAAATCATGGCTCCTGCAGCGTCCATATTTGGTGAGTATGAACACCTCCTTGTGGAATGAATTCGAGAAGACCCCAACGTAAGAACTTTTTCCGTGTGACCAATGAACTTTTCAATGAGTTGGTGGAACATGTTGGACCTCATAGTCATATACGGAAGGATGCCTTTTGGCATGACGCATGTCGCTAGAGCCAGATGTACGGATTGCAGTAAGTCAGTGTGCCATGGCAATGGGCATTTAAATAACAGTCCCTGAAATCTGTGATGCCTTTACTCTTGAGATGAGATGTAGTTATGCAATGTCCAAGCAGTTCTTTTCCCTTTCCACCCTGTCAAAATGGCTTCACGAAGTAAATAAATAACACCCAATAAAATATTGATGCTCTAAAACTCAAGTTCAGCATGGCAGATTGTGTGTGTAACTTTCCTAAGATCAACAAGAGTCACTTGACACAAAAACATGTTCTTGGCGGCGTCTTGTTCAAGCTGTGCAAGGTCGCAGCACCATCCTAGTGACAGCTTATCAGCACCATAGCTGTCTTGGCTTGCCGTGGGTGTTGTGGCCACTAAGAATGAATACGAATGAACAAGACTCTGTCACGCCTACCACGACAATGTCACTACGTTACGACACTCATACGATGCTGCCAAGGTGTACCCCGTTGTTTTCCACAACTACGGATGAGCAGGATGTGTTTTTAACATTAAAAAAATATTGTGCTTCTGTACAGTGGCATAAGGTTACACTGTGGTGGACTATGATTGAGAACGAACACTTGTACAATGCTGTTACGATTATAAATAATTGAAAACTTGTGCTCTACGGTAGCAAACATCGGGTATGTGGAAAAGGGGCATAACAGTTTTAGTCTACTAGTCCTTATCATGATAACATATAGTGAAATCCTTAAAAAGGACAAATGTCTACTCGCCCTTATGATACCGTAACTATTGGGCAGTTTGTCAATGACAATAGGACTAGTGCCAATTTCTTACACTGGGTATTGATAGCTTATTTGGGGGTTCAATATATTTTACTTTTGTGTCAGGTGGATTGAGTCTTTTTAAACCAATTCTAATTTGCATCTGTCCATGTCTGCACCGATTTTGTCACATATCACATGAGCTCACAACAGCGACACATGTCTAAGTAACAATAAGGGACTGGTCATTCATTGGGGGGCTTGTAGGAGTTACATGTATTCCCTCATGAGAAGACCAATAAGTAGGAACAGGTTTTCATGCTTCGTTTCATATAATTGCAGCATATGCAATCTCAAAATACCTCTGACAAACGTTTACAAAATGCCAATTTGGAACAAGATTTTCCCAATTTGCCTGCCAGGGACTCTTATTTAAAAATCACTTAAATCCACCAGGGTTTAACTCGACTTACAAAAGTGAGGGTTCAGAGGAGCTCCAATTATTAATTTTAAGGATCCTTGCAGGCAATATGAGGGTCCGGTAAAGTAGTGAAATGGTGTAGTGTACTGTACGTTGTGGTAATAACTTAAGAGCCTGGAATGAATCAATGATCATGGACAGTAGTCATGATTGATGGATGAAATAACAGAATCCCATAACTGCTCTTGATGCACTGTAGGTACTATGAATATGAACAGGCTATATTTTTTTCTGCGCCTGTTCTCAATAGTTGTGCATACAAACCCTGGCAGGCACCCTAAAAAATTAACAGTCCCTAAAGCATGAAAAGAAAGATGCAATACTTCTTTCTATTATCCACTGCAGTCAAGTTCACATGTCAAGCATATAATGGGTAGGTTTCTCGGCAGGATAAAAAGGATTTTCATGCTAATTTCTATCCCTGCGAAGGTCACTAAGGATATTTAACCTTGAATGTGAAGTGATTCATGATCGACATTATCAATATTTCACTATCTTGTATACAAACTGATGAAGGAACGTAGTGTATACAAAACCCTGAAGTACTAACTTTACATGACAGACCATTGCAAAACATGAAAGCAAATCACTAAAACATAAAATATAATAAAATCACTTTCAAGGGAGATAACTGGATTTCAATTTTCAAGTCCATCCATTTTTATTATGTTAGAACAGGAAGAATTCTAAAAATTTGATTTCACTGTTTTACTTTTAATGTTAGCTGTGTTTTAAGTTCAACTTCTAGTATGTAAACAATATAAAGTCTTTTTCACAGAAATTGATCGGAATTGTAAGACTATCTGAACAGAAACCTGAGTCGAAAACAGGAAGCTAAAACTGGCCTTGATATGAGGATAAAAATTAGTTTCCTTATTGTCATTTAATGCAGACACAAGGTCCTGTTAAGATTTAAATTTTACGAGACTGCAGGGTAACTTGTCAATCTATTGGCAACATACAAACTCATCTTCCCAAGGCAAGGGCGTTAACTGACTATAAAAGTCCAGTTTCCACCCTTGCCGAACTAGGCTGGAATTTCCAGGCTCAACCGTAGCGCCCCCAGCAATGTCCCGCCTATTGACCAATCAGATTCCATCTCTCATATCACTTGTATTTGCTTCAAACAAAATGGTGGCACCCAGTCAAGTCGATCTAATCGATAATCAAGATCTCTGTTGTAATAAAACGGGTCTTACCCCGCGAAGTGAATCAAATCACTTGAGCTCCCTGATTAATAACATGAAAAACATTGCAAAATATCTGTCAACGCCCAGTTGACGGTACACATGCTTTGCAAATTCTGCAGTCGACCGAAATCTACATGTTGAAATACACTCTTTAGATTAAGATTAAGATTAATAACATACCAGGACTACAGAGCTGTAGATAAGCTGCGTATTTGTGTAAAAAACATATTAAATAAACTGAAATATGCAGATAAATCAAATCCCTAGCATATTACATATGCAACAAAATGTATAAAAACACTATTGAAATAAAACGTGTGCATAGAACTGTTAGATAAAACGATTGCATATCAGACAATAAAAGTATGTTCAATTTCAATATCTTTCAAAATGTATTTCTACAAAACATATTCAGTGAAACAAGTTTATTAATTACGACAGATTTCAGTGAGATGTACAGTATATAAATTGCTGTATTACAGTTACTGTTGAATTCTGAGACCTGGAAATATCACTCAAATATATTTATCTTAGAATGATCCAGGGGGAAATTACTGTTGCTCTGACGAAGAGACTGATGTTGTTTACCATTTTCAGGAATGAAACCAGACATTCCATAAGTTAAACAGTTCTAACTTGAACTGGGTATTCAAAAAGGTGATCTGCCTCCAAAACAATGATTTATTTATTTTTATTTCAAATTAAGATGTAAGCAAAATTATTAGGCCTAGTCTTGGACTATTTTAGACTAAGACAGTCGACATGGCCTGTCCAAAATAAACTGATGTATCCACTAGTCAACCTAATAAATCGGCCAATAAATCTAACAGCTGTTTGCTGGCTTAATAATACTTATGTGTATTTGGCAACAGTGAACAGATACAATGGCGAAAGCAGTACGGGGTAAGAGGAGTTATATCATGGTCAAGTTGCATAGCGACCATAATTATTTCCTTTATACACGGAAACCACAATGCATTTGAACTGGAGCAGATTTCAGTATATTAATCAATAAGAATAAAAAAAGACAAAAACAGCTCCACTAATTCGACCTTACAAGGTAGTTTTAATTTCTTCACAGAAACATAGTCGTGCAAATGGGTCTCAACCTTGTCTAATAGTTTTATTGTGAGGGCAATATTTCCGTCCGGTTTCCTTGTCGCTTCTCCATAAACACGGTCAAATTCGTCCTCCATGATGGTTTGAGGTCAGAGAATTCGCAAACAGAGATTGTAAACGAAAATTTGGACTCAAAATCACCCAATAATACCGGTTTTGATCTGCACAGCATCGCCCCAACCCCATATCGTCTCGCGACCCTTCCCGAAATACTTTTCGCCGACAAAAGTTACAATGAACACTGGGAAAACTTACCCAAAAATCCTCACAGGACCGCCATGCACTGCTTCTCTCGGGCTGGCTAATTATGCATAATTTATGCAGGAGCTAAGGCCATCGATAAATCCAAGTTTTGTAGCTACACTAACGTGCTGTAGATACCACAAACAATCCTATGTAGCTATAAGTTATCGTTTTTAAGAATCTACACAGAAATAATGCTCAAACAGAGCCCTAAAGGAACGTGATGTTATATTTCATCCAGAATCAGGGCACATATTTCACAACGTGCTAAGGAAAGATAACTCTGTAAATAATTTTCGCGCATACATTTTGATTTCAGCCTTGAGATCTTTTGGAACAAATAAAAAACTAACATATATATTTAAAACGTTTCAAAAAATAAATATCTGTTTACACATACCCTAAACTCAACACATGGACGTTTGCAAATCCAATGATTTTTAAATGCAGGTATTGATCAATATTATTTCTGACGCTATATTTTGATATCTGTTTGTCAAGTTAGGCTTGTACACGTTTTCTGGTGTGTGCAGTTACGCTATGACCACATTGGAGTCATTTAATTATTATTCGAATAGTTTTTTATGAATAATATTTGTTGCTCAGGTCTAAAATCTCGGAATACATAAGCTTTAGAAGCGCCCATAGATGTACGTGTATGCTTATATAATTATCAATGATATTAGGCATTACTGGGAACAAATTGCTTCAGTGAAATGAACAGTGTACATGTATTTTCGATTGTGATCAGTCATTTGCGAAGCTGTCACCAAAGGCGTACGTCATTGTTTGTGTATGTAAGTATAGGAACAACGTAGGTTGGTGGGCTGATTAGTCATTACAATCGGGGGTGTGGCAAGTGCGCGGCGGAAATGACCGACAATTACCGAAGGAATGGAAGTAGGGTTTCCTTCATCCCTTTAATAGCATATATTTCTCATATAATGCATAAGTAGTCTTTCTTTTGTAAAGACACACTGATATTTATCTCCCCATGGTAAAGATACCACCTACATGTTTAGAGTATTATTAAATCTGACAGTATTTTGAGGGCATTCCCATGATGCACCTGCGCACTTAGCATTGTGGGATTTACTCTACAGCGAGAAAATTTTTCACTACATGTCGATGACACAAACCTCAGGAACATAGTGTGTAAGTATGGAAATATGCGTCTTATCATATTTTGGGGGCTTTAGGTGTGAAGTAGAGTCTCTGAAGAACAAGAAATGTAACCCAAACGCAGTTTTTGTTTAACCATTACGCCATGCGGGCTACCCAAACTCATGTCGATTTTTGGTGAAATCATGCCACAACTGGCCATGTCTTTGTCGTTTTTTCCCGTCTTTTCCTTTCACTTTTAGAACAGAATTCTTCATATTTTTCTTATACATTGTCTATTAAAATCTTCCAAGATAACACGCGAGTCTATCCCGCGCCTAGTGATTAATGTTGTGCGAAATTGTTTTGCGTTGTTACCAGTGATAGGTTCGAATGCAGGTCAAATCTGCGGCAACGGAATGAGGCCTACCACATCTTCCCGTTTCTAATTTTATTCTATAAAACTTAAACTGTCAAGAAGGAGAAAGCGATGTGAGATGGATACTACAAATGAGGGAGAAATATTGAGAGTTTTAATTATGGGTAATGATAAAACCTCCCATGAAAATAATCAATGGCCGGTTAATCAGAGGCTACGCCTTAGGCCTGTTTAGAATCACACCCTTGAATATGGAGTCCTGACTATATATATAGGCCTATATACGGAAAGAAATACCGAGTCTGCTTTCGGGGCCAATTCAGAAATTCACTATATTTGACTTGGACTGAATCGTGATCTTGGTTTGTGTGCTAAGATCTTTCATTATGACCATGAGATTTGACCTATAGATCTTTTGGCCAAGATTGGTTTAATCTCTTTCAATGATAACTATTTATCCCCTATTGATTTTCAAACGTGTTGCAATAAATATATATTTCAATTCCTTCCACCTGAAAGTGAAGTCAGGTGTGCTGTTTTTATTTATTTTTTCATATCAATTGAACTTGAAGTAAATTGATACGCAAAGCACTCAGATTACTAGACAGTTACCATCACCATGATGAGTGTATGTAAGTTTGAAATTCCAAATGGATTTGTACCCCTAGAAATTGAAAGTAATTTTGTAACCCTATGTACTAAGCAATGAATTCTGCTATATAGAGTATTAACTTGGATTTGGATCTTAACAACATATGATGTAAATGCATTGGGCGATATGCTATTTGAACAAGAATAACGTGGGTTTAATCTGTTGACTGAGGCTAATCTTTAAGAAAACACTGTTTCAATTGACAATTACTCATGTGCTCCTTGTTCCCAGTAGCAGTTGAGATGGAGATTGAAGATGTTAATTTAACAATAAACATCTGGACCAGACTGCAGTGATTGAGCATCGATCAACGCAATTGGGATATTGTGATGTGTTTGTGTGTTGATAATTGATGGCCGTCTGAAAAGTATGTTTGGAAACCTATATCCGACAATAATGTCTTATAAACTAATATATAGCCATATGAAATAGGGTTAAAATGTTCCTTATTATTAGGTTTTCAAATTCTCTTGGGGTACAAAATTTCCAGGGGTATGAATTTGTTTGGGTTACGAAATTACCTCGTCCCACCAGACTGTCATCTTCATCCTGCATGTGTCAAGCCCAGTATGTTTCATGGGCAGTGTGTATTGTGCTGGTATGATGTACATGTGTGTATACAGCAGTTGCTTTTATTACTGATAATACTCACTCGTGTAGCAATGGTCTATTAGCAAGTTATATAGATATATATGGTAATAACTACAGAATTGTTTTCACATGATAAATAATCAGCTTGTCTATCATGGTCTATTGTGTAAGAACCTTTCACCTAAATTTGACATTTGTACATGAATGTCTGAAAGAGGGTTTTACACTTACCAGTGCCAGACGAATTCTGGAGTAAAATTTTCTGCAATAAAAACGTACACATTTCCAAAATATGTAAACATTATTACAAACGTAACAAGTATTTCACTGATTGTTTTCTTTAACATTTTTTGTCTTGCATTTAGACATTTCAAGACAAAAATTATGCAAATACATTTTGCATGGTGTCTGGTATTTATTTATTGTTAGATGTAAACAAAGTTTATGTTGTAGTAATCATGGTAATACCACAAGAACATTTAAAAGCGAGAATGATTCAAATTTTGTTTTATAGTAGGATTCATATTTTGTATGTTCGAATCGCATGTTAAATGTTTGGTCATCATGCAAAATTCAGTAGAAAAGCTTGAAAATAATTAATATTAGGATATTGATTGATTAATTTTTTTTTTTAAATTGTAATTCTGCAGTAAGTTACATTTTCTACAAATCTTTCAGCGATCAAGGAATCACAGAATTCATCTGGGACTGAGCAAGATTTAAAGAAAATTATTTACATCACATGTCCTTAAGAATGCAGAAGAATGAGTGTACAAATCATTCAACCGGGTCAAAATAGTAGATGGCTTGTTACAAACTGACTTTCTCTGTTTTGATGGCAATGACCCATTGACTTTCATGCTTAATTTCAAGCAGTGTATTCTCATAAGAAATACTCCAAGTTCATGCCAAAAAGGATTACTGTGACTGCCCCTGAACTCAAATACTCACCAACAAAAATAGATGAATCCAGATAAATGCCTGGTGAAATCTCGGTTAAGTGTCCATGTAATATTGCCTATGTACATAAAGCGTGGCCATTGTGAAATTAATGCAGCCCTTCTTCAGTTGATAATTATCAGTGAGAAATGAACTCTTTATTTCACTTTGTTGGGGTATACGCTGGTGCTATTAACATGTTTCTTTTGTTGGCAGAACTAAAAGAAGAAAACCTTTTTTTCATCATTTTTACTTTGTACGTGCTCTTGGTGTGCTGGTTGGAAATCTAGCAGCATACTGGACGCAAAGACAGGGAAGGGTGGTGCTTCTCCACACTTAGGAGGACGGTAAGTATTCCCTCAACAGTGTATGGTAGACATCAATCTCATAAAAATCATATCTTTTTCTCTCATACGATATCCCACTGCGTGAAGATCTGAGGACACTCCATAGGAGGTTGTGCTGACTGCCCAATTATGAATTAAGCAAGCTTGATTTCTTGATCCAATCAGATGTCAATTTTCTAAACAAAGTTCTGCTCCATTTCTGTACCACCTTGATTTGGAAAAGTTCATCTTAGCAAATGAAGACCTCATCTCCCCACCCAACCCCGGAACACAAGTAACCATTAAATGATTTAATGGTCCACCCTTTTGAGTGTAGATGCCACCGCGCTCATGAACAGGATGTATACGTTATCCTCAATAATGTTATTAGTTTCATTGTTTTTGCGTTTGTAGCTCGGTAAATTTTACTTGTTGAGGTACACAAATCATATGTTTGTATGAATGCTTGGCACACTTGTAGTTGTACGAAGAATCTAGAAGCTTCAACGCTGAAGTTCACCTGAAGTGACACCTGGCTGTGTCCTTATATCTTCATGCAGAGAGGTATCAGTGTGGTGTAAAAGGTCTTTATTTTCATGAGATCGGGCACAGCAGTGTATTATAGACCCATGTATACACGGTTCCAGATTCCTTGTATTAAAGTGGTCATGCAGAGATAGAAATGTAGATATTGTTTAAAGCGTACCATAAACAATGTTTTGGTGTACTCTTTGGGATGGAAATTGAAAATTTGTGCTAACTAATTATGCTTTTGGTCTTCAAACGCTAGCTAGATATAGATAATAAGCAGTTTAATTTAGAAGGGTTGCTTCCTTCCTTTTCACTGTGACCATTTTTGACTTCTGAATTCCCAAATACATTTTTTCAATCCCACTGCATTCAGCATCATCATTTCCCACATTTTGTCACATATATTTCTGCAGATGTAAATTAATCACTGGCTTCATATAATTAACATTACAAGGTCATGTTTAAAAAATGTATCCCTAAGTGAACTGTTCCCATCAGATAGTGAGACCTTACTTCATATAGTTTCATTATGATTTTGACCGTATCATTAGCACTAAGATACAAGGAATTTCTAACCCTGTCATGGTGTTTCATTAAGAAGTGTGCCAAAGACTTCAGTGTGTAATCTTTGAAATCTTAAGCCATTCATTATTAGGTGCATGAACTCTCCATCTTGCTTTGTCATTTGAATCATCTGGTTATATTAATGTACATGTTTATGGTGTATATCTGACTATGGAGGGCATGACTGGCCTACTGGGATTAGGATGTGCAGAGTTGTCCTTTACATGACAGGATCAGCTGAGCAAGTCCCAAACCCAGATTCACCTGCATTAGCAGTCTTGTTTAGTTAGCACCATTGTTCTCAAGGGCTTCAGCAGAGTGGTAAATGTTGATCTGCATCCCTTGATGTTGCTGTATCACTTAGGCTGTTCCATGTAAGCTGACATGACTGAAAGTGTTGGAAGCAGTGTGGTACTCATGACTCATTCATCTGATTGTGAAACAACCTCTACCCGGGGTCCTTTTACCTCAGTCTGTTCACGCTTTTCCATCTTGTGCAACACTTTCTGTTCTACTTCTATCCAGAAAGAAACATTAGTAATCATGTTATATCACACGGCCCATTCAGTCTTAATAATGGCAATCCCTGCAAACTAAATTTGCAAATAATTTATTAGTTCTGGCATTTGTTGATTAAAGAAGCTTTTTTTTTCAATATTTATGTCAAGACTGACCGAATTTTCATATTAGCTGTTTTTTCTTCTTTGAAAACCACATATGCCTCTGATAAATGGTGCCAGAACAATGTTGAGATAAAATTACCCTGAGAAATAGATGTCAAGATAGATATCTATTTGATTTCCAGGGATGCATGTTAACCTGAAATGTTTACTAGCCAGAATACTTATGACAAATTGTTAAACAGAAATTGTGTAAAATTGTTCGATTTGACCATGTTCTAAAGTTTGTTAAAATTTTGTTTTCAGAAATTGTTGAAAGTTCAAGCAGTCGATTTTTACCTAGGAGAGCATAGAGATTAAATGAGAGTTGTGTATGTAGAAGTATACTTGTGAATCATTTTTCTTCTTAAATGTTTACTGGATCATTAAATATGATATTCACTTTTTAGAAGATTGTCCCCAGCCGTGATATTGCTGGAATATTGCTAAAAGCGGCCTAAAACCATACTAATAGATAATGCGAAAAAAGTTGTTTGGGAAGAAATGAATAAACTATCTTGCATGCAGCTTTCTTCTAATTTCGCTTTCAGAATTTTTATGTATTTCCGTTGTAGAGATTTGTCTTGTTCAAGTTTTGTCCTGAATTGTTGCTGTGCTAAGCTGAAAGAGCTGATGCAGCAATATGAAAATGGCAGTGTTCAGTGGAATGCTGTGGTTCTGAGAGGCAAACTGAATAATGTTTAATCTATCCTATGCCTTAGACCTCAGCTGATATGTCATTCAGCTGTTGTCACCATTATGAAAAGCATATCAAATCACTGTTATGTCTTCTTTCCATGTAGAAAGGTCAATAAACAAGAAAGTTGTCAACTATCATCCTATCAAAATTTTATTTTTTTAAATGTTCTTTTCAGATTACTATGCTTGCCTATATTGTAAGATGCTATTGTTGTTGCAGGGACGAGAGACCACCCACTCTCTCAGGCCCAGGTGCGCACACACCTGTTGCTAAGAAAAGATGGATTCCTCCAAGCAGTGTGAAAAGAGAGGTCCCAGCCCAAGAGGACAAAAATGATGTTGTATTTCGTAGAGTCAGAGGGTAAGTGAATCCTGATTCATTTGACTTTTTAGGGAGCTTGAGGCATGAACAATGTTGTCTCTGCTGCAAAATACTTCATCAGTTCCACAAGTTTCCCAGAACCCAGTGCTTGTCATTCAAGTACTATAAAAGGAGCCACCTTTTGGGATTCTGGGTCAGAATAAGTCCCCAGCAGCAATGGTTGAGAGGCGATCAATTGGATCAATGTGATTGGTTTGTTGCATGTCATCATAATCAATGTTGTGGAATCATTGCTCGCAGTATCGATTACTGGATTGTCTTTCCAGACTCAATTATTTTTCAAGCCGTCGCACAGAGCTTGAAATTTGAGTGCAACATTGAACAGAGAAAAATGATTGGTTGGTTACTTTGTGTCGCCTTTCTGAGTTTGTGACGTCATACCCTTGTAGAGTTATTCACTGCTGTCAAGCAATAATTTTTTGCATTATTGACTTTGTTTCTTGTCTCCAGAATTCTCAACAAACTCGCACCTGAGAAGTTTGATAAGTTGAGTCTTGAGCTTCTGAATGTGGGCATTGACACACAAGTCATCCTTAAGGGAATAATTTTACTGGTAAGTTGTTTAACTTCATTTTTAATCAGTTACTTATATCACTCTATTGGGAAATACTTTTGCATGATTGCTTTGTCTGTAACGTGACTGACGTGCTGTAAACTTTAAACTCTTTGCATGGTGCAATGAATTTGTGAACAAATTTCAATGATATATGATATGACTCTCTAGTGAAATTGTGTACGAACTTTGGGGTGTGGGGAGCAAAGTCATGACACATGCTTGAGTTCCCTGTTCTGAGTTGAGTTCCCTAGGGGTGCCAAGAACCTGATCATGGGTCCGAATCCCAGATTCCCCAGATTGTTTCAAGGTTGTTCATTTTATTCCATGCTTGTGGGTTTCTACAAGGGGTAAACATCTAAAACCTGCATCAGGCACACTTTCCTCCCACATCAAGCTGACAGTGATTTTACTGAAATACTGTTCAAAGCAGTGTTAAACCAAATTCACTCAAATATTGACTGTCAAAATGCTTAGCTAGACTGTGCACTTGCAAGGGAATTTTGTTAAGCGGCCTTTGTTTTTGCAATTTCTCAGGGAATTGGTCTGTAATACAAATAATGCATGTGTATTAACAGCTATTATTGTCGTACATATACTTGCATGCATATATTTTTACTTATACATGGTTTATTGCACATGTGGAATCTATCATTTACCTCGCCTGTTTGGTGTAGATTTTAATGTTTGTATAATTTGTTCTTGTTTTATGGCTCTAATATTGGCGATGCGAAGGCAAGTTGTAACTCACCTTCCCTTGCAAACATGTAAAACTAAATGCTATTAACAAATGCCAGTTTGGTTCGTATTTATTTTTGCTGATTACAGTAAAAGAATTTGAATTGTGCTGAATGGTTAGAGGCGATTGCTTAAATGGAGATCATAAAGACGCTTGAAATGTAAAGGATTCATTTAATCCTTGTGATTATTTGCTCTCGATATTGTTCAAACCTAGGTTCAGGTATACAGAATGCTAATATGGATACTAATAAGGATTACTGCAAAGCATCTGTGGCATTGCCCAGTATATCTGGTTGTCATGGAAACAGGTATGCTGGCCAACTGCCAAGCCTTTGATGTTCCCATCCTGAGAGTAGATTAACAGACTTACGTTTAGTGGTAGCTGCTCCCATGAATCACTTAGTGTGCAGGCTTCTGTAAACTGTCCGTAACATCTGCAGATATGTGTTTGGTACTAGCTGAACTTACCATTTATCTACAGATGAAGTTTGGCTACATGGGTGGGTGAAGGTACTGAAGTAAGCATTAATGTCAAGAGGTTCTCAGGGATTGACATGGTCACTGGCCTGTTAGACTAGTGAAATGTACGGGGTCTAGTTAGTTTATCCTAAAATCTAGTTAATGTACATAAACCACCAGCTCAAATTAAGGTGCAGATTAGTTGCGTATGACCAATGGTGTCTACTGTCTACTCCCGTATTTTAAAAGGGCGCTCCGATTCACTGTGCAGAATCACGTCCCTTGGACACACCAGAAATCTGATTGTGGGTTCGAATCCCGGTTCGCCCTGATTTTGTTTCTAGGTTTGTCAGCATCATACCTGTGCTCGTGGGTTTCACTGAAGTGGTAAAACGTCTAGGACCTGCATCACTTTGGGCTTTCCTTCCACATTAAGCTGACATGCCGTGATATAACTGGAATACTGTTAAAACCGGCGTTAAACACAACACACTCACTCACCATATGTTAAAGTTAAAAGATCTAGGGGGTTCCTAGATTCAATTACCTTTCAAAACCTCGAGCACCAAAGGACACACACCACCTTAATTTCGTACACTGTTTTTCTTTAGTTTTGCTGCTCGAAGATGGGCAAAATCATACAAAATCTGTCGTATTAGCGAACTGAATTTTGTTTCAGATTTTTGAAAAAGCATTAGATGAACCGAAATACAGCTCCCTCTATGCCCAGCTCTGCCACAGACTATGTGAGGACGCACCCAACTTCGAACCTCCCCAGTCCAACATCACAGTAAGTTTTACGACTGAAATCTTTCACCAGATACGATGTGTAAAATATTACTGTATTCAGGGATCATGCATCACAGTTGTTAGTTTATTGATGATAAGACCAGAAGTTGTTTCAAGTTTATTGATGATAAGACCAGAAGTTGTTTCAAGGCATGACAATGTCATCCTCATTAATCAAGTGTTGTCTAGTTACCATTATGATAAATACCCTGGACCCATTCGCCACATTCAATACTCATAACGACCTATGAAGATCCCGGTGTAGAATAGGTCTTAAGCAACCCATGCTTGTCGTAAAAGGCGACTGCTTGTCGAAAAAGGCGACTAACGGGATCGGGTGGTCAGGCTCACCGACTTGGTTGATGCATGTCATAGATCCCAATTGCGTGGATCGATGCTCATGATATTAATTACTGGATTGTCTGGTCCAGACTCGATTATTTACAGACCGCCGTCATATAGCTGGAATATTGCTGAGTGCGGCGTTAAACAACAAAGCAACCAACCATTCGCCACAATAGCTTTGTTTCAGAAGTGACATTCTCTTAATAAGTTAACACATTGTTTCTTTGCACAAGAGTTAATTTATTATTTTTTTAGTTCTGTGCCATTGGATTTTGGCTCAAATGAAGCTTTAGTCGTGCTTGGGAACAGGGTATTTATCATAAAAATGAGTCAAATACACTGGATAATCAAAAAAGGACAAGATAGGATTCGGGATACATTCAAAAACATCTCATCCCTTTTCTCTTTGTCTTTCTACAGAGGTCAATAATGCCTTCCTTGCCACTTGATTTTAAAAAACGTCTTGAATACTGTTTGCATGGATTTTCTCCGTTATGTTCATAATTCATCATTATCTTTCCCAGACCTTCCGCCGGCTGCTTTTGAACAAGTGCCAAGATGAGTTTGAGAACAGGTCCCGTGCAACTGAAGGTAGTGTTTCAATTTATGTAATGATTTTTAAGTTAAGCATCAGCGTGATTAGTAACACAATAGATGGGAGGTATTCTAGTTTCTGAAGTAGCTCATTGCTGACTGTCCCATCTAGAAGATTTTGTTCTAAAATATAGTTTTGTTTAACGCCGCACTCAGCAATATTCCAGCTATATGGGCGGCGGTCTGTAAGTAATCAAGTCTGGACCAGACAATCCAGTGATTGACAACATGAGCATCGATCCACGCAATTGGGATCGATGACATGCATCAACCAAGTCACCTCTTACAAGCATGGGTTGCTTAAGACCTATTCTACCCTGGATCTTCACGGGTCACCAACTTAAGTAATTGGGGGTAGTGGGGTCGGTTAAAGCTTTTGCTCATCTTGCCAAAGGGGCGGTCGGGTAGCCTAGTGGTTAAAGCGTTTGCTCGTCACGCAGAAGACCCGGGTTCGATTCCCGACATGGGTACAATGTGTGAAGCCCATTTCTGGTGTCCCCCGCCGTGATATTGCTGGAATATTGCTAAAAGCGGCGTAAAACCATAGTCACTCACTCACTCATCTTGCCAAAGACCTGAGTGTAATTACCCACATTGGTACATGTAAGGCCCATTTTAAGTGTTCCTGCAGTGCTTATGGGAATATTTCGAAAAGCGGTGTAAAATCCAACTCGTGTATGTGTTTGCTTTCCGGTATACAGTGCTAGTATGGTATCTGTATGCCTTTGACCCCCTAAAATCTATGAGTCCCCATGTCTCATAAATAGTATAACAAAGTAAATCCGTTTTTGACTCAATATCCTGATTGTGTCCTAGTGTTCGACAAGAAGGATGCGCCACTTTCAACCGAGGAACATGAACAGTACCATCTGGCAAAGAAGAAAATGCTTGGAAACATCAAATTCATTGGTGGGTACCATATATCATGTATATAAAGCTTAAACAATGTTTTTTGATTGGTTGATTGGACCAAATCACTTGCAATTATTTCATTTTGAAAAAGTCTAAAACAATATATATAATCTTGAAAGACATTTTTAATCGGACAAGTTCCAGTAAATGGTATTGGTTCCCAACATCAGAAATTATATGCATCCTTGAGGTTTGTTGGTATTTCTTTATGATGGGACTCTCTAAATCTGTTCATTTTAACAATTTAAAAAATACTTGTTTAATTTCGACTTTGTTTCTGTTTGACAGGCGAGCTCGGGAAGCTTCAGATGCTGCACGAGGGGATTCTACACAAGTGCATCAAACAACTCCTGGAGAAGAAAAGAAACACACCTATACGGGACATGGCCGAGGATCTCGAGTGTCTCTGTCAGATAATGCGGACCGTCGGCCCTCGTCTGGACTCACCCAAGGCGAAGGTACGTGTATTGGGGAGCTTGTTTCTTTCTGTCAGAAAAGAGTTTATTAGATGAAAAAAAGTTAATCTAATTTTACATGAGTTTGTATTATAATCTTTCTATTTTCCCAGTCTATCATAAATTGATTGAGCAAATAAGTTTAAATGTTTTTCAATTAATTACCCTGATTGTTTGGTTTCTGGTCGGTCATCCATAAACCAAACATTGCCTTGTGCAGTTTCTTGTTCCTGTCGTCACCAAGTTTCCTGGTCTGAGATCTGATATATGTTTTGTAATGTTTCAGGCATGGATGGATCAGTACTTTGAACGAGTCAGGCTTTTTAGCCAGAATCTCGAGTTGCCGTCTAGGATTCGTTTCATGCTTCAAGATGTGATAGAACTACGCGAGAAGAAGGTGAGAAACACATCTGTCAGATAATGATGAAATTTCAGAATAAAGTTTCTAAGTCATAAGGAGTTGATTTGAATCACAATTGTGGTTACATAAGGTCCCCTGCAAACTATGCTTCTCCCACAATTATAGGCAGCCATCACAAAGCTGGGATATTGTGGAGTGTGCCCCAAAGCAGCAATGAAGAATTCTTTGAGTTTGTTCTGTGACATTGTTGTTTAGCTGAAAGAAAATTTAATCTTGCAGAGATGGGTTCCTCGGCGAGTGGCTTTGGACAACGGACCTAAAACAATCACGCAGATTCGACAGGAAGCAGTTGATGTAAGTCAACCCCAGGGTTACAATATGAAAATAATACAACACTATCAAGAAGAAACGCTGACTGAATAAGGAATTTCTTTCCATTAAATACTGTAGTACTTCAGCTTGTTCTTTCGAATGAGGCTGGGTGACTTTCCTCACTTGCAGTTCAGTTGCACAAAGCAGTTTTACTGCTATGACTATCTTACCAATTCCGCAATACTGGTTCATGAGAGGTGACTTAATAGATCAGATTGTCTCGCTCTTTTGTCGGTTGATTGTGTGACGCTGCTCATCACTGAATTTGTTTGTCCAAGTCTTGATTATGTAAGGGTTGTTGCCATATAGCTGGAATATTGCTGACGGTGGTATTAAGCAAGAAACAAACACATCACAACAGTCTAAATTTATCACAATTTCACAATTCTCATTTTCTCTTTAACAGGAACTTGGTGTATTTATTCCTCCGCCATCTGCTCAGAACCGCGGCCAGGCATTGATGGGGGGTCGTGCTATGAACGGGACAATGGGGGGAGGAGGAGGAGGCGGAGGTGGAGGGGGTAGCTGGAAGCAAGGAGGCATGGGGGATCTCTTCAGCATGCCACCGCCAGGAACCATGGGAAATTGTAAGTCACTGCCTTGTGAAGGATCCCTTGATGATGTGGGTTGAAATTGGTCTTCAGCAAACAGTGCTTATCATAAGAGGCAACTAATGTGCTCGGGTGGTCAGGCTTGCTGACTTGGTTGATGGATATCATTGTATCTCAATTGCATATCTCTCATAATCAATATTCATGATTCAATTCAAATTCAAATCAAATTCAAATTAAGCATTTATATAGCGCTACCTATCCAGACATACTGCCTGCTCAAGAGCTCTCAGTCGTATGCTTTTTTGAAGAGGATGGTCTTGGTGTCAGTCACTGGATTGTTTGATCCAAACTTGATAATTTAGACGCTGTCATATAGCTGTAATATTGCCGAGTGTGGCTATTCTTGAAGCAAGTGGAAGGAGTGTGGTGGCCTGATTGTCTCCTCGGACACCATGAGCAGAAATCAGTTTCTAAGATCTTTTCTGAATCCATATGGGCTCAGCATAATTTTCTGAAAATTGTTTATCATTTAGGCTATTAATAGCTAAGCATACAAGACCAACCCTGTAGGCTAGGTTGGAGACTGCCTTAAATAATGTAAGCACCCTGACTAAAGTGTTTCTTTATTACAGTCAACTCTATTGGGACTGGCCCTGGCGTGATTCAAGTAGACAACTTTGCATCCAGTTATCAGAACAACATGGGACGGAACAGGAACAACCAACAGAATCAAGGTCGGTGATCATACTTGCTCCATTCATCAAGACCTGATATTGGGCCTGAAGTCTGTAGAAAATCTCAACAACAAAAATCTGAATGTGAATAAGGGCCACTGCAATAAGAAATGTTGATCATGCAGAGTCGGAAATGAATTTCTATTTTCTGTCCTAAAAACATTTTTGCTGCAGGGATGCCATCTGCTGTTGGTAAAAGTGGTTATCCAAAAGGCAATGTTACTAGTCCTCACTGAATTTTTCTAGCCTCGGACGAGCAGACTTTAATTTCGAACACTGTCATGCTATTAACCACTGGTTTCTGCAGACTTGGACCATTTACAGGCCTTATTGCTGACTGCGACAAATATAAAACAAAAACACTATACATGGAAATAGAAAATATTAAGTTGCATTTTTGCTTTATTGCAGGATTTAACAACAACTTCATGAATCGCCGGCCAGACAGTGGAGGTAACAGTCCGCGTAACCAGCGTCACAATCAGCAGAACCAGCAGCAGCAGCAGCAGCAGCAGCAACAACAGCAACAGCAGGGGAATCCAGGCAACAATCAACAGAGTCAATACTACAACAAGCAACAGCAACAGCCGCAGGGACAGAATCAACAAGGTAACTAGATACCAATCATTCTGATATTGGTGAAGTCATTGCATTATTATCTCTAAACCTCAGGCGGCACGGGTGGCCCAGTCGTCTAAGGCATCGCGATTCGCTGTGCAGAGTTGCATCCCTTGGGCACGCCAGAAACCTATGATTGTGGGTTTGAATCCCGGTTCAACCCGATTCTGTTTCTAGGTTTGTCAGCACCATACCCATGCTCATGGGTTTCACTGAAGTGGTAAACGTCTAAGAACCGAATCACTTTGGGCTTTCCTCCCACATTAAGCTGAAAGCTGTGATATAACTGGAATACTGTTAAAAGCGGCACTAAACCCAACTGACTCACTATCTCTAAACCTCATTATGTCACACCAGATGCCGCCACTACATTTGTGAATCATGATATTGATAAGGCCAAAGTCCTAAAGTACATAATCTTGGATGTGTTACAAATTCAGAAACTTTCGTAGTTCATAGCATGATAAATGAACATAGATAAATGTCTTATTGTTCAGGGATAGACATGGCCACTAGTCTTTTAGTCTGAGAATAGTGAAAATCTAGAGGACTAGTTGTAGTTTTTTTAAAGTAAGTTATTTTATTTAGCCACTAGTCCAAACTGAGCTGGACTAGCTTTTGGTGTCTAATCCTGTAGTTAATGTACAATCACGTCATTAATTTACAGGATTTAATATGAATTGTGATGGAAGTAGTTATTTGGATATTTGCTCTGATCATTATACAAACACTGAACATACAAGTAAATATGAAATTCGTCTTCATTAGAACCATTTTCTACAAATTCTACAAAGTCTTTTCTCTTAAGAAATCAACGTATCTGCCTGTTTCAATAAATAAGTCATGTGAGTTATAACAAGATAAAAAAGGAGCTGTTCAAATCTTGCATAAATATGTTTCAAAGATAAGGTTCTGTTGTTGTGGGGAGTCATAAATATAATATATGCCATTTGTTTTTATACATTAAGCAATTATTGCATGTATAGAAGTGAGAAATTAGAGGAACCAGGGCCCACTTGCACAAAGCAAACTTAGCGCTAAGATGATCGTATTTCCCATACGTTAGCATAGACTTGAGATAGTCACAGCGCTAAGATCACTTTGTGCAAGTGGACCCTGGTGGTGTTTGGTTATTATCTAAGAACACCCACATGATATTTAAGTATTATTGAGACTAGGTCCCCCTACTGTCCATTTACAAACAATGAGGTTGATTTGTAAATTTGTTTAAAATGCTGCACAGCACTTTTAATTTGAGCATTGTTGTTTGTGTTGCAGCTACAGGCAACCGAGACTTGCCTCCAAGATTCCAGCGCATGTCGATCAATCACAGTCCCCCCTCCACATCCCCAATTTCGGGAAATAACAAGTTGTCAAGGGAGGAAGTCAGTCTTCGCCCAGTCAAGAACTTCACAGTCCTCAAACCTAACACACCGGGCATGCTTCCCAAGTCAGCCCAAGGCCCATCATCCATGGGGGGATTCTCCAGCCTCAACTCTGGGGGCAACAAGTCAGGATCGACGGCACTTAACCCCCTGCTTAGTAAACAGGTATGTGCAATCCAAGTTTCTTTGTCGTTTAACTGTTGAGGGTCTGTTAACCACTTTTAGATTCAGACTACTTCTGTGGTCTTGTGGATAGCGTCTGCCAAGAGAGCAGAAGGTCTGTGATCCTACGTTAAGACAGTTAAAGATGGTACTTGTTAACCTGCCTGGAGCTGAAAATTTAGGGGACAAAACAAGGACTATTCTGCTTGAAGTCCCTATACTGTGTCTAAGTATGGTGTCCATGTCTAACTGAGGCATTATACCTCCACACACACGTGCATTGACGGCGCTATATAAGTGCTAGAGTCTTGAAAGCAAGGTTAAGCCTCATTTCACCTGGCCTTTTAGCTTCATCAATATCAGTTGCCTTCCTGATTTTCAGTTATAAATGAAGCCTGATGGAAACAGAATGTTAGACTGTACAATGTTATGGCAGATAAGTTCTGAAGTATACATGCATATGGAGGGAGTTTCTTGTGGCCTTAAAAACTATAGCTAGAACTATGAAAAGCCCTGGAATTTGATGACTGAAATTTGTTCCAATAATGAGTAGGGTGTTGTGTATACACATATTATCCTAATAGACCGCCTCCGTTGTCTAATGGTAGAGCGTCCACCCGGAGAGCGGAAGGTCCAGGGTTCGATCCCCAGCCGCGTCGTACCAAAAGACATTAAAAGATGGTACTTGTTGTTACCCTGTCTGGCGCTCGGCATTAAGGGGCTAAAACAAGGACTGGTCGGCTCAGTCAGTATACTGTGTCTGAGTGGGGTATTCATGTTAAACTGCGGCATGGTATCTCAGTTGGCTAGCACTATAAATCGGCATCAGTCCACGCACGCACGCACGCATGCACGCGCGCAATAATCTCTTGGACGCGACGTTAAACCCCATTTCACCTCACCTCACCTATTATCCTAATATTTTCTATTTCAGCCTCTGATAACTATCAAACAGAACAGTGAAGATAAGGGCAAATCTAAGAAGAAGGAATTTATCTCTAAGGAAGAACTTCAGAAGACAGTGGTATGTTCTCATTTCATTCATCTCTGTATTGAATAAATAAGGTTTGATTTATTTGTGCTATATGTTCTGATATTATATTTCAAAACAAGGGCTTGCTTGTCTGCAAGTAGGGCGGTCGGGTAGCCTAGTGGTTAAAGCGTTCGCTCGTCACGCTGAAGACCCGGGTTCGATTCCCGACATGGGTACAATGTGTGAAGCCCATTTCTGGTGTCCCCCGCCGTGATATTGCTGGAATATTGCTAAAAGCGGCGTAAAACCATACTCACTCACTCAATTGTCTGCAAGTACTGTTAAATCAAACACTTACACTGACTGGTCAGCTATGAAGTGCATCTATGTGGGTTCTGGCTTAGAATAGGTCCCCAGCAACCTATGCTGGTTGTACGGGGTGACTTGCTGAAGGCGTGGTCACACTAAGGGAGTGTTGGTAGGAATTCTTGTCGGGTGTATTTCATCATTTGTAAAATTTTATATATTCTTTTTCAGACAAGCCTTCTTTCTGATTATCTCGGAAATAACAACAAGGCAGATGTGGCAACACAGATCAAGGACATGTCTATTCCGAAGAAGTAAGTCAACAGATTTACAATTTGGGGACTCTCAGGAAGGGATTGTGGCAGTCCCAGCTAATGATTGTGGCAGTCCCAGCTAATGATTGTGGCAGTCCCAAAGCAGTGGTCAATATTAGGGTTATTTAGAAAAAAATGTGGGTAGTATTGTTGGAACACAAGAAATTACTTATGCTGAGTTATATTGTTGGATATGTAGGAAAAGAATATTATTCTTTTGTAATTTTTGTTTTTCAGGCTGATTAGAGATCTCTTATCACAACTGCTGGTTGAATCCGTGGACAAGAGTGGTAAGTATTTTGCCTGTGAAATATTACTCATGCCTGGTATCATTGAAAGGAATCGTTCTCTAAGAAGATATGTAACATAAATTGTTCGAGGTATTTGTCTTTTGGATAAAATTTGTTGAGTTTAATTGTGGAACTTGTCAAAAATAGCCATCGACTTAGAGAATGTTTCAATCCTGCTGGTTTAGAACAAGTTTCCGTTCTGTATGGTGACCTTTGTTGCGATTTATTCCAATATTCTGAGACAAATGGCATCAAGTCATTTTCATGGTTTTTTTGTTTTTTCAACTTTTCATTGGACATTCTTCTATGTCATTACCACATTTTAGAAAAACTGTAGGACATTTTTTCATGATAGTCTGTCCTAGTAAATGATCTGATTTGATTCCTGTCATTGAGTGTTTTGAAATCTTTATTATTCTCCAACCAATTAAAAATTAATTCTGTGATAATCTTTGCCAACAGATTTATTTATGAATTTACCCTAGACATGTTCTAGTCACAATATGGGTGAAATTCTACTCTGACTCTTTAGTGTTCAACCAGTCACCTGACAGGTGACGTGGATCTTCGATATTGTTTTGACTGAGTTTTGTTCAACATGCGTTTCCTTTTCTTTCAGAAACTGAGCGAGACCGTGTCATGGAGCTGATATCTGAACTGAAGAAGGATGGATTCATCTCAGCAGAGCAGTTCATGGATGTGAGTTATCTATTGTGCTGCAAAAAGATTTGGTAGTACCAGTGATAAAGTGGTGTCATGATTGTGAAAGGATGGGCAGTCTCAAGTTGATGTTGGGTCTTTAGTTTTCTTCACATCTTGCTATTCAGCTCGCTTGTCTTCAGATCAGATACTGGGGTAGCTTAAAGGTTAAAGCGTTCACTTGTTATGCTGAAGGCCTGTGTTCGATTTCCCCACATGGGTATAATATATGACGCCCACTTTTGGTGTCGCCTGTCATATGCTCTAATATTGCTGAAAGTGGTAAAACCTAAGTTACTCACATTGGAATGCTTCTAACAGTGCTTCTAACAGTTGCTTATCTCAAACACAAGTTCCATTCCACACAAGTGAAGCCAATTCTTGCTGTTTTTAAGATGAAAAGCAGACCTCACAGCTCAGTGTTTGTGTTGCAGAGTTTAAGGCGTGTGATGGACAAGATGTCCGACTTGGAGGAGGTACCACTGGTTAAATCGTCCGTCGCCAGGTTCGCTGCATCGTCCCTGGTGGAGAACATCGCCAGTTTGGAGGAACTTGCCGAGCCATTGGAGAATGGCGTTCATCATCCACTGTTTCTGCTTTGTCTACAACAAGTCGTGAAGCTGCGATCTGAAGACTGGCTTGAGGGTGTCTTCAGTGAGAGCAAAATCAACTTGCAGGGAATGCTACCAGGTAGGGACAACATAGAACAGAGCGCCATGTGACCTGGTGGGGATTCCGGGATAGAACTGGAACCCTGCAATCTATGCTGGTTGTAAAAGGCGACCAAATGGATCAGGTGGTTAGGCTCTGTGACTTGGTTGTTTGCATGTCATTGTACCCCCAGCGGCATGGCTCGCTGCTCACAATAATTCAGGGTTAGAACTTAACACTAGCCCACTAGCCCGCTAGCCCGGGGCTAGTACAAATTCCTACGGTCAAGTACAAATTTCCCCTTTGTGTTACATTGCAAGGGCATTTTATCTTTTTACAGGCTGGTAATGCATTTGAAGATAGTTCTAACCCTGAATATTGCTAATTGCGGCATTAAGCAACAAACCAACCAACTAATGGATTGTCTGGTCCAGACAGCTATTTACAGACTTCTGTCAGATAGCTGGAATAGTATTGTCTTGAATAGGCCCAGTGCTCCCAGGTCTTCAATGAAATGGTGTTTTGGTAGCCAGGCTCTGTGGATGCTGTGAACCAGTAATTTATCCTGGCCCCAACTAAATGTACAGGCAGCAGGGATGTAGCTTGAATATAGCAGACCACAGCTTAAAAAAATAAATAGCTGAAACCTTCTGATAAGATGTATGAAGACTGCCAATATCGCAGTGTTGAGATAAATTGTCAAATTATTTTGAAAGAATGAATGGATGTTGTTTAAGGACACATAACGTGATATTGAAACTTTTTGATCTGTGTTGTCAGAGATAGACCAAAAGAAGGAAAGAATGTTGGAGATCCTGGAGGACCGCAGTCTCAGCTTCCTGTTTCCCCTGCTGAAGATCCAGTCAGAGCTGTGGAAGCAGATTCAGGCCGAGCCCACTGCCACGGCCATCTTCAAGTGGGTCAAGGACAAGGTGGACAACGACATGCAGAACAACCCCGGGTTCATCGATGTGTTGACCACTAGGTGAGAAGGGGAAATGAATAAGGAAAAAAAAAAAAGTTTTGGTTCTCGGACTCCGCTCGCATCATCATAAAAGTCTGCCACACATTTCATTTTTATTTCCATTTTTTAAAAACAACAAAATATCCTAATACTTAAAAACAATGTGGTCCTAAATAGCACACAGTTACTTCCCTTTACATGCGCACTGCTTTACTGCACCTCTTGTGTTATGGTCATGGCGGGAATAGGAGTTTATATGCTTGTATATGTGGGGAGGCCCTGTCTCAGGTTGATGGTACACAACTGTTTATTTGGTTACTAGTTTGAACAAGCCGGGGGGGAAAAATTTAAAAAATCCGCCGCACACACGCACTGTTTTCAAAAGTCATTGTCTGAGAACCAATTCTTTTATTTTTTAGCCTAAAGCATTGGCTGGTCAGGCTCTGTAACTGGAAAGCATGTTGTCGTACCTTGATGGTGTGGTTGTTGCTGATAATATGAATCACAGGACATCTGGTGCAGACTCAATTATTTACATAGGGTTCTGTCATTTAGCTGGAATGTTGTGCGGGGTTAAACAACAAATGAACAGATCACCACACTGGAGTTGTAACATCAGTAAAATTGGACCCCATGAGTTTGTGTTTATTGTTAGTCAGTTCAGTTGGATCTCATGGACAGGCTGTCTTAGCTGATTGTGTGTCATTGTACCTCAACTGCATGGGTCATTGACCTTACTTTGCGAAGTCCACACTAGCTTGTTTACAAGTCACTGTGTCCTTACTGGAATAGCAACATTTGAGCAACATTCTCTCCCTCCCTGTTTCACTGTTTTAATGGTTTTGTTCTGCTTTCAGTATCCTGCGATTCGTTACTGGAGAGACAACTCTTGGAAAAGCCATCGATCCCGCAGCTGTCCCGGACAAAACTCTGATAGAAAAGGAGAAAGAAGTGCTGTTGAAACTCAAGGTAGTAGAGCACAACTCAGTAGTCCCACTCAGGCACAGTGATGTCTTCTTCCAAATCTTTTATGTGATCACTTTTCTGTTTGTAAACAAATGCGCTGATTCTTAATTCAGAGCCAATGGGTCTATGAAAGCCTTTTAGTGCATTTTGCAGATTATTATTTATAATAATAATTACTACCACAATGGCAACAGTGAGTACGAGGACATTATATCTTTACAAATTAAAGTGACTATTGCTAGTTCTTCGTTAGGCATTGATGTCTGCACATGGAACTGTCCAACCATTGTAAAGAAAGGATAAACATGAAAATGGAAATAGTTTTTCACGTTTTAGGATATTTTCTCAACAAAGTTTACCATTTCATGACATGATTATCTTAATATGTCTAAAATGAAAAAGTTAAGAAAACAAACATAATTGGTTTATTGGTCTGTGTAAAATGTGACGAATCACATCTCGCTGTCCAGTGGCAGGGATAGTCGGTTGACTGAAAGCAACTCAGGCTAGGACAATGCTCATTTGTGCATTGTCAGAATCCAAACATGTACATGCACATTACTATTTAGTCACTTGTGCAGAATCCAGAATAGAATGTTCACATGCTTATAGATCCATGTACACACACTTTGGTGCAGATGCAGACTGTATTGGGTAATGTGCTCGTTACAAAGTTATCTAGCTGAGTTTGTCGTCATATGATAATGTTAACAATGTTTCAGTGTCCGTGATAAATTTTTGTTTTAGGTGGTCAGTGCTACACTTTTCAGGGTGTCAATACACCATGTTTTAAGGTGTCCATGTTTCTGGGTGTCCATGCCCCATGTTTCAGGGTGTCCATGATTCAGGTAGTCCATGTTTCAGGGTGTCCATGTTTCAGCGTGTCCATGTTTCAGCGTGTCCATGTTTCAGCGTGTCCATACCCCATGTTTCAGGGTGCCCATGTTTCAGGGTGTCCATGCCCCATGTTTCAGGGTGTCCATGCCCCATGTTTCAAGGTGTCCATGCTTCTTGTTTCAGGCTGTGCTGCAGATGTTCCTTCACGAGAGGCTGGAGCTGCAGGTCAGCGCCCTCTATGCCACGCAGGTCTTCTGCCACAACCACCAATTTCCCAAAGGTATGTGATTCGGAAACATTGTAAGAAATAATTGATATATCTGTTTCACGTCCACTATGAACTTTCCACCAATCAATGCTGATTGGGTAGCCTTGTGGGTAAGGTGTTCACTTGTCACACTTGCCTGAGGTGTTCAGGCTTTGTAATTTGGTTGTTTGTGTGTCATTGTTCCCTGACAACATAGGACATTGCTCATGGATTGTCTGGACCAGGCTCAGTCATTATTTACAGGCTGCGTTATATAGCTGGAATATTTCCGAGTGCATTGTTAAGAAACATTAGAACATACCATTTCCAGATAATGCTTAGCTGCAGCTCCTCTTTGAAACTTTGTAGAACTGAAATGTTTGTCTTGTAACCCAATTGGTAGAAACTAACATTTTCAGTCCGCTATTCCTTCTAATAACATATAGCAAAACCCTTAAAAATGGCAAATTTCTACTAGTCCTTGATACCCTAACTGTTGGGCAGTTTGGCAAGGACTACGGACTAGTGCCAATTTGTAACACTGTATTGTCTCTGCTGTCCAGGCATGCTGCTTCGTTTCTTCGTGTACTACTACGACATGGAGATCTTGGATGAGGAGTCCTTCCTCCGCTGGAAAGAAGAAGTCAATGACAAATATCCAGGCAAGGGGAAAGCACTCTTCCAGGTAAGTTCCCAAAGTGACAATAACTCTCCTGAAAAATGAACCGATCTGAACCTCAGCTGTAGAACACAAGGTAATAAGGTTGTTTATTTTGCATTGACAAAATGGTGCGACACTTGTTCATTAGACAGGTTTTACCTTTATGCAGCACTTGGCCCCATGTCAACATCAAATATTTGTCGGGGGGCATGGGTGGCCGAGATTCGCTGTGCAGAGTTGCGCCCCTTGGGCACGCCTGTTAAACTAACTTGACCCCCTACATTTCACTAGTCTATCTTAAAATCTAGTTAATGTACATGAACCACCAGCTTAAATTAAGGTGCAGATTAGTTGCGTATGGTGGCCCAGTCAAAGGTGCCTCAATTCACTGTGCAGAGTTGCGTCCCTTGGACACACCAGAAACCTATGTTTGTGGATTCGAATCCCGGTTTGCCCTGATTATGTTTCTAGGTTTGTCAGCACCATACCCGTGCTAGTGGGTTTCACTGAAGTGGTAAACGTCTGAGGCCTGCATCACTTTGGGCTTTCCTCCCACATTAGGCTGACACGCCGTGATATAACTGGAATACTGTTAAAAGCGGCGTTAAACCCAACCCACTCACTCAAATATTTGTCAAATTGGTTAGTAAATTATAGTTTTGTTCAGGGACTGAGAGGATGACTTATAAGGACAAAAGGACGTTCATACTTACTGGTAGTTTTCTAATGTTGAAATGAATGCATTGTTGTACTATCTCTAAGTGTGAGAAAATAAGCAAATTTTGAAATTAGGTTAGTTTGTCTCCATGGGCCCCCGAGTTTGGAATCCTAGATGAATCTCTACAAGATTACTGGCCTTTGGCTAGTCATTCGAATAAGTAAACCAGACAGTATTTTAATGTGGCCTGGGTGGTAATCATGCTGTGTGCTCTTGTAGGTGAACCAGTGGCTGACATGGCTAGAACAAGCTGAAGAGGAGAGTGAGGAAGAAGAAGAAGACCAGTAGGCCAGGAAGCCAGTACCTGCCTACCGCTGTAAAAGATGAGGAAGAAGAAGAGAAGAACACTTACCTGTGACTATTGGTTTTAAGATGAAGAAACATGAAAATTTGTTTTTAAGAAACTTTATGAAGAGGAATGTTTAAGTTGAAAAAAAAACAAGCTTGTGCCAGTTTGCCACTAGAATACTTGCTGCATCAGCTGGAGTGGATCAGTGTGTACCTCACATGTGTGTTGTGTCATCAGAAGATGTGTATGTGTCATCAGAAGATGTGTACCCCACCAGCATTTGGTGTGTGCATGTGACGGGTACTCCGATGCTGTGATGTGCATGTTGATTGGCTGGTCCAAATTCACCATGGAAACAAGACCTTCCTGTGTCCATTCTTTGGATGGCCTTCCGGCTGACAGAACTGCATGTTAACTGCTTTTCAGCATCTTACACCCTAAACCTAGAGGAAGGTTTGTTTTGTACTACCTGATATTTTATATTATAGACTTTATATAGACCTCATGTGTAAAAATGCACAAGAAGAAAGCTAGATCATATCCAATAGCACTCATCAATCAACTCATGAAATTAATTCTCCGAAATGACAATTTATAACAGTTGTCTACTTTCTTCCTGTGGATATAAAAAACAAAAATAAATGTATATGAATTTTAATTCCCTAACAAAAATTATGAATTAGAAATTTTTAACCAGCTTAAAAGTGTATAGGCCAGACAATTTGATTAAGCAAACACAGATTATCCATGCACCTAATCAAACATCTTTTGCAAAGTTTTAGCATTTTTACTTCCTTTGTATGATACAACTTGTAACCAAGGTGGAGGGTTGGGTTCATTAATGAGCATGAACCCTGAACTACCATGCCCAACAGATAAGTGTCGATGTACAACAAACTCATATACTCATACTGACACCCAAATTATGTAAAATACTCAATCTATTTAATAATCACGATTGTTAGCCCTAATTCAGTGTAAGGGCCATCCAGATTCCCCCCCCCGAGTTTGTTGCACATAGATCACCATCATACTCTTAGAATCTGCCAGTGTTTAGTTTGGCTAGAGTTATCTCCCTATGGGACAAGATCTGTGAATGTCTGAAATATTGTGTTATTTATTTCATGTCAAATGTGTATACATTTTTTTATCATTATGAATGTTTATTGTAATTTCATGGGTATCGAGTCATCATGCCGTTTAAATTGTACTTAAGGTGTCATCACACAAAAAAGCATATTGGCACTGTTTGTGCATTGACATGTTGCTCTTAAAATCCCAGATGGTTTTTTACTCTGTACAAGCTATTCCCCTTGTGAATCTTTTTGGCATTTGTATGTTTCCTCCTTACAATTATTTTTTTTTTTTTTTCTTTCTTCGGTGAAGGAATGCTTCGTATACATCTAGTCATAGGGCATGTGACTTTTCTGTTCTCATTTCAAGACCAGGTATTGGTTGATAAGGCTCATTCCCATAGATTCATATGCAGTCATTTTTAGTTTGGCAAACACTGCATTCAATCTTTATCAGATAGCTGCATTGAAGAGTAAGCGTTGCGATTTACATAAAAATGTTTTTTAAAACAATTTTAATATGTACTACAAACATTAAATTCAGTTGAGATCACTTTAACTTTCTGATTTTTCTAGAAGCATATAATGTTTTTATTTTAGTAAGTGCAATATTTTCTTTTGGACACATTTTCGACCACTGTACTATTGTTTTGATGCTATTGTGTGAAAGGTATCTAAATTCAGTCTTTCTTCTCAAAATCTCCCAAAGAATACACAGGACGAAAACTACCATTATTCCTGCATGATCTTGTGGAGATGTTAAATGTATTAAAACGGGGCCAGTGCTTTTTGGAGGTTATACTTAAGGAATTAAGCCTTAATCTGTCTGGTGAACCACCTTATCTTGTTGAATAGCTGTTTGTGTACATGCCACATATATGTCTGGTAATAAACTTAATATGAATAACATGCGACTTGAGTCTATTTCCAATCTTTGATGGTCATGACACCAGACTTGAGGGTGTGTAGTTCATTGGATGAAGCTGCATCCCTTACATGTGCGGGAAACTAGGATCGTGAGCCAGCACTATACCCGATCGTGGTCGCAGGTTTCATAAAAGTTAAATCTCCCGCAGAAAGTTGACACACCGTGTTATAATGTGCTTTAAATACTTTTCAAAACTACATTAGAACCAAATTCATTCTTGCATAGAGGAGCAGTATTTATTTGGGGAGGTGGCATAAGTTGCCCAATGGAGTTGGTCCTAGGATACACTGCTTAGGAGTTGAAATCCCTGATTCCTTGGCACTGTGCCAAATAACCTGATAACAATTGCCATGTTTCTATGAGACATGTCCTCTGATGTCCGAATCCTTAATTCACCATGATTTTGATCTGATTTTGATCTTAGGTTTGTGTGTTTCACCAAAGGTGTAAGACTCTAAAACCTGTTACTGTGAGCTTTTCTAACATGAAGCTGACACACCAGCATGAAAACACAACTCACTTTTTGTCAAGAGGCTGATTCTGAATCCAACTGCTGCTTAATTGCACGCTTGGACTACACCCTGAAATGATTCATTTATCAGATGTCATACTCCAAGCTAATACCTCTGCGTGAAGATTTGACAAAACCTCCATAGATTGCATCATGTGAAGCATTAATGAAGGAAAGGTGGTCTTGAGCCAATCATGTCAGCTTTCTAAAATGATTACAACACATTTTGCTTCATCTGACTGACAAACCGCCAGGGGTCATTAAACAAGTCGTAAGTAATTATCCCCTGCCCAACAAAGTTGGCAGGGGGATATAGAAACGGGCTCCGTCTGTCTGTCCATCCATCCGTCACGTTTCGTTTCCGTTCAATATGTTTTCATCAAACTTTGCAGGTCTTTTAAGTACATGCTGAACTGGTGCCTTTTGCTATTTAGAATTTCTTTTTTTTACAATTTCCATGACAAGTTCCACCTCGGTTAAAAAAGGTTAGGGTGTGTTTAGATTTAATTATGTCATAAATTCTGCAACAGGGTCAGGGGATATAGCCACATTAGTGGCAAACTCTTGTTTATTTTAGCAAGTGTTCCGTCTTGGATCGATACAGAGAAAAAGGTATCCTGTTTTGTATCACATGAAAACTCACGATGTATCGTTTCACCCCTACTTGATAGTACACCATTTTGGGTGTCAAACACTATGGCATTCAGAAAAGACATCCGCAACATTAAGGTAGTTTATTTTCCATTGCCCCTTTAGGTTTTTTGCTAGACAGAAATCGGATATGCTGCTCTGAATGCTTAGATCCATGCTGATTGGTGGATTAGAAAGTTTGCCTGACGAGACTACTGTGGAGGGTCAGGTCTTCATACAGTCAGGTACAGAACCAGGGTAAAACATCAGATTTTACTGTAACTGTTACCTTGTTTATTAGACAATAAGAAACAAACCTAATGTGTTGTATCCAATGGATATTCTACATGGAACCAAGAACAGCTGCTGCAGCATATTCATCCAGTATTGTCAGTGAAAATGAACCAAACATTCTATGCCATTTATTCAGAAACAATAGGTTTCATGGTAATTCAGGACATTCGAGTAGTGTTAGAACTGAAGTTAAACAAGCTCTCCAGGAACTACATGTAATACTGAGTAGCCGCGAGGTAAAAACATGGCTCACCACATCAAAAGCCTTGATTCGACTCCCAAAATGGCTACTTTGTGCAAAGCCCATGTCATGTGTTCCCCACCATATGGATGAACATTGTTGAAAGTGATGGAGCCCAACTAATACTGAGAAAAGAAGGATCCCACACCTAAGATAATACAGTTTACTGAAATGTCACTTCAACCTATCGACTGAAGATCCGGGGTAGAATAGGTCTTCAGCAACCCATGCTTGCTATAAAAGACGACTATGCTTGTCGTAAGAGGCGACTAATGGGATCAGTTAGTCAGGCTTGTTGACTTGGTTGATGCATGTCATCGTATCCCAATTGCGTGGATTGATGCTCATGATGTCAATCACTGGATTTTCTGGTCCAGACTATTTACAAACCGTCGTCCTATAGCTGGAATATTGCTGAGTGTGGCGTTAAACAACAAACAAAACAAATTTGAACCTATCACCTAGTGTTATGTCTCCATTCTATTATGATAGGACCTGAACCTATTCGCTACCAGTTTTATTTTGAGCCCAATTCGAACAGCAAGACACTCTATATAGACAACCAATCAAATTACTCTCATGAGCAAGAGAAATTTGTTGCTCCGTTAGGATAGGAGGTTTGGATGTGGTGATGTCACCACCGAAATGAAGCAATAATGGTAATGTGTTCAGGGTATTTACCATGACAGAATGGAGATATAATACATAGGGTTATGTCCAGGGTGCCGTCGTACAAAACAACCATAGTGCTACGACTGACCAAAGTCTGTGTTAACGTATGGGAGTAAGGATTGATCGCTTGGTACACTGGCCCCAAGAAACTAATGTCTCGAGGTAGTAAGGCCATTTTCCTTCAAATTCCAGGACAAGTACCTTACAAGAAGTGTTCTTTTCTGTATATTTAGATGCAAACAACAAAATAATTACTTTTTAGATAATATATTTCCAATAATATTATTACCATCTAAACACTAAACAACATATCTATCTATCGATCTCTGGTGTGAAAAAAGTTGATCTGATAAGAATTTGTTGTCTCACAGCTGAGCAATACAATGTAATTGATAACTGTTCACTGGATATCCAGAAAAAAACATAAAATGTATTGTGTTCAAGCAGCCAGCAAATTGTTTGTCTCCTATCAGTGGTAAATATTGTATGTCTTGAAGAAGTGAAAGGAAAACTATTCTGATGGACATAAGCCCCAGCCCCAACCCAGGATATGAAACTGTCGATTCATTAGCTATCACTGACCATCTTAGATTCACTGACCATCACTCACTCAGATTCACTGACCATCATTTGTTAATTCACTGACCACCATTCAATAATTCACCGAAAACACATAAACACACTGATATTCCATTTTCATTACAGCCACCACCCAATGTACCCATAAACACTGCCCACATGTTTGCTACTATTGACACCAACCGTTCCATGTATTCCATTGGGCATATTTAAAACTGCCCTTAATTGTTTAAATATGGATCCCACTCACTGGATTCAATAAACACTGTCCAATAGAAGAAGTAATAAGAACACTCTAGTGGAGTCAAGTTATCATTATCTATAAGTTATTGATTATGGATAGCATTCAATGGAACCAAATCAATGGCCTTAAGGCTTAACAAATTATAAGAATTGGTTCTCAGGCAATGACTTTTAAAAATATAGTGTGCTTGGGCAGTGTTTTTTTTTTTTTTGCGTGTTCAAACTAGTAAGTATACAAATAAACAGTGTACCATCAACCTTGGAAAGGGCCTCCCTACATAAACAAGAATACAAACTCCTATTGCCGCCATGACCATAACACGAGATGCGCAGTAAAGCAGTGAGCATGTAAAGGGAAGTAACTGCGTGCTATATTGGATCGCATTGTTTTTAAGCATTAGGATGTTTTTGTTGTTTTTTTAAAATGGAAATAAAAATGAAATGTGGGGAAGACTTTATGATGATGCAGGCGGTGCCTGAGAACCAAAACTTTTATTTTATTTGCCTAATACAAAAAATTTTTTGTTTAGGCAACTACCATATTCTTATAATATCTCTGATAACTTTTTGCCAACATTTTTTATACATGGAACATGCTGGTACTCACATGTCATCAGAATGGCAATCCCTCTCTCACTGACTATATATACCTACCCAATATCATACCACTGGCTAGTTTTGCCCAAAACACAGATATCTTCAATGACGGCTTAGTAACTATGTTGTCATTCAACCATGTTAACACTGCCCATACGTTAAATTTAGTGATTATGAACACAATATTCGATGAAACCAATTCAACACTGCCCATCAGCTCTGTTAGATGCCATTGAACGGAGCCTTATAAAATACTACTGCCTATAAATTATTTATTATAGCTACCATTCAATGGAGCTGATTAAATATTGCCAATATGTTAGTGGACATAGACACATGGCCTATATCAACAATGCCCAGCAGTTAGTAGTCTTTTCCTGAGATCCTTAGAGATAGAGTCGCTAACTCTGTGGACGAGCCTGAAGTGTTTGCTGTTGTTGGACAGGGAGCTATTTCTCCTTTGGTTTCCTGCCGAGTAGCAACGCTTCAGGCTTGAGCTGACACTATGGTTTGAACTTCGAACACTACTAGCACTTCTCGGCTTCAGGTGTTTCATAACCAGGACCTGATTTGTAGTTTCGGGATGTTCCGATTTCGTAGACTTTGTCCTCAGGTTGCTTGCCTTACTCTTTGGTGTTGGTTCATTCTGGTCATTTTTTGTCCTACTTCTCATTATCTCAGACTGGTTCTCCATGCTTGTGCACTCTGACCTGTCATTATTAAGTTCCTTGAGGCAGGTGTGTCTGTCCATGGCAGAATCCGGGACATCCAGTTCAGGATCTGGACTTGAGGTACATGGTACTTCAGTCACTTGATTAAACTCCGCTGGGGACGACATCACCAGATTAATTTTTGTCTCTTCAGATTTTCGACCATCTGACTCATGATTTTCATCCTGGCGGGTTGGGGAGGACTGACTGAATATGTCCTCGAGGTCCTGAGACTCGGCTATCTTCTCCAGTAGCGCTATAGTCCCAATCTGGCCAACTTCTACAATCTTGGGTTTGCTGTGCTCCATGTGGGGCACTGGTATCTCAACATCTTCACAAGGTCCGTTGTCCGGTTCCATATTACCAACCCCTTCATCACAAACCACAGTTCCCTTCATCTGACTTCCCAACACCTTCTTCCCCAAAGGTTCATTACTCTGCAGCTCCTCCTCAAAAGACTCATACCCAAAGTCAGCCCCCCTAGGACTCGGTTCCTTGTCATTCTTCCTCCCAACCATCGCCATCCTTTCCTCATGTCTAGCATCTTCCCCAAACGCAAGTGGAACATCTTGATCCACATCTCTCGGGGTGGGAGCTTGTGGATGAACGATCTCTCCCTCCATGCTTTCGGACAGGACTTCTTTCTCACGTCTGACTCTTGTTCTCTGCATGAAGGCAGGGGCAGTGACGGGTCTCTCTTCACCCAGGCGACCCTTCCCTCTCTGGACTTGATTGATGGTGGTGTGGCGGTAGAGGTGGTCCTTGTGGATGTGCTGGACTGGCGTGAAAGTTCGCTCCCTCAGTTTGGTGAACAGGTTGCCCTTGGGGGAGGAATCATAGCATCGAGACACCAGGACAAAGTGCGATCCTCGCCTCGTTCTCACCTGGTGCCAGCCACGGAATCTAAACAATAACATTCATTGTGAGACATGAACGTAGGGTGTTAGGCCATAATAAATGATTTGATTTTCAACCCAACCTACCTCACTTTCATATATCCTGCATCACATTATTAGTTTAGTCCCCAAGTATTTACAGAAGAAGAAAATCCTGTGTGTGTTTTCCTTCTATACTTGAATAATTGGTTTAAAAAAACCACATAAAATATAACACAAGATATAATTCCTACCAAGTCACTTGTTGATAAATGAGATCAAAAATCAATTTATTGTTTACCTAAGAAATCTAAATCTTTTCAGCAATATATTTTGAGATGTTGCCAACTTATCATAAGCTACATCACACGTAACTAGTTTCTCTGCAGGAAGCAATGTCCACAACTAAGCATGTCAAAGGGTCCTTGTCATTACTGTAATGTTAGAAAGTTAAGATTTAGGAGGTCTATCAGGAAGGCAATGTCTGCTGACCTGGCATCACACTTGCGAGCATGAGAGGGAGGCAGCCTCTGTTTGGGATGGACCAGTTCCTCAATCACCTCCTCCGTCCAGTGGGTGGACTTGGGAGGTTCTGGCTTTGGCTCCGGAGGAGGAACTGTTTAAATAATCAAAGACATCCCGATCAAAATGGGTTTACCCAGAGACTTGGTAACGTCATTGTCATGGTGGGGACCAGGGACTGTAACATACCAAGTTGGGACCAGGGACTGTAACATACCAAGTGGGGACCAGGGACTGTAACATACCAAGTGGGGACCAGGGACTGTAACATACCAGGCGAGTACCAGGAACTGTAACATACCAGGTGGGGACCAGGGACTGTAACATACCAGGTGGGGACCAGGGATTGTAACATACCAGGTTGAGACCAGGGACTGCAACATACCAGGTGGGGACCAGGGACTGTAACATACCAGGTGGGGACCAGGGACTGTAACATACCAGGTGAGTACCAGGGACTGTAACATACCAAGTGGGGACCAGGGACTGTAACATACCAGGTGGGGACCAGGGACTATAACACACCAGGTGGAGACCAGGGACTGTAACATACCAGGTGGGGACCAGGGACTGTAACATACCAGGTGGGGACCAGGGACTGTAACATACCAGGTGGGGACCAGGGACTGTAACATACCAGGTGGGGACCAGGAACTGTAACATACCAGGTGGGGACCAGGGACTGCAACATACCAGGTGGGGACCAGGGACTGTAACATACCAGGTGGGGACCAGGGACTGTAACATACCAGGTGGAGACCAGGGACTGTAACATACCAGGTGAGTACCAGGGACTATAACATACCAGGTGGGGACCAGGGACTGTAACATACCAGGTGAGTACCAGGGACTGTAACATACCAGGTGGAGACCAGGGACTGTAACATACCAGGTGGAGACCAGGGACTGTAACATACCAGGTGAGTACCAGGGACTATAACATACCAGGTGGGGACCAGGGACTGCAACATACCAGGTGAGTACCAGGGACTGTAACATACCAGGTGGAGACCAGGGACTGTAACATACCAGGTGAGTACCAGGGACTATAACATACCAGGTGGGGACCAGGGACTGTAACATACCAGGTGGAGACCAGGGACTGCAACATACCAGGTGGAGACCAGGGACTGTAACATACCAGGTGAGTACCAGGGACTATAACATACCAGGTGGGGACCAGGGACTGTAACATACCAGGTGGAGACCAGGGACTGTAACATACCAGGTGGAGACCAGGGACTATAACATACCAGGTGAGTACCAGGGACTATAACATACCAGGTGGGGACCAGGGACTGTAACATACCAGGTGGAGACCAGGGACTATAACATACCAGGTGGGAACCAGGGACTATAACATACCAGGTGGGGACCAGGGACTGTAACATACCAGGTGGGGACCAGGGACTGTAACATACCAGGTGAGTACCAGGGACTGTAACATACCAGGTGGGGACCAGGGACTGTAACATACCAGGTGGGGACCAGGGACTGTAACATACCAGGTGAGTACCAGGGACTGTAACATACCAGGTGAGTACCAGGAACTATAACATACCAGGTGAGTACCAGGGACTGTAACATACCAGGTGAGTACCAGGGACTATAACATACCAGGTGGGGACCAGGAACTGTAACATACCAGGTGGGGGCCAGGGACTATAACATGCCAGGTGAGTACCAGGGACTGTAACATACCAGGTGGAGACCAGGGACTGTAACATACCAGGTGAGTACCAGGGACTGTAACATACCAGGTGAGTACCAGGGACTATAACATACCAGGTGGGGACCAGGAACTTTAACATACCAGGTGAGTACCAGGGACTATAACATACCAGGTGGGGACCAGGAACTGTAACATACCAGGTGGGGACCAGGGACTATAACATGCCAGGTGAGTACCAGGGACTGTAACATACCAGGTGGAGACCAGGGACTGTAACATACCAGGTGGGGACCAGGGACTGTAACATACCAGGTGAGTACCAGGGACTATAACATACCAGGTGGGGACCAGGAACTGTAACATACCAGGTGGGGACCAGGGACTATAACATGCCAGGTGAGTACCAGGGACTGTAACATACCAGGTGGAGACCAGGGACTGTAACATACCAGGTGAGTACCAGGGACTGTAACATACCAGGTGGAGACCAGGGACTGTAACATACCAGGTGAGTACCAGGGACTGTAACATACCAGGTGGGTACCAGGGACTGTAACATACCAAGTGAGTACCAGGGACTGTAACATACCAGGTGGAGACCAGGGACTGTTACATACCAGGTGAGTACCAGGGACTGTAACATACCAGGTGAGTACCAGGGATTGTAACATACCAGGTGGGGACCAGGGACTGTAACATACCAGGTGAGTACCAGGGACTGTAACATACCAGGTGGAGACCAGGGACTGTAACATACCAGGTGAGTACCAGGGACTGTAACATACCAGGTGGAGACCAGAGACTGTAACATACCAGGTGAGTACCAGGGACTGTAACATACCAGGTGGAGACCAGGGACTGTAACATACCAGGTGAGTACCAGGGACTGTAACATACCAGGTGGAGACCAGGGACTGTAACATACCAGGTGGAGACCAGGGACTGTAACATACCAGGTGGGGACCAGGGACTGTAACATACCAGGTGGGGACCAGGGACTGTAACATACCATGTGGGGAGTACCAGGGACTGTAACATACCAGGTGGAGACCAGGGACTGTAACATACCAGGTGAGTACCAGGGACTGTAACATACCAGGTTGGGACCAGGAACTGTAACATACCAGGTGGAGACCAGAGAGTGTAACATACCAGGTGGGGACTAGGGACTGTAACATACCAAGTGGGGACCAGGGACTGTAACATACCATGTGGGGAGTACCAGGGACTGTAACATACCAGGTGGGGAGTACCAGGGACTGTAACATACCAGGTGAGTACCAGGGACTGTAACATACCAGGTGGAGACCAGGGACTGTAACATACCAGGTGAGTACCAGGGACTGTAACATACCAGGTGGAGACCAGAGACTGCAACATACCAGGTGAGTACCAGGGACTGTAACATACCAGGTGGAGACCAGGGACTGTAACATACCAGGTGAGTACCAGGGACTGTAACATACCAGGTGGAGACCAGGGACTGTAACATACCAGGTGAGTACCAGGGACTGTAACATACCAGGTTGGGACCAGGGACTGTAACATACCAGGTTGGGACCAGGGACTGTAACATACCAGGTGGGGACTAGGGACTGTAACATACCAAGTGGGGACCAGGGACTGAAACATACCAGGTGGGGACCAGGGACTGTAACATACCAGGTGGAGACCAGGGACTGTAACATACCAGGTGAGTACCAGAGCCTGTTTCATACCAGGTGAGTACCAGGGACTGTAACATACCAGGTGAGTACCAGGGACTGTAACATACCAGGTAGGGGACCAGGGACTGTAACATACCAGGTGGGAACCAGGGACTGTAACATACCAGGTGAGTACCAGGAACTGTAACATACCAGGTGGGGACCAGGGACTGTAACATACCAGGTGAGTACCAGGGACTGTAACATACCAGGTGAGTACCAGGGACTGTAACATACCAGGTAGGGGACCAGGGACTGTAACATACCAGGTGGGAACCAGGGACTGTAACATACCAGGTGGGAACCAGGGACTGTAACATACCAGGTGAGTACCAGGGACTGTAACATACCAGTCGGGGACCAGGGACTGTAACATCCTTGGTGGGGACCAGGGACTCTAACATACCAGGTGGGGACCAGGGACTGTAACACACCAGGTGGGGACCAGAGAGTGTAACACAAGAGGTGGGGACCAGAGAGTTTAACACACCAGGTGAGTACCAGGGACTGTAACACACCAGGTGGAAACCAGTTACCATGACACACGAGGTGGGGACCAGGTACCATGACACACGAGGTGGGGACCAGGTACCATGACACACGAGGTGGGGACCAGGGCTGTTGTGCTAGCTTGTAACACACCAGGTGTTGACCAGGGACTGTAACACACCAGGTGTTGACCAGGGACTATCACATACCTGGAGGGGGCCGCTGTGCTAGCTTGTAACACACCAGGTGTTGACCAGGGACTATCACATACCTGGATGGGGCCGCTGTGCTAGCTTGTAACACACCAGGTGTTGGCCAGGGACTATCACATACCTGGATGGGGCCGCTGTGCTAGCTTGTAACACATCAGGTGTTGACCAGGGACTATCACATACCTGGATGGGGCAGCTGTGCTAGCTTGTAACACACCAGGTGTTGGCCAGGGACTATCACATACCTGGATGGGGCAGCTGTGCTAGCTTGTAACACACCAGGTGTTGGCCAGGGACTATCACATACCTGGATGGGGCAGCTGTGCTAGCTTGTAACACACCAGGTGTTGACCAGGGACTATCACATACCTGGATGGGGCCGCTGTGCTAGCTTGTAACACATCAGGTGTTGACCAGGGACTATCACATACCTGGATGGGGCCGCTGTGCTAGCTTGTAACACATCAGGTGTTGACCAGGGACTATCACATACCTGGATGGGGCCGCTGTGCTAGCTTGTAACACACTAGGTGTTGACCAGGGACTATCACATACCTGGAGGGGGCCGCTGTGCTAGCTTGTAACACATCAGGTGTTGACCAGGGACTATCACATACCTGGATGGGGCCGCTGTGCTAGCTTGTAACACACTAGGTGTTGACCAGGGACTATCACATACCTGGAGGGGGCCGCTGTGCTAGCTTGTCACGGTACCCAGGCAGGTAATGGTCCATCTTCTCCTCCTTGTCAATGTCGTACTTGCTGTCCTGTGGAGATAACAGAGGAAGGTGAGTCTGCAGCCAATCACCACTCCTCACTTGAATCCATGCCGCTCTATGGTACAATCACACATGCAGGTGGGTGAATATTGAAACTCTGAATGATACCAGGAACCATCATAAGGAAATCAGAGAAATTATCTCTGTGCATATATGACAGAGTTTAAATATTATCTTTTTAGAACTAACCCTAAAGTTTTCACATAAAATCTTCTTGTTCTCCTGAAAACTTTCTTTCAAACTTACCATATTCGACGTAATAAGCCCCCAGGGCGCTCTCAAATTTAGAAATAGGGGCTCTTATACAAATATTATTTTGGTGAAAAATAATAAATTTGAAGTTGAAGTTGAAAGATAAATTTCGTGGTTTAAGTTGACAGTCTGAAATGTTTATGTACGACAGATATATTTTTCCAGATTTTAATAGGCCATTTTTAAGGGTGCATAAAACACACGAGTGTGTATTATACGCGAATAAATAAGTCTTGTGTACATTGATCAATCGGAAGGGGTGCTAATTGGGATTGTTCACTAGCCAATTTGTTAGCAATTATCGCCGTGGGCGCTTATTAGAGCGGGGCGCTTATTACGTTGAATACGGTATGTTCAGGAAGTGAACCACAAAGCTGCACTGACAATATTAGTTTTCTATTTGTGTTGATGAAAAAAATACTTGAAACAGAAAATCCTTATAGCTGTATATAGCACAACAGTTACTTGCCATTGTGATCATGTCAAACTTGAGACCATTGAGCTTCGTCTCCACCTCCGACAAATCTCCCCGGGTGACAACTTGGGGCGTAGTCAGTCGCTGATACTCCCTCGTTGTGGGCCGATCCGCAAACAGAGACGTAGCTGCCAATATCCAAGTGACATTCATTTGAAAACTCAGATGGATCACTAGCTAAGTCAGTGTGGTTTTATCTGCTTTGAATAGTATTTCAGCCTAATGTGGGAGGTGCGTAACAGTGAGTGAGTGAGTGAGATGGGTTTGTTGCCGGTTGAACAGTTTTCCAGTTATATCACAGCATGTAAGGTTGACGGAGAGGAAAGCCGAAAGTGATGCAGGTCTCAGATGTTTACCACTTTGTTGAAACCCACGAGCACTTCTTTTATTTTTTTAGGGTCTGATGAATCAACAAAACAACTTTACATCAAAAAGACTTGCTATCTGGGTATTTACAGTAGACACAAATAAATGTTCTTACACCTGGCTGTGGAAGGAGCTGATCGAAGCCGCTGTCTGACCGTCTGATACGCCTCCTTCGCCGTGGTCTCGACAGCCTTCTGCTCCTCCTCCTTGGGTTGATACATGCTTAGATTCGGCGCTGTGATTGGTCGTCCTCGTATGTAGCCCGCATGAGCTCGATACACACGTTTCTGTGAATGGCCCACCTCATTCTTCAGATGAGAGTAACTCCTCTTGTGGAACTTGGTCTGAAATATACTTTAATGTTTGTTGAGATTGTTTTATAACTACATAGAAATGTCTCTTTTGATATCCAAAACCAAATTAAAATAGCAGACAATGATAGTGAATTGTTTGATAGGCATACTTAGAAGTTGACGGATGACAAAGTTGAGACCATTTTATCGATAACAACTTCTTTATTTACTGTAAAGGTGATACTTCTGTATGAGCATCTATAGGGATCTATTAGTTGTTATCCATAAATTATCTCTACTTTGTAGTGCTAGTGAACATTGAAACTTGAAAATGAATTGATAAAAATATCATAAAGAAAGTGTTCTTACATATTCAGTTTATCTTGTTAAAAGTAGTATTTCCTATGTATTGAACATTCCTCCCCTCATCACTAAGTAATGGCAGCCGCTTAGCATGATACACAGTCTACGCTACCTGTACTGCAGTTATATCATTGCAAACACAAACAAACTTCACACCCTAAAGATCTACCACAGACATAATACTATGTACAACTTGGGAGAAAGTCACAAAATATACATGTTACATGACTGTCACAGAATGTAACGGGATTGTCACACAATGTAACATGACTGTCACACAATGTATATGTAACATGACTGTCACACAATGTAACATGACCGTCACACAATGTAACATGACTGTCACACAAAGTATATGTAACACGACCATCACACAATGTAACATGACTGTCACACAAAGTATATGTAACACGACCATCACACAATGTATATGTAACATGACTGTCACACAATGTAACATGACCGTCACACAATGTAACATGACTGTCACACAATGTAACATGACCGTCACACAATGTAACATGACTGTCACACAGTGTAACATGACTGTCACACAGTGTAACATGACCGTCACACAATGTAACATGACCGTCACACAGTGTAACATGACCGTCACACAATGTAACATGACTGTCACACAATGTAACATGACCGTCACACAATGTAACATGACTGTCACACAATGTACATGTAACACAACTGTCACACAATGTAACATGACTGTCACACAATGTACATGTAACACAACTGTCACACAATGTAACATGACTGTCACACTAATGTTCATGTCACAGTGTTTGACCGATTTAATATACATCTGACTTTGATATCTTACCTTGACAAGACTAGAACAAATAAATTCAGTTTAAGATATAGAATTAAACAAAAATCAAACACTGACAATTTGTGTGTTCAAAGGTTAAACATTTGTTATGTTATTACTGTCCCAATAATAATAATGAACCTCTATTAATAGCTAAGTCCATTGTACAAATCCGACTACCCCTGGCATGTCTTCTGTCAGTACCACAGACCCACATAGACCAGAAGATCTGATGGTTGCACCACAACATATATAAGGCTCCCGGTATTACAATTTAAATTTTTTGAAGATGTATGCTAGCTCAGCTTTTCTACCTGATCTCAAAGTCAGACTAAACTGGGCAGTAGAATATTAGTGCAGCCAATCTGATTGGTGGACTCCAAATATTCAAAGTCAGGTGAAGTGATAATTGGCTCTTGACTGGAGCGTGTAAAATTCGTTTAAAACACAGCTTTTAAATACATTTCAGATAGGGGCCAAGCACTTAGTATTCATAAGGCTGGGATATTTGTTAAGCACAGAATATTGTTTCTGTCACTTCTTCCAGACAAACAAATATTTTTCTCTGAAAGGTGGATGAACAATTATTTTTAGAACCCACAACACAGATTTTTCATGACACCCAGTGGACAATGATATATACTTTTTTAAATCTGGAAGCTTTCTGAAACAAATTGTAAAATGGTCTGCCCTCATAACATGGCCTGATTTTAGAACATCAATAATAGAATTGGGCTGCACATTTCTTCAGATCCTGATAACCACGATCAAGGTATGCAGTCACCACTAACACCCACAACTATCTGCTGGCCTCTAGGTATAGGATATATATGTGCACACACTACGCAGCTGCGACGATGCTGTCTACACTGCCGCGCCAACTACGCTGCCACCACATCGACTACATGAGGTGGGTACGCCACCACCAAGTATTACCTCAACTTCCAGCCAGTGAACATACTCATCACTAAATTTACGCTCCTCCAGCTGAAAATGGTGTGTTAGAAACAACAACATCTATAACATACAAAACACAGAATTATAGAGTGATAAATATCTAAACTACAGGTAAAAGTGATAAAATATGTGTTTGTGAAGACACAGGTACAACATCTCCCTGAGGCAAGGGAGTGAACTGACTTTAAAAGTCCAGTTTCCACCCTCGCTGAACTAGGCTGGAATTGCTGGGATCAATCTTAATGCCAAAAGTTGCTATTACGAGTTATGTCCCTGCCGAACAAGGCTGGAATTGATGGGATCAATCTTAAGGCCAAAAGTGGCTATTACGAGTTATGTCCCCGCCAAACTAGGCTGGAATTTCTTGGACCAATCTTAAGGCCAAAAATTGCTATTACGAGTTATGTCCCCGCCGAACTAGGGTGGAATTAATGGGATCAATCATAACGCCAAAACTGGCTATTACGAGTTATGTCCCTTCTGTGTCCATCCTACTGACCAATCAGATTTCACCTCTCATATCACTTGCATTTGCTTAAAAAACACTGTTGCGCCCATGATCTGATCGATTATCAAGATCTTTATTGTCATAAAAAAGGGTCTTACCTCGCAAAGTGCATAAAATCACTTGAGCACTTTCATTAAAAACATTACAAGATTTGGAAAATATCTGTTGCCTCCTGTTGGTGGTACACATGCTCTGTGAATCCTGTAATCCGATGAAATCGGTGCACCAGTTGCCATGGTGTTTACAAACCTGATGTCGATTTCATTACAGGATTTTGATTGGGCTATGCATAGACTTGTTAGTCCAGCCAAAATATAACTCCATAATACCAACCTAGTTCGGCAAGGTGGAAACTGGACTTTTACAGTCAGTTAACTCCCTTGCCCTGGCAGGATGCAGGTACAATCACCAGCTGTAGGTGAGTTGATACAATCAGTGTTTTCATAGTGACAGTTGAGTCAGTGATACATCCTAGGTGTCGAAAGCTACATTCAGAATATACAAAGTTATGAAGCACTATCTCTCTCATCTTCCCTGGACATCTGTAATTTTAGCAGTTGATGATTACATAGACATAACTTGTCATCACTACTTGAATTTTGATGTGAGGTGAAATGAAGTGTAATGTCACATTCCAAAACATTGCACTTATACCGCGACATGTATGCACATGTGTGTGTGTTTGGCTGCTTGTATTAGTCCGGACTAATGCTGATTTTATAGTGCTAGCCCACTGAGATACCATGCTGCATTTTACATGAATACCCTACTCAGACACAGTATACAGACTCGGAGCCAACCAGTTCTTGTTTTAGCCCTTATTGCAAGCACCAGGCAGGGCAACAACAAGTACCATCTTTTTAAAGTCTTTTGGTATGACCTTCCGCTCTCTGGGCAGACGCTCCATAACGCTTACCCGGGATAAGGATTACTTTCATGTTTCAGTAACTGGATCTATGATCCATCTAAAATGCACAAGCAGTAGATGCAAAACGATTAGTGTTTGATTAGTTACATCTAATTTTTTTAAACTGATTAAAAATATTGGCACTTCATTTTTATTTATCATAATCAGACAGGATTAGATACGTTAAATAGTAAACCTTTATTTGCTAAAAGACATTTAAATTCATCAATGATTGTTATTTGATAGAACATTATGAAAAAACGTGAAGATGTACCTAAAAATAGACTGTTTTATTAATTTTGTGAAACATGATGTAACTTTTGTAAGCATAAACTTGAAAATTCATTTGATGAAATACACATGTTTATGCATTGTATTGTACAAATATCAGCAAAAATACTATTAAATCATTATAAAAGATAGCTTCACGATAAATCACAAAGACCAATGAAGAACGAAGTGTGGTTCATTTCATGATAAAACATTGTTCTATCATGACATCATTTCTGGAGATTCAAACAAATATAAACTTGAAAGTTCACTTGATAAAATATATGCATATAAACAAATTTCGTCATAAGTACTAAATACGAGGCTCAAAAATATGATGAAACAAACAACAAAGAAAGATATAAAAACCAATATTTACCTCGTATCATACAACCAAACGTCCAGATAAACACAACGTTGTTCACTACACGTTGTATCAACCAGTATCTGCACAAGATTCTATCAAGCTGAGACAACTAACTTTCACAATAGGACCCCTTACGTCAACACAGCGGGAGTCGCAATCTCTCGCTACTCATATAAAGTCAATTTTGTTTGTGCCTGTCACTTACGTTGTCACAATGAAGTTATTGACAACAGACCCAATATTCTCTGCCACTCACAATACATGTCTGATCCAGGAATACGAGAATAGTAGCCAATACTCTTGTGGTATTAGGCCTGTTTTCTTATTTTATGGTTTACAGATATTGTGTTGAGGTCAGCTTTTTTAAATCTTGTTTACGCTTTTTGTGTAAAAAATCCTGCCTGGCTACTTTTAAGATTACTTTTTTGTTCTTAAAAAATGTCATGTGAATATGTTGTCATACGTGCAGTGTTAGCTAAGCTTGTCTTGCAGTTTAATGTTTTGTGTTCACACTTTATTTTGGTGGTGAATATGTAAGTTTCTGCAAAATAAAAGGTTTGATTTTCCCCCATTTTTCTATTTATTAGGGTCAGATGATTGGTAAATGAATTTTTACAAAGTCTAACCTAACCAATTTGCTTGGGTAGGTCGAAATTAAAGTGAAAATCAACTTGAGTTATACTACACAAAACACGCTCAGGACCACCATTATCTTCTTAACTTCTTTAGAGTAGTATAACTATATTTTATTTGGCAGGTGGAGGGGACTGAGATTGTTTAAAAAAACATATAATGTGTTCCATAAAATACTAGAAAAAAATAATTTTAATTTTACCACAACAAAAAATTGTTGACTTGATGTCCTGAAAAAATGAATTGTGGGTCCGCCCCCCCCCCCCCCCCCCCCCCGAAAATGTATCTCTTGAAGCTGTGACCACATAAATATTCCGTCTCAAACAAAATTCCAAGGCACTCCCTAGAATAGTAAATCGTTTGTCCCTTAAGCTCTTCTAAAGTCACAACACAAAAATTAGTCCTCGAATTTCTGAACTGTTGTTATTGCTGCCCCTCTGCACAGGGGTTTCAGTTCATGTTTGTATATTAACTAACTGTACCTATTGGGTGAGCCAGAGCTAGACATTCCCTCTCTCCACTCTGGTTACTGTAGAGGGTGTATGTTAATGTATAAACTATGTACAACTCAAGGTCACTCAAGGTCAGGTGATTAGTGCAGTCGATCAAAACGACGGCTGTTATCTTAAATGCCTTATTTTGTCTTATTAATATTTATACAAGGTTATTATTGTCAAATAAGATTGATTTAGGTTTAGTGACAGTTTGATATGTCATTTTCTTATTGAATGTTTTTGACTGTGTATGTGTGTGTATGTGCATGGGTGAGTGTGTGTGTTTTAGGGCTAGGATGGGTAACTCTGGTACCTGGGCCCGGTGGGTCATGAGTAGGACCCGGGTACTCACAGAACTACCTTGACCCGTGGTCATGTAATATATTGTTTAATGACAAAAATGATCTTGAACTATATGCTCACACTACAAGTCACTAATGTTCGCATTTCTTTCTGACTATGCCCCCAGACTTTTATATGGTTGAATAAAGATAAAACCTCAGTCAACTTTGAACAGTGCATGCATCACCAGTGTGTTTTACACGAGTATCTAAATACATTTTGCAAGGGTTACAGTTAAACTTTTCCCAATGAGACAGTTTGTACCTATCTCTTGAGACCTACAGCGGGTACCCGGGTAGGATCAGGTAACAGTGGGGTGGGTACCCAGGTAGTAAATTTGGATTGTGTGCCTGTAAAGGTTATCTTAATCCCCCAATCATGGCTCACTGATATACAATACAAGGTGCTTTACACCTATCAACTTGAATCTCCGATGATGTATGGCAAGGTGGTTAAGTCATATACATCACAGGTGAGATGTTTGTTCACACCCAGGCAGTGTTATTTAGTCACAGGTCTAACAATCTCAAGGAACTCAACTCTAGCATGTTCTCAACTCAGTTCAACAGACTAGGGCTGGGACGAGTCCAAATGGCCTACCCGGGTACCCGACCCCGTATTACCCGACCCTACCTGGGTAGGTCTCAATTTGGGTATAAAATGTTCAATTGGGAACTGCCCTGGCAGAAAGTATTTAGATACAGTATAATACGATGTGAACATGTATACGGTAAAGTTGACTGAACCTTTATGTTTACTCAAACATTTAAGTGAGTGAGTGAGTGAGGTTTTATGCCGCTTTTAGCAATATTCCAGCAATTTCACGGCAGGGGACACCACAAATGGGCGTCACACATTGTACCTATGTTGGGAATCAAACCCGGGTCTTCGGCTTGATGAGCAAACCACTAGGCTACCCGACCGCCCCCTCAAACATATAAAAGTCAGAAGGACTGTGTGCATAGTCAGAAAGAAATACAAACATTAGCAATTTGTACCAGTGCAACCATGGAATTTTATTGTTTTGTCATTAAACAATATATCACATATAGGTAGGAACCGGGTACCCAGAGGATTGCCTGGACCCTACTCAGGACCCACCCACCCCGAGTACCCGAGGTACCCATCCCAGCCCTACAACTGACCTATCAAACTTCCCATGTTGATTACCAATGGTAACTTATTGACATTAATCACAATGCAGTATTGCAATTCAACACAAGAAATTGAAAGTCGGCATTTTGTCTGAAAAACTGAAATTTGGTATGTCCATTGGTCATAGTTCTAAAGGTCCTACTGATTTGACCCCGAAATCAACTCCACACCTCCAGAGGCTGAAAGATTGTGGAGATTTTGATTTAAAGGAAGGCTCCCAAGTAAGTTTTGACAACCAACAACTCAATGTTTTTGTCATGGACTGGTCTTTCATTATAGGGGTGGGTGGGTGTGAGGGAATCAGGGATGGATCACCCAAAAATAGGACAGTCTCCAGGGGAGGGTAAAAAATAATAAACATGTCTAGGGACGGTAATGTAAAGAAAAAAACATTTTTATAATTAAATGAAAAGTGCTTTTAAAATTGGTCTTTTCAGGAGGGTCATGAAAAAAATGTACAAGGACATGGAGAGGGTCATCCAAAAATATGACAAGCATTACAGGAGGGTCCTTATTTTCAGTGCCTTACTGGTTCCAAAACTCCCTCCCCCTCTGCTCTTGAAATCTGCTAAAATGCATTAATGCTAATGATTCTTAGTCACTAGGTCACTAGACACTAATAGTAGCACTAGTAAACACAATGATAAATAAAAAGAAAATAGTAAGTAAACAGTTCAGGGATTTATCTAGAATTTCAAGTACCTAATAAGAGCCCATATATTACTTCAGACCACAGGGAATTATTTCTTATAATCCCTGTTTTTAAAATTTCAGATGTGTTCTAGCATTGCATTACAATAGTGTAAAACTAAATAGTATAGCCATTTCATCTGTACTGTGTTTACTGTTTACAATGCTAAAACATTACATCCTGATTTGAGAATTTTAATTTCCAATTTAAATTTTTTTACCCCAAAGACCTTGAGCTGGAACCAGCTTCAGAGAATGCCTAAATAAACCCCTAAAGATATCATAGAGAAAAGTAACAAAAAGTTCCTTTACATAAAGATTAAATTTTTCATTGGGTATATTTACCTGCTGAATCCTCGCATCATTCGTGATGGGCGGTTCTTTAAACATTCGGTTACTGCTGAGGGTCTCATGGCCAAAATCCCATTCATCTTTGAGATACTTCTTGTTCAGCACCCAGGCGATACGGTCGTCATGGTGACACAGAAGTTTCTCAAAGTCAACCAGCTGGAAGAAATAGCAACAAAGTATACAGATACTGATGGCAAGAAATAAATGAATCCCTAAAATTGTTGGAGATTTTAATGTTTGATGCTGTACTAACTAAAATACACATATAGGAAACCCAAGCCTTCTGTGTGATGAGCGAATGCTTTAACCACAAGGCTACCCCACTGCCCCTAATTAATGTCAATTAGATGATATATATCATCTAGCTGGGGTTCAAATACCTGGTGCTTGTTAGCTTGTGGTCACTAATATTGGTGGTCACTAAAACAAGTAATTTTATATCTACTATCCTGTCTCTCTAGATAACTGTTCTTAAGACGAGGAAGATTAAGAGAACTTCTTGGTCCATTAGAAATGTTAAATCTTGGACTTTGCAATATTATGAAGAAAATTATCAGACATTTTGATATGACTGACGAGCTGATGAGCCTCCTTTATAGCATATTTTTGTCAAGGACTTGCTGACATGACCAAATATTAGAAAATACTTCCTGAAAATGTTTCAAATTGGTCATGTTGACACATATAAGCCATGCCTCTAAATTTGATGTTGTTATAATGGGCAAGTGACAAACAGACCAAATTCTGAGTCTCATCCATATGAACGCATGAGATAACATTCATTATTTGGCTCATTCAAAATTTTGCTCATTTTTTAAACTACACAAATCTGGTGACCAAAGTGAGTATGGTTTATGCCACTGTTAGCAATAGTCCAGCAATATCACGGCAGGGGACACCAGAAGTGGGCTTCACACAAGGTACATATGTGGGGAATTTAAACCGGGCGTTCGGCCTGTTGACGTCACAAACAAACGCTTTAACCACTAGGCTACCCTTCTACAGCGGTAGAAAGTAACAGTTTTAGTCCACTAGTGAGTGAGTGAGTGAGTTTGGTTTAACACCACTTTAAACAGTATTCAAGTTATATCGCGCGTGTCAGCTTAATGTGGGAGGAAAGCCCAAAGTGATGCAGGTCTCAGACGTTTACCACTTCAGTGAAACCCACGAGCACGGGTATGGTGCTGACAAACCTAGAAACATAATTGGGGCGAACGGGGATTCGAACCCACAATCATAGGTTTCTGGCGTGCCCAAGGGATGCAACTCTGCACAGCGAATCGCGGCGCCTTAGACGACTGGGCCGGCCACCCATGCCCCCAGTCCACTAGTCCTTATAATGATAACATATAGCAAAACCCTTAAAAATGGCAGATTTCTACTTGTCCTTATGATACCTTAACTACTGGGCAGTTTGGCAAGGACTACAGGACTAGTGCCAATTTCTACTGCTGTACTAGTGACCAAAAAGGGTCCTTATGGTACCTCCTTTCTAACTCTGGCTCTTGAAACTGCCAGTCATGTTGGACTGGTAACTCTAAAAATTACCAGACCCCCCTAATATTTGTCAGTCCCAACTTTCAACAAATAAAAAAACATGAAAATTACCTGGTTATAATTCTTTCAACATCATGTTCAATGCAATGATGTCATCTCTGAAGTAACAGTTAGATCTACACATTATTCACACCAAGTTCAGTCACAATTTTCTCATCTAGTTTTTTATATTTTAAGACGAAGTCACTACGAATATATTTTTAACCTTGAAGCAAAGCAAAATGTAATTTCCTCACACTAGAAATCAACAAGGGGAAACTCTGATGGTAACAGACAAGCTGACTTTGCTCGAAAATTATACTTATATGAATATCACAGATTTATAAGGTCCTTTATTTGCCGGTCCACAGGGACTGGCATTCACATGAATTACCTGTCCAAGCCTAATTTTACCGGTAAAAACTGGTAAATACCGGTAAACAGGAACACTAACTTCAAATACTATTTAGCAATTAATTTTAAATCATGGATCATATCGTTGTTGGCAGCTAAACCATAGATAATATACACGCCACATTAACATCATCCTGTGTGAAAGAAACAATATAGACATAGTGCTACTCACTAGATACTCCATTCCTTACGACTCGCTACAATTAACTCCGTCTATCTCTGTGTTGTTATTGTGTGTTTGACAGTATCAGAAGTACTACAGAACTCACTGACCTCTGATAATTATCTCGGGCTGCCGACCAAATGGAAACATTATCTCCGACTCTTGCTGAGTGATTGTGTGCACCACTGCACGTCTTGTTCAGCATTAGGGCTGTTACGATTCACTCGCGTATTCGGTGAATCGAACCGTATCCATTCATGAAATGAATTCGTTATTCGTGGCCACTAGAATCGAATATTTATGAATATGCAAGCATGTGCATTTACATAAAAATACCCATAAGAACATATTATATGCATAGATTTCTTCAAAAGACAACACTCTTATACTATTTAAATTGACAATATAGTGGTCACTGGTCATTGTCGCATTTGAGGAGATACTAGTACCTGGATAAGTGCAGTATATAAATGTAGAATATATTAATAATTAACAAACCAAATAATTTATGTTGTTATTGCTTCACTGAATATAAAAAATAAAACATCAGCTACTAACTTGTTATTGTATTCCTGGATTAATATTCGTATTCATTACCCTATATTTGTGATACGAATCGTATTCGCCTCATAGTGTATTCGTTGCAGCCCTATTCAGCATGCAGTTGGGACATTTTATATAAGGTTCAATTAAAGACTAGAATATCTCCTTTTTCTTTCTCATATGTTTCAAAGACAGATCATTATGACTGAATTGTTGACACACATTAGGATGTTTTAATTCGATAACAGATTTATATTTTCATACAAATTTAATGAAATTAACATCTTGAGTTGATTCCGGTCCTGTTGATAAATACACTATGAAAAAATCTTTACAGTAGGCCAATAGATATCCGAAAAATACGCTTTCAAGCTTTATTTCCATTTTTCTGAAAACTTTTGACCCTATTTAAAAAACAAATTTGGAAACAAATAACAAATCACAACAAACTTAGATGGGGCGGGAGGATTTAGAAGGAGATGGATTGTGATGTTATTTTAATTATTACTGATATTGATAAACAATTGTAACTACAAATTTGATTTTATAGCTTTTCCTTTCAACATATGTGGCAAAAAAGTCAAGAAATAATATCAAACCAGAGAAAATGCAAAAAAAATGTATGTATGAAAAAAGAAGACATATTTTGTATGAATTACTCAATACCTACACATATGTAAAACTAGAAAGCAACATATCACATCACAATGATAAATATGTCAATAAAAAGTCAAGGACTACTGTAGCTTTGTTAAGGTCAGTAGTACAGGTGAACCCCAGTTTACCTGTCTTAATTACAGGTGAGACAGGTGTGGGAGCAATGAGGTGTGAAACCCAGGTATAGGGAGTCAGTGACTGAGACAGATCCGAGGCACATGTAAGTGAGGTAACACAGAGTTGGGGTTAACGCTGCCGCCAACACCAAGGGAGGTCTACTCGTGGTGGCACGTGGTCCTGTGTGCACACAACTCACATATCAGGCCAAGTTCAGCAACGTTAGTGATGGAGAGAGATGGTGGAAATCCTGACTGAGAGTTTCTAATCCTTCTGGTCCAGCCCCACAATGAAACATAAGTCAAGTGGCTTGGCTCAAATTATGGCTCTTTTCACCAAGCAGTAAATGGGTACCTGGTAGGATGAGATGGAAATGTGACTAAACCTTCTAGCGCCACAAAAAGCAGCTTGGTTGTATACTCCCCAGGGAGCTGAGAATGCACTTTGACTTCCCACTGATCCAGTGACAGGTTAATAATAACATAGAACCATGAGCATTCACTTAGTGAATGAAATGGCACATTATAAATGGAGTACATTTAAACTCAGTGTTGCAAATAATTAAAGATGAAGTCGTTCATTGTTTATAACATCACAAACTATTTTTGTGATGTTGTTAAAAAAAGATAACCTTCTCATTAACTATTCTTAAATTATTTCCTGGTGCTGGTATTCAAACCCTCATGCCACCCTTTCCCTACGACCACGAATATCACGAATCACCCTGAATTGGAAACTTTGGAAATTCGTAATGATTCGGCCAATAATGCAAACTTTCGTGGCTAATCGGGTTGAAAAATATGAAGAGTGCCAGGAATGGGTTAAGAAACATGTACGAATTGTAAGAATCACCTACGACTAAGTTACGAATGTTGTTCTTACTTAATTCTTACATGATTCGATTCTTAGTTGACTCGGGACATTCGTGGCAGTTTCAGGATGTTTTCATGTTGAGGACAAGAAATGTTGGGAGCCACGATTACTAAGAATAACCAAGAATGCAAAAGAATCGATTACAAAGCTGTTACAGAACATAAGAATTAATTACAAGAGATTACGATACAGCCACGAAATTGCAATTCGTGGACCCTTCCATGAAATTTTTTGACAAACAAAAACTTTCACGCCGATTCGACGAACTCCCGTGAACTGTTCGAATGTTTGGGAATCAAATAAGATTCATTTACGAACTTCAAGAAATGATTGAGATTTATCTACGAACATGAAAAATTGCCTATTGAGGGTGATTCGGGATTTAGTGAAATGAGGGCATTACACTCATGACGTTTATATAATAATGATTCTCACCTAGCTACCGCTCAGGCCACTGGGCCTTAATGAACAGAAAGTCAATATTTTGAAGTCATACTTTGGAGTGTTATAAACTATTACCGGTATTAACAGAGTTGGATAAAATATGTTGTTTTTTCCAAATTAGCATATATTGACGTGTACAAAAGCTTCTGAATGACTCAAACTGAAACACTTTGCCTTCTACGTTTTTCATATTAATAGCTGAGAGCGTGTGGTTGTCATGTGAAAGTTGTGCTGCATGTGCAAAATTGACATGGCACCAGTGGTGTACAATTCTGTATTAGGGTCAAACATCTCAACACTCATCCAGTCCACATAGCTCATGCATTGCAAATATATATATTAAATCCTAATTTGTAGAATCAGTCAATCTGTCAATCTTTTAAATATATACTCGTCATAGTAATATAAAAGTTAGTTGGTTGGTTTGTTGTTTAACGCCTGTAAATAATCAAGTCTGGACCAGACAATCCAGTGATTGACATCATGAGCATCGATCCACGCAATTGCATCAACCAAGTCAGCGAGCCTGACCACCCGATCCTGTTAATCGCCTTTTACCACAAGCGTAGTTGCCTTTTACGGATAGCTTGGGTTGCTGAAGACTTTTTTTATATAGTATATCATGGGATTCTCAGGGATTTAGTATTGCAACTGAGTGAATCAAGCTACATCTAAATTGATTGAATTTGTCAGCTATTTTACAATTTATTGTATTTAGACATTGACTGAAAGAATTATGACTGTGAATTAAAGTCGTGGGAAGCAGTTTTGTAGCATAAGGGAGACAACTCCATACATACCTAGATCCACATTCACTGCCCACAGCTGTCATATAGATACTAGGTCTACCATTAAATTTGAGTGGGCTGAGGTTACCATACATCCAGCGACCAGTGTTGACCAGATTCAACCTGGGTTAACTTGTGTTAGTCAAGATAAGGGCAGTACTCAAAATATAACCCATAAAATGCCAAGATTACCAATGAAAGATTAACTTTTGCCTCTGTGTATATATAGAAATTCTAAAAACCTTAGATAAAATGCAAAAATGTGTATAGCTTTAATACACAACTATGACATGTTGATAAGTCTTTCATTGCTCAACAAACCTGTCATTGTACATTTTCTATTTCATGCATGTAAAACAACTAGAAAGTTCAAAACAACATGTATAGAACATAAAACAGTGATGCAAAATCATTATCAAAGTTGCATTATTGATTTAAAGTATTAAATCAAAATCACAGTCAAAAGCCTTATGATGGGGACCTGGAAATAATCAAGTACGGACAAGACAATCCAGTTGTTGATATTATGAGCAACAATCCCTGCAACTGGCATACACTATGTGTCAACCAATTCAGAAAGCCTGACCACTCCATCCATTAAGTCGCCTATTACAACAAGCACAAATTGTTGGGGACCAAATCTAAAGCGGGACCCCACGGGTGTTTAGTGATCTGACCTTAAACAGCTGGTTCTCCTTGCCCTCCGTGTATTCCATGTCGGCGTGGCTGAACCCGGAGTGGAGGTCGCACCTGTTGACAGAGAACATTACATTTGTACATCTTCCCGAGACAAGGGTCAACTGACTGTAAAGTCCAGTTTCCACTCTTGCGGTACTAGGATGGAATTTCTGGGCTCAATCGTAGCGCCACCAGTGGCTGTTACAAGTTATGTCCCTTCTATGTTCCTCCTATTTACCAATCAGATTCCACCTCTCATATCACTTGCATTTGCTTCAAACAAAATGGCGGCGCCCAGTGAAGACGATCTGATCAATAATCAAGATGTTCATTGAAATAAAATGGGTCTTACTTTATGGAGTGCGTCAGATCATGATAAAAAACATTAAAGGATTTCGAACATATATGTTGATGCTGAATTAATGGTACACATGCTTTGCAAATCCTGCAAATGACTGAAATCTGCATCCAGTTCACAAACCGGATGTCAATTTCGTTACGCGACTTTGATTGGAATATGCATAGACTCGTTAGTCCAGCCCAAATATAACTACATTATTCCAGCCTTGTTCGGCAAGAGCCAAAACTGGACTTTTAAAGTCAATTAACTCCCTTGCCTCGCGAGGATGACATTTGTAATGAATTATGCCAGACCAATTTACTTTACAGCTTTTCTAAACTAATATTCCAGGATGCAGGTGACAAATGTTTTAACATTCAACAGGATGCTGAATATAAAATGACAAATATAACCACAAGGTTCTGTAGCTCACCAATTCTTTTTCTCATACTTTCACCAATAGATCTTGAATGTCACTGAACAAGAATATGCCAAAAATATTACATAAGCAATCTCATTAAAATCAGACCTCAGTTCTCGCTACTGCTAAACAAAGATCTGAGGACATCCCATTACGGGTCACGTCAGAACGACCTTTCATCCAACCAATCAGAACATCGCTTACCAGATTATGAAAGTGACAGTCGGAATGTGATTTTTGATCATGCAGCCTCGATAACTTTAAATCCGAACGATAGTTATGGGTTTAACGACTGTATCCATACAATCTAGACCATCTATTAGCCATTCCAGAATGTTCTTTTCTTCAGGTTTTAAATTTGTAATCGAGAATTTGTCAAAATACGTTTCGAAGCGTAGTTGCCACTTTGAAATTAGTGCTGTAAAGCACGAGAAAACTGCCTTCTGATTGGTCATTCCATTGGTCGGTCAAAGTTCGCGCAAGGTCGGTCTGACGTGACCCGTAATGGGATGACCTTAGATCTTTGTTTAGCAGTAGCGAGAACTAAGATCTGATTTTAATGAGATTGATTACATAAGCTTCTACACCATACAAATTCCGACTACATGTACAGTTATACACTGAAGAAAAAAGTAAAGAATTATGAATAACTTTTTTCTTCAGTATACTACTCCAAAAAGGTTAAGAACATACATTTTTTCATATAACTAATAACTATAGTGAATGTGTCATGGACATGACACGACAGATTAACTATAGCCCCCAAAAATTGGGTGTTCTTTAAACTTCAGCCTACTGAATTGTTCTCAGCTGAGAAATTTGGCAGATACTTTTTTAACTCACGATGTTTTCTTTTTGACGTAAATGAACTACTGAACGTTTTGATATTTTGCACGCTGAGTATTTATGCATACCATACATAACGTAAAATATACACAAAGCCCATGTGTTAAACAGTTATTGCGAGTTTCATTTGGGGGTGTCCTTCGACTACGTGCCTGTCAACTGGGTTCGACAGTAGCATTGAAAGCATTAACTCCTTTTGGGTAGTATGTAAATGATAGACTTACCAGAGACATGCAGGGCAGCCACAACAACACATGAAGTCCTGTATAACCCCTAGTCTATGTTATAACAAATGCTATATATGGGATAACACTTTCTTTGTAAAGTACAGATTCTCATACTTTTTGGGGTTGAGTCCCATACAGGATTCAAACTCACACTGCCAGAGTGAGGCACCAAATGGCCAGCACACAAAGTCAACAATCTAACCCACTCAGCCAACGAGGCTTCCACAAAAATGAAAGTCTGACAACTGGTAGTCTAGATCACGTACTTTGTGTACCCCTCTGACAAGTGTAAATTGGCACGGCTCCCTTGGCTGAAAGCTATGAACACACAATGCCATTTAGAAGTGGTCAAATCTGTACTTGGTGGTAAAAAAGTACGAGAATCTGTACTTTACTAAGAAAGTGTTATCCTAAATATTACATTTGTTACATTTGACCATTTTCTAAATGGCATTGAGAGTTAAGACATTCATAGCACTAAGGCTGCTCTGTGAAAAGGGGTCCAGTTAATATCTCATCCATCGTAGGTCTGTTATAGTATTGTATTATACAATCTCTGCAGAATGGGCCTTACAACATACCAGAGGATGAGATCAAAGAATTCGGCAAGCTGGATTCGTCCGGTCTCCTCGAAGTGCTCCTTCATGTGTTTGATCCGGTGCATCAGCTTCAACGGGGCTATCATCCTCCCGCACATCTACAACAATGGCAGAAAGCTGTTTGCAAAAGTCGGTACAATGGATTCAATGTAATATTGAGACATATTTTTATCTTATTGTGGTGTCATCAAGCTTGTTGTAGAGAAGACAGTTGTCTCCCTTTACCATGGTACCCTCAAAATGTATCCTAGATACTAGAGCTGGGACGGGTAACTCGGGTACTCGGGTCGGGTGGGTACTGAGAAGGACCTGGGTACCAACAGAATTATCCTGACCCGTGGATGGTCAGTGATATATTGTTTAATGACAAAAATGATCTAAATGAAAATAAGCAAAGCATGCCTGTCTAAAAGGTTTCTGTCCTTGGTGTTACCATTTGCTTAATTAAGGTAAGAGTTATCCATCTTTAAGTAGAAAGAAGGTAAATTAACACTACCTTTTCATATCAATTCCTGTCTTCCATGGAGAAAAGTTTTTTTGAGTCAACTGAAGAAAAAGTTTATGGTCAAGGTCTCCAGCTTTAGGTTCTGGAGCTCCATGGATTAGGGTTAGGTACCCCAGGTTTAGGGTCAGAGGCTCCAGGTTTAGGGTCAGGGGATCCAGGTTTAGGGTCAGGGGATCCAGGTTTAGGGTCAGGGGATCCAGGTTTAGGATCAGGAGCTACAGGTTTAGGGTCAGGGTTCCAGGTTTAGGGTCAGGGGCTCCAGGTTTAGGATCAGGGACTCCAGGTTTAGGGTCAGGGGATCCAGGTTTAGGATCAGGAGCTACAGGTTTAGGGTCAGGAGCTACAGGTTTAGGGTCAGGGTTCCAGGTTTAGGGTCAGGGGCTCCAGGTTTAGGATCAGGGACTCCAGGTTTAGGGTCAGGGGATCCAGGTTTAGGGTCAGGAGCTCCAGGTTTAGGGTCAGAGGCTCCAGGTTTAGGGTCAGAGACTCCAGGTTTAGGGTCAGAGGATCCAGGTTTAGGGTCAGGGGCTCCAGGTTGCTGATGTAAATCAAGATAAGGGATACATAGAAGGGTGGGGATGCTTGACAGAAATCAAGATATACACAAACTGGCAGGACAGACAGACAGCTGGAGAGCACACATTGATCATGCATGTCCTGGTACCTTGAGACACCTCAGCAGAGTGTGTTTGTCCAGCAACATGCCCTTCATGTCTCCTGCCTCGTACAACTGGTATGCCACCCGCACATTGTGGAGCTCCTCGAACCTGCAGCACAACAAGGGTTACACATTGCCACATGTCAGGTAATACAGCAAGAATGTAAGATGTTACTTATGACAAAGCCATTTGGTCAATGACAGCAAAAATGTAAGGTGTTACTTATGACAAAGCCATTTGGTCAATGACAGCAAGAATGTAAGGTGTTACTTACGACAAAGCCATTTGGTCAATGACAGCAAGAATGTAAGATGCTACTCATGACAGGGCCTTGTGGTCAATGACAGCAAGAGTGTAAGTTGCTACTCACGACAGGGCCTTGTGTCAAGACAGCAAGAATGTAAGGTGTTACTTATGACAAAGCCATTTGGTCAATGACAGCAAGAATGTAAGATGCTACTCACGACAGGGCCTTGTGGTCAAGCAGCAGCATGACCTTCCTCATGGCAGCCATGTTCCACTCCGCACTGTGCATGTTGACCGTCTGGTGCAGCGACTTGTACAGCAGCTTGTACTCCAGCATCTGCAGCACCTCCTGACAGAGTGAGTGAGTGAGTGAGTGGGTGAGTGAGTTAGTGGGTGAGTGGGTGAGTGAGTGAGTATGGTTTAATGCTGCTTTTAGCAATATTCAAGCAATATCAAGGTGGGGAACACCAGAAATAGGCTTCACAAAATGTACCCATATTTCACACAGGGATGACCAAAGTCAATTGACATCTTTGCCAGTTAATATCCTGCCCTCACAAATAGTGTAATTATTGAAATTCAAACTAATATTCATGTTTTTTATTTTATTTGAAATATTTACAACCGGAAGAAAAATAAATGTCACCTGACACAAAAACAGACCGATGAATATCCCTCCTGGAGATTATCATTAACACATGCATGGCAAAATTCCATCAATGTATGTTCAAGTTATTGTCTGGAAAGCAAACATGAGAGGATCCGAAAAGGGGAACGCGAACCAATGGATAACGCATGTCGGAGAATGTGTCAAACAAAGATGAGGATGATATTTGTGGATAGTGAAACATGGTGACAATGAAAGTGAAAATATAGCTTTCGAACCAATGAACAAAAAAGGAATAATTAACATGTCACTACATAAAACGTTTTTATCGTTATTATAAAAAAAATATTTTGAAATCGGTGACGCTTTAGCCAGCGCCAAGCAGGACCACCCCGCTGCTTCAGTCTTGTCTTGGACCCCCTCAATCCAGTCACGGCTCTCGGCTGTACTGTCCACGACCCATTGTGTTGATGTCCAAATGAAGGTAAGCTTCTGTAAGAATGTTGTAAAGGGACTCCAGAAACTAACATCTTAAATGGGTCACAGTTCCTAAGGTACTAAGGCAATACTCTACCGTACCTTGATAAGAATGCCATCTTTTTCGACTGTAATTTCGTCAGTGACATTACTTCTGAAGAGGTCGACTTGGAACTGGAAAAAATGAAAGGGTACATCACGTGTCTGGATTGTGTTAGTGGTGGTGTCGTTGTTACACGGGGTGCTATGGATATATGTACCCTGAACTTCTAACTCAATTTAAAATCGGAATACAAAAATGCACAAATAAACTGGAACCAGAGCGAGTCTATTCCAGAAATTTCCACCATGCACGAACGAGTTCCTTTGTACAATCGCGTAGTGCTGACCACCTGGACGGTTTTGCGCATTCTTGAATATACATTAGCATCCGTGACAAGAACACATGGCCAGGCTAGGGTACATTTGTGTACACCTGCGTGAGTGAGTGGTCCAATGTAACGTCGCTTTCAATATTCCGACCTGAGATCCCATACTGTCGCAATGTCATAATCGAATTCTTATCTTCAGTGTGACGAGCGAACCCTATAAATACCACCGCCCCCTAAAATTTGTTATTTCCTTGAAAATTCACCTAAAGGTGAATCTATGCGTTGATTCTTGGAATTCCATTGGTAGCAACAGTACCGCACATAAATGATAATTTCTTGCTCTCATTTCACACTACGGTGAGAAGATCACCATGCACGTGCCTGCACGAGTATTTAGAGTAGACACCATGGCTGGAAACCATTTTTGCATGAGGACATCATGTTTCATACTGTTTGTTTTTTCTGTTTTCAAAATCCAAGATTGTTTGATTGTTTGTGTTTAACGCCGCAGCAATATTCAAGTTTCATGACGGGGGTCCGTAAAAAATCGACTCTATACCAGACAATCCAGTGATTGACATCACGAGTATCGTTCCACGCAATTGGAATGCGATGACGTGCATCAACCAATTCACGAGCCTGACCACCGGATCCCGTGAGTCGCCCCTTACGACAAGCATGGAGTGCTACATACCAATTCTTACCCGGATCTTCTCGGACTACCTATCAGAAACTGACAATACTCTCACAGAGTCCTTTCAGATTAGTATTTCTTTGATTTGTGAATAGATTGTGGTCTGGGGGATACTTGGTCTACCCGGAGATCGGAATGTCTGTGGCTCAATCTGCGTCATAACAAAAGACGTTGAATGTTACCCTGCCTCGCTCTCAGCTTTGAGGGTTTACAACAAGGACTGGCCGAGCTCGGAGTCTGTATACTGTGTCTGAGTGGGGTATCCATGTTAAACTGCGGAATGGTATCTCAGTGGGCTAGCAGAATACCAGCTTTAGTCTGGACAAGGACAAGCAGACACACATATATACTCTCTCTCTCCTTCTCTCTCTCTCTCTCTCACACACACACATACACACATACACGTGTATGCACGTCGCTATATATACCTGCAATCCTGCGTCTTGAACGCGGCGTTTAACCCCAGTTCACCTGGCCTCGCCTCGCCAATAGAGGTGACGTGCGGCCTCTACATTACAGAGCTAATAACCACTACTTGATATCTGGGATGCACTGCGGGGCTGTATCTATGTATCTACACACGAAGGTGACTGTTACGTGCAGCGTTCCTGAGCCCCCCACGCCACCCCCTACCGAGCACGAACTCCGAAACTGCATGGCAACACGCAAACCAGGCAACACTATTAACAACACAAAATGCTCTGTGGAAAAAAGAACTTGTTCGGATCCAAATCTATATCTCGGAGTCTGAACTGCGCCATGGTCAACATATGCAGGTCAAGACTGATGGTGCCAAGATACACACCAGCCCTCTTTTCCCCAGGCATCCGGCATACCAATTAATTTGTCTTGGCATCCAATTTAAGAACTCTTGAGTCATATCAGTGTACACAGCTGGTACAAGTACATTAGACTGGACTTTTACAAAGAATGCTGATCATATGTGTTCATTAGCTTAGACCTAAATATTGTATTAATTCGTCGCGAAAAATATATTGCAATGTTGAAATATTGGCGTCCGCATACCAGATAAACATTTCACGGCATCCATTATACTTTACTGCGGCATCCGAAATACCACTTAACAGGGCTCGGCATCCGGCGTACCAAATTGGGGATGGCCCCTTCAAGACTGCCCAGTATCACCAACTCCCCGGTTATAAGATATTGAACTATTGAATAAGTGCAGTAGTCCACAGTATGACATCGATGGCAACAAAATACTGATTGTTAGTGAACATGCACGCTAACTATCGATCGTTTCGATGTATGTAAAATGTTAGTTATCAAGACCTCTTTATAATAACCTACAGGACAAAAGAAAGTATACGCTTGAAAATTTAATCTGACCAAACAATTACAAACGTTATCAAAACGTTACAAGGCTGAAATCAGTCGCCGAAAATCTGCAAACTTAAGGTTCAAAACACAGCTATGATACCCGTATCAAATACCCATCACCATCAAACAACCGTCTTGGCTTGTTTCATTTTTAGCCACTGTCAAACCAACATGATCGATACTTTCTTTTGCCCGGCAGTGTACTTGCAACATTCGATTGGTTGGTTTGTTGTTTAACGCCGCACTCAGCAATATTCCAGCTATATGACGGCGGTCTGTAAATAATCGAGTCTGGACCAGACAATCCAGTGATTAACAGCATGAGCATCGATCCACGCAATTGGGATCGATGACATTTATCAACCAAGTCAGCGAGCCTGACCACCCGATCCCGTTTGTCGCCTTTTGAGACAAGCATAGTCGCCTTTTACGGCAAGTATGGGTTGCTGAAGACCTACTCTACCCCGGAATCTTCACGGGTCTGCAACATTTGATTTCATCTTAAACACACCTTGTTTAAAGAGAGAGTTTCAAAGTTTCGCAATTCACTATATACAGAGGAAATCGTGATCTTGGTGGGCATTGACATCAATGATCATGTCAAATAATTATGGATTAATGTATTAAAGAACTGTAAATAATTCAATCAATCAGTCAATAAAATATTTTTTTCCTCATATTTATTCTTCTTTCAAATCTAATCTCAGACAGATATATCATTGATTTGATGCGTGGCACTGCCCTCTGTACTAACATGTCTGATCACAGTGACATGAAAGTTATGTGCAATCAATCATGATTGACAATGAGTAACTCACAAGCATACACATAAGTCAAAAGTAAACACTAGCAATACCGGAACACTTGATGAGTATTTGATGTTGTCGGTGAACAGTCTCTCAACTAAGTGACTTCGGCTCTAACGTCAATATTGATTTTGCTGTTTTATGAAAGACATCTTACTAATTATAGTGTACAATGTATGTCTGAACTCTCTTAATATTACCGTAAAGTTGATAGCATTTAAATGGTGGCTCGGGGTTATGAATTATTCAGTTTGTAAGATTATTGATAGAGTTTGACTGTGTCACATATTTAACAGAACGAGTGTAACTTGCAATTCCGAAATGAAGTCAAACCCCAGTTTCGTATGATCCGAATGACGCATTCATGTAACAGTGTGTTCCTTGGCGACACAGTAACTAGACTTGTCGTGGAGCTAACAGTACACACAACATTTTAAGTTGTAGCAGTATCACGAGGCTTTGTGCGTCCCTCGGTAGGTTTTATACCCTCTCCGACCCCGAGTGATACTGCTACAACGCATTTATCACACTGACATGTTTTAATCTGCCATTGTAAAGGATTAAAACCGATTCATAATTGATAGAAAAAAGCCGTGGGATTGAACTGAGGTTAAACTGTGCTATGTCACTTGACTTTCATTGACTTTCATAAAGCGTGCGACTTTTTGCTTAGAAGCGGGGTATATGGGATTTTTTTCTCCCGCTCAAAAATCCTCGTGCAGCGTGTCTTTCTTCGTGGCTGGGTGTAAGGGATTTATTCTGCCGCTCAGAAATTTATTTCCCTCCAAGGCGGGATATACATTAATTTATCTAGATCACGTGGACAAATCAGATCTCATCATTCTGAAATGGAGGTATGATAAAAAAATATATAGGCTATGTCTATTTTCCGTCACCAATAGTATCTGTATTACGTCTACAATAGTGTGTATTACGTCAACAATAGTGTCAGTATTACGTCAAAAAAAGTGTCTATATTACGTCACCAATAGTGTCCGCATTACGTCAACAATATTGTCTGTATTTCGTCACCAATACTGTATGTATTATGTCAACAGACGTTTCTGTATTACGTCAACAATAGTGTCTGTATTACGTCACCAATAGTGTCTGCATTACGTCAACAAAAAGTCTGTATTACGTCACCAATAGTGTCTGCATTACGTCAACAAAAGTGTCTGTAATACGTCACCAATAGTGTCTGCTTTACGTCAACAAAAGTGTCTGTAATACGTCACCAATGGTATCTGAGTTATGTGTGAAATACTAAAATTACAAATGTGCTTCAAACTTGTTTTAAATAACTGGATCACCAATACGTCCATTTCACGTCTTAGGGACCGACCATTCGATATTCTGAGGGTGTGGGGTGGGTGTTGGTTGTTGCAGCTGAGAAAGTATCTAATCTCCATACAAAATCCCAGAATTATTAACGATTCATCCCTTGTCAAGTCGGGTGAGACGAGGCTGGTTGCAATGTGTGCATCTATAGGCCATCGCGCTTTGACGGCAACAGTTACTCACTCACTCAGTGAGGAAATCATGCGTTATGCCGCGTAAGAATTTCTGCATGAAGCGTGACGCCATATAGACGTCAAATTACAAGTTTCACATGTGTTGATCACGTGTGTTTGCTTGGAATCTCTGAAAACATAATTGAAATGAATAAATGGAGTTTAACCAAATCCTTTTTCATCATATCTACTGGCATAGGATGCACCCTATAAATGTAAATCCTAATGTAAACTGCCGGACAAAAGAAAGTATACTCTCGTGACTGATGGTGTCTAAAATGAACTGAACAAGATATGGTTATTCGGTGATGTATTTAATACTGTCGATATTACAAGTATCATATATCAATGAGTATCTCCCGACAGGTGACGTGCACATGACGTCTAACGGATCATGGGGGTAGCAATTTCACAGCAGACAGTAATGGGAAGAGTGGACCGTGAATTTTCAAGTGTAAACGTTCTACTGCCCGGCAGGTCTACGCCAGTATCTCAGTGTATGTATCCACATTACTCTACTTACCCCCAGAGTTCTTGCCAGACAACTGCAAAAGTAAAAAGACATAAGTGTCATTCATTCAATATACCAAACAAAAACGTAACTTTATGTAAGTAGGTTACCGCCTCCGCCTAGTGCTAGATTGCCGTGTAATTTAAAGAAAACGTTAAAAGATGTTACTTGTTGTTACCCAGCAAGGACTGGCCGACTCGGAGTTAGTATACTGTCTCTGAGTGGGTTGTTCATCTTAAACTGCGGCATGGTATCTCAGTGGGGTGGCATTATAAAATCGGCATTAGTCCGGACTAGTACAATCAGTCTCTCTCTCTCTCTCTCTCTCTCTCTCTCTCTCTCTCTCACACACACACACACACACACACACACAGACTCACACCGCACACACACACACGTGCAAGCACGTGGCTAAATAAGTATCAGTAGTCATGTCACACGGGCTCGAATCTCATTCGATGTGTTTGGAGATGGACTTGAGCACAAAAACACATCTTTACTTATTCTGAGTTAACGTTGATTATACGTTTGTCAGTAAATTTCTATTCTATTGAGACATACCCTGGACTCTCTCGCTACCATATCGTTATGAGCCCTATGACACAACGCTAGAATGAGCAGTCCAATCAAATTACTCCCATGAGCGAGAACAGTTCTGTGCAATGTTAGAGATAGACGTGAATGTATATATAATGGAGATACACTACTTAGTGGAGGGGACCCGTGAAGATCCGGGGTAGAATTGGTCTTCAGCAATCCATGCTTGCCATAAGAGGCGACTATGCTTGTCGTAAAAGGCGACTAACGGGATGTAGTCTTCATATCCCAATTGCGTGGATCGATGCTCACGATGTCATTCACTGGATTCTCTGATACAGACTTAATTATTTTCAGACCGCCTTCATATAGCTTGAATATTGCTGAGTGGGGCGTTAAACAACAAACAAACAAAAAAACAAACAAAGCTTAATCGAGGATGAACATGCATATGGTACGGAGGTAAAACAAGCATATAGATTGATACCTCGTTATTCCAGATCCCATAAATCCTGAATCCCCATTTTTCGAACGAACGCTGATATATAATGAATGGAACATTACTACTGTAACATACCTTCCCCGCGATTCGTGAATTACTGGTAAACGCTCTGTCCGTATGAACGGGGGTTCCCTTTAGTCGGGTTCATGTTTTCAGAAAACACATCATTCAAATTAAAAATAGTTTTACCTCTGATGATTGTTGGTTGACATATATAAGTTTCTGTTATTAAATTAATAATCCAAGACCAAGTCAGCTTAGGTTCCAAGGGACATACCATCTTATCCCTGTTTTCCCATGGGTATTCCGGAGTATTTCTGTGTGCGGCGTTAAACAACAATAAACATAATAAATTGGCTGACTGGTGATTTTTTTAACCTTTTGGCTAGGTGAGACACGAAACAATTCAAACGTTGATAGTTGAGAATGTCTTTTTCGGGGGCGTGAGTGAGTATGGTTTTACGCCGCAGTGAGCAACGTTCCAGCAATGTCGCGGCGGGTACACTCAGAAAGTATTCGGTTTGGTTTGTTGTTTAACGCCGCACTCAGCAATATTCCAGCTATATGACGGCGGTCTGTAAATAATCGAGTCTGGACCAGACAATCCAGTGATTAATATCATGAGCATCGATCCACGCAATTGGGATCGATGACATGCATCAACCAAGTCAGCGAGCCTGACCATCCGATCCCGTTAGTCGCCTTGTACGACAAACATAGTCACCTTTTACGGCAAGCATGGGTTGCTGAAGACCTATTCTACCCCGGAATCTTCACGGGTCAGAAAGTATTCGGACTTAACACATTGTACCAATGCATTCGTCACCACTCGCCCCTTTCCGTAACCTGACGCTATTCGGCTTGACCCGGAATAACAAGAGCTGATCACGAATGTGTACCAATGTTGGGAACCGCATCTTGCTCTATCGCGCCTAAATCTGAAGAGAACGATAAGATAACTATATTATTCACTAAACCCTTTAATTCCGGTTCGACCTGATAATGTTTCTATGTTTGTCAGCACCATTCCCGTGTGATTCATTAAAGTGGTAAACGTCTAAGACCTGCATCACTTCGGGCTTTCCCCCTCATCAAGCTGATATAACTGAAATACTGTTCAAAGCGGCGTTAAACCACTCACGCACTCATTCACTCACACAACGGTCGTATTGTTTGTTTATATTAATATTTTACTGAAATTATAAATCAAGTTCATATAGCAAGCATGATTGGGTTGGATCACAGAAGTATTTAAAACACATGTTTGACGTCATTCTATTGTTTAAACGCTCCATTATTATTCAGGAATGGAGAGTTGCTTGTCAACTGTACATTATCTTGAAGCAGCATTTGAATTTTTCAAATATTTTCAACTACAGAAACTTTTGTCAAAGTGTAAAAGTAGGGATGAGTTTTAAGTAGGGGAATATCCTCGTAACTCTCATTTCCTTAAAAATAATGGGCCTCGGACCCTGCGGGGCCTCTGCTCCATTATTTTTAAGAAATGGAGAGTTACTCGGACATTCCCCTCTACGTAACTACTAATCTATGCCAACTTCATGCTCTTGGGGATGGATATGGGGAACTATCGGAAATCAATCGGCTCGTCTCATTCCAATACGACCTCGGCCTGCACTGTTAAGAATGCATGTTGGGGCGTATTTCGTGGACCACACACAATTACGGTGCTCGTGAACTTAATAAAACTTTTCAAATTGTTTCCATTTGTACTGTACTATATACATACATACATGCATGCATGCATACATACATACATACATACATACATACATACATACATACATCGTAAAATGGCGGTTGTTACGAGGTCAAGATGCCCTTTCTAGTACGTAATATCCGATGTGTCTGTTGGTATAATACCTCACAAAAGAGGTATTATGCTCCTCAAAATGGTGCTGATGTCTAGATGTTGTAATTAGCGCTATGTGTAACCATGGACCTAGATGAGACGTTGACATCATTGTTTTTGTTTTGTTGTTGTTGTGATCGATTTTATGACACACCGTCGGGATACGATGAACCGCAGTGAACCAAGTCACCAAACCTGCCCATCCGATCCATCAAGTCTCTTACGACAAGGGGCGGTGGGGTAGTCTAGTGGTTAAAGCGTTCGCTTGTCACGCCGAAGACCTGGGTTCGATTCCATGGGTACAATGTGTGAAGCCCATTTCTGGTGTCCCCCGCCTTCATGTTGCTGGAACATTGCTAACAGCGGCGTAAAACCATACTCACTCACTCACTCACTCGTACGACCAGTATAGGTTGCTGGGGACCTATTCTAACCCAAGGGGTATGTGGTCATTGCTAGAATGATATTAATGGAAAACTTAAGTAAGCACACAAACGAAATGGGAGTTGAATAACTGGAACCATTCTGCTAGAACTGCCGCCTTGTTCGTGTCCACTCCAAGTCTTGCAAGATGGTTCACGAAGAGTGAACGCGGACAATGAAAGTAAGCATGGCTGAACAGTCGGTGAAATCAAGACTGGGTCTACTTTCCACCTGACTGGATTACCTGTAATTACCCAGTGTGTACTGAATATACCGTAGTTCATAACGGATTCACCCCATAGACGCCACAGGCGCGTATATATGTAGACATTTAAATGATCCCGCTAACGAAATACGATGGATGGCAGAAACGTTTGGAGCCTACGATGGATGGAGTTGGTTGCTAATTATTTTTCAATATTAACCCCATCCATCTTCCCGAGGCAAGCGTGTCCACTAGCTTTTTTCATAGCCTAGTTTCTTCATCTTCCCGAGGCAAGCGTGCCCACTAGCCTATATGAAAGCTTAGTTTCTACATCTTCCCGAGGCAAGCGTGTCCACTGGTCTATATCAAAGCCTATAGTTTCTACATCTTCCCGAGGCAAGCGTGTCCACTAGTCTATATCAAAGCCTAGTTTCTACGAGACTTTGATAAAAAAGGCAAGTGGACGCTCTTGCCTCGGGAAGATGTACCCCATCATGCCCAGTTCATTCCTCAGAATGTTCTCAACTCTCTCATGAGATATACATATACTGTATTGGCTGTGTGACGTGTGGTGAGTCGTCGACCATCCATGGTCACATCATGTACATTATGTTCAGCTGTGGCAGTTGAAGGTCTACCTGGGCTTAGATCTCCACAACCCATCTCTGAACAATGACACACCCGTGAAGATCCGGGTTAGAATAGGTCTCTTTAGCAATCCATGCTTTCCGAAAGAGACGACTATGCTTGTCGTAAGAGGCGACTAACGGGATCGGGTTGTCAGGCTCGCTGACTTGGTTGATGCATGACATCGTATCCCAATTGCGTAGATCGATGCTTATGATGTCAATCACTGGATTCGATTAATTACAGACCGCAGTATATTGCTGAGTAACGACTGTATTTTTTGCCGACCCCCCACCCCAACCCTCACCCATTTTAATGTAACATTTTTTCATGCACCTCCCCCAACCCTGATATATGAGATTGACCTAGGTGGCGCTAGGACACCAACAAGAAGAAGATAACTCCTGTCATGTGTTTCTCTGGATACCAGCGCTAAGAACAAATTATCTGTAATTCCTCGTAGCTTGTATGCCATTCTCTGAAACTAGCGTCTACTAGGGTAAATACGGTAACATGTATCTTGTGTTCCCAGTCGTGAGGACAGTAAACAGGCGGAGACTTGTAAACCACACTGCTGTGTCACCAACACACTTCCAACTTCCCTTCTTTGTGCCCTACGACGCCCGAAATAACATTTTTGAATATTTAGTTTTGATACAAATGAAATTCTATTCAGATGATAATACATGCAAAATGCAGGTATACGAAACGTTATTTAAAGATGCTTGTTACATGTGTTTGAACAGAGACCATATATCGGTAAATGGTCTCTGGTTTGAAATATGTATAGATCTTTAGTCGAAATAACTGCTCGCTTGTGGTACACGTGTATTAAATATTCTTGAGCGTGACACTGTGTTTGAAACGAGGACTGGGGGACACGGATGGCCCAGTGGTCTAAGGCGCCGCGATTCGCTGAGTTGCGTCCCTTGGACACGCCAGAAACCTATGATTGTGGGTTCGAATCCCGGTTCGCCCCGATTATGTTTCTAGGTTTGTCAGCACCATACCCGTGCTCGTGGGTTTCACTTCTGTCTTTCCTCCCACATTAACTCACTCACCCACTCACTGAAACGAGGACTGAATTCATTCCAGTGAACGAGGATTTAAAGGGGGATCGCGCACTCTAAGAACACCATGATGTTCAAACACCATTCTGGTTTTCTGTTACCTCCGATTTCATGATGTAGACTACCTAGTTGACTCTCTAACAGTCCCTGAACCATATTATTTCCCCTTCTGCCCAGCAATTACTGTAATGCTATAGGCCTAAATGAAGCAAGGCTAGATTTCCACTGATTCGGAATCTCCCATCTCACAGAGGCTCCTTTTCAGTTTAAAGGGAGTTGTTTGTTTCTATGAAAATTATATATTTTTAGAGGTTTAGTCTAGACATTTAATTACTCATTACCTCATAGACCCATAAATGATTTTTTTGTCCTAATTTTAAAGGCAAAGCACTGTTTTAATTACACTGTTTACAGTGGCAGAGAGTGAAAATAGGCTCCAGCCGTGGATCATCGTCCCCCTTTAACTCGTAATTGATAATGTCTTTGTCTCTTTAATCGGCGTGTTATATAATACAAACGATATGGGGACTTGCTGCTAGCTTCAGTTGTCGGGGTGAGTTATTGAGTGAGTGAGTTATTGAGTGAGTGAGTGAGTGGGTGAGGTTTTGGTCTATTTTTAGCTTTATCCCCACCATAACACGTCCGGCGACATCAATAATGGGCTTTACATATTGTTTCCATGTGGAAAATGGAGTCATGATCTGTTGTTGTTTTTGTTGTTGTTGTTTAACGCCGCACTCTATGCTATATGACGGCGGTCTGTAAATAATCGGGTCTGGACCAGACAATCCAGTAACTGAATACATGAACATCGATCCACGCAACTGGAATCGATGACATGCATCAACCAAGTCAGCGAGCCTGACCACCCGATCCCGTTAGTCGCCTCTTACGACAAGCATAGTCGCCTTTTACGGCAAGCATGGGTTGCTGAAGACCTATTCTACCCCGGATCTTCACGGGCCAGTCATGATCTGTGCCGTCACTTTCACCCACCGTAAAAGCTCTGGTTAATGAACAAAGTGACATAGTTTTCGTCGCGTTTAGTAATATTCAAGCAAAAGAATGGGGGACATTTGAAAAGGGTTCCACAAACTGTACCCATGGGAATCTGACCCCGGCCTTAGGCGTGAATAGCGAACGCTTTAATCATTGGATTACCCCCATCGTCCCTTAATGAACACATAGAGCCTGACCACCCGATCCCTTAAGTTGTTTATATGCAATAATGTAAAAAATGGAATGCGTTTCGTCAAATACAGTTGAAGCTTAAAATAAATATATTTTAGTCATTAGGTCTTGCAGCTCACATGGGCCCAATTACCCAAATGTTAAGACTATTGTTTCTTACATACTTTAATATAAACTTAAAACAGTTTAAGAGCTAATATCGTTTTGTGCAACCGGGCCCTAGGATCCGACATTTACACGCACGCACGCACGCACGCACGCACGCACGCACGCACGCACGCACGCACGCACGCACGCACGAACGCACACATGACACACGCACACTCGCTCACTCACAAATGATATTCCTCCGCACCAGTCAGTATTCAATCCAGAAATGTGTAATCCGGGCGACGAAACATGACAATAGTATAGGTAAGCTGTTAATTAAGTTAACACTAGCTACACTACCAACCCAAGTTCATCCCACTTCAGAAATCCTCTCCGTCTCGGGTACTTGATGTGAAATATCGCCATGTTGAAGATTCTTCTTCCAGTCTCCTCTTGGTTCTAGTCTTCCCTCGCCCAGTATCTTGTCCTGGGTCGCATCTCCAAAGTCAATATCCTTTGTTTTCCCACTGATAGACACTGAACATATTCAACAATCAATAGCATGCATTATACTCTAAAATGTACGACAAGGCAAAAGGTGAGCAGGGCTCACTTATACCCCCGACTATTCCAACATATTTCTAAGATCAAAACATAAAAAGCAACATTTTCTCAGAAAATCCGCTAATCGAAAGCAAACTTTGCACTGCACCTCTCCTATTGGCATAGAAACTGGAAAAGAATCCATGAAGTAGTTTTCAAGTTATAGGTCGCATTAACGTTGAAATTAACAAAGTTCTAAGTTCTAAACATGAAAAAAATCATATTTCTTTCAGAAAATACACATATCAAAATCAAACTTTGCACTGCAACTCTCCTATTAGTACAAAAAGTGTTCCTTAACTTTTCATGGAAAAGAATCCATGAAGCAGTTCTCAAATTATTGGTTACACGAATGTTTCAAAAAGGTCAAAATGTGAAAAATAGCTGTATGCATCACCCCATCACTACCCCACACATCTGTAACACCCATCCCATCACTACCCCACACATCTATAACACCCATCCCATCACTACCCTACACATCTATAACACCCATCACTACCCTACACATCTATAACACCCATCCCATCACTACCCTACACATCCATAACACCCATCCCATCACTACCCTACACATCCATAACACCCATCCCATCACTACCCTACACATCTGTAACACCCATCCCATCACTACCCTACACATCCATAACACCCATCCCATCACTACCACATACATCTATAACACCCATCCCATCACTACCCCACACATCTATAACACCCATCCCATCACTACCCCACACATCTATAACACCCATCCCATCACTACCCTACACATCCTGAACACCAATCCCATCACTACCCTACACATCTATAACACCCATCCCATCACTACCCTACACATCTATAACACCCATCCCATCACTACCACATACATATATAACACCCATCCCATCACTACCCTACACATCCATAACACCCATCCCATCACTACCACATACATCTATAACACCCATCCCATCACTACCCTACACATCTATAAAACCCATCCCATCACTACCCCACACATCTATAACACCCATCAATACCCTACACATCTATAACACCCATCACTACCCCACACATCTATAACACCCATCACTACCCCACACATCTATAACACCCACCCCATCACTACCCTACACATCTATAACACCCATCACTACCCTACACATCTATAACACCCATCCCATCACTACCCCACACATCTATAACACCCACCCCATCACTACCCCACACATCTATAACACCCATCACTACCCCACACATCTATAACACCCACCCCATCACTACCCTACACATCTATAACACCCATCACTACCCTACACATCTATAACACCCATCCCATCACTACCCTACACATCTTTAACACCCATCACTACCCTACACATCTACAACACCCATCACTACCCTACACATCTATAACACCCATCCCATCACTACCCTACACATCTTTAACACCCATCACTACCCTACACATCTACAACACCCATCACTACCCTACACATCTATAACACCCATCCCATCACTACTCTTCACATCTTTAACACCCATCACTACCCTACACATCTACAACACCCATCACTACCCTACACATCTACAACACCCATCACTACCCCACACATCTATAACATCCATCACTACCCTACACATCTATAACACCCACCCCATCACTACCCTACACATGTATAACATCCATCACTACCCTACACATCTACAACACCCATCCCATCACTACCCCACACATCTATAACATCCATCACTACCCTACACATCTATAACACCCCATCCCATCACTACCCCACACATCTATAACACCCACCCAATCGCTGCCCAACACATCCATAACACCCATCACTACCCTACACATCTATATAACCCACCACATCACTACCCAACACCTATATATCACGCGCCCCATCACTATCTCACACATATATATCACCCACCCCATCACTACCCGCCACATCTATAACATCACACTACCACACACCAGGAAGTAGACCCAACAGTACCTGCGCTCTCCCCTATGACGAGTCCGCGACAGTTTGGCAATACAAGAACATCTGTGCCGAGTGCACTTGTCCCTCGATATACCACATCAAAGTGATCTATCCCCATGTGATACACTGCTACCCCAACCAGTTTCCAGGCTGCCCGCCCCTCATTTGTACACAACAGATCGATAAAAAGCTATAAAACCTGCCCGTGGTTCTACCTAATTATTTCTGGCCAGTTAAACATTTAATATTTTTTTAGGCGTCTGATTTGTGGATACTTCCTCATAAAAACACTGCATGGCAACGTCAAGCCACGAATCATTCGCAGTGTTGGTAGCCAACCATTGTTTCGTGCTGAGGCAAACTGGACGTAATTATGCCCGGTTGTTGGACTCATTAGTAAACTAATAACTATATCTTGATGTCAGGCACGATACAAGTACATTACTATGGACAGAAAGCTGGATATGTAATGTTCTGAATCAATCTTGTTTGGGCGGAATTATTGACTGGGATGAAATGTACATTGATTTGATAACGGTAAAACAAATATGGATAAACGGGCGAATGTAAAGCTGTTGATTACTTAAAACTTTGGTGTACATGTATTTAATATTTAACTATCCATGCATGTTCATGTACTGCCGCGGTTAATGTTCGCGGACAGCTCATCACATCCCAATTGCGTTGATAGATGCTCATGATGTCAATCACTGGATTGTCTGGTCGACAAAAACACACCACCCACCCGCATCCCAATTGTGTGGATAGATGCTCATGATGTCAATCACTGGATTGTCTGGTCGAGTCTCGATGGTTTACAGACCGTAGTCATGTAGCCGGACTATTGCTGAATACGGCGATAAACAACAAACAAACAGCTACGTTAACAGCACATTACTTGAACTGCCACCGGCACTTACCCATATGACACATCATGGTACTACACAATGATATTGACGGTCAAATGTAACGTGTTGTGTGGTAAATGCTGTCTCAAACCTTGAATATGATCACATCTCTACTTACGTTGCACCTTTATCAGTCTGTGTACAATAAAGCCAGTGTTGATTCTGTTGTTAGCCATTGTACTTACCAATAATCACGAAGGCTTCTTTCAATAAGTCACCATAATCCTCATATTGTTACTAGGCGTTAATCCATAATCTCAGCCCCCGTGTCCGAATCACGGACACGCACAAAGCGGGACAAAGCACACAGTCCCTACCCCCACGGGCCGTAGGCTTCACCCCCAGGCAGTCAGGCACACGTTTGGAATGTCCAGATTCAATCCGTCACAGTATTTCCTTCACCATACACGAACATTAGGTGTTTTCGTCTTTCCATTCATCACCCTAGACACCCTTTTTATGTTTGTTTTTTTCATTTGACCAACTGACCACATATGACCAGTTGCGACGTGTAAATATCCCGACTGTAAATGTTCAGAGAGCACATACTGTACGTATCCGTTGCAATTGAAAGGAACAAACCACTTGTCATTTCACTGTCATGCGAACTGGGTAACACTGCCACTCATACCAAGCACAGTGATACTCCACTGATTGATAACCATTTGATTAAGTGGGTGAGATAGGTAAATAAGGCCCGTTACCTAGTCTCGTGCAAGTATTCACAGCCATCGCCTCGAGTTCGTGTTGTGTATTACTGCTTGTACATTTCACTTCTCTTACAGTCAAACCGATCTGCAATGAACAACAAAGCTGTCAATCACGACCAATACCGTTTCGCAACCGACATAGAATAAGAGCTATAACACACAAGCGACAATCAAAACGTTTGCTAATACAAATCATACAAACGTGATATATAAAAAAAAGTTATTGAATTTTGCGACCGTCCATTTCAATACCATCGATATGTGAATGGCAAATGTCAAATAATTTCCAACATTTATGTTTGTCCAACTGTAGTCACGTGACCTTAGAACTAATCGGTAATCCGATAATCTCGTTTTCTTTACTTCTAGTGTCGCCTTCTATAATAACTCACGGTATGGCAGTCGGCTATCACTGTTTATGTCATAAACGTTTTTATGAAAGCATAGGTACGCGCACCGACCCTTGACTAAAGCAGAGCGCCGTGACACAAAGGGTTGCTGGTAGTCAAGTCATTATTGCGGTATTTAGCCGTTCCCCACTCCGTAGAAACGTTCTCTTTTATCTGACATTCAAAGAATAGATTGCCCATGGAAGGCAAATATGCAGTGTCTGATATGTTTATGTTGTTGTTTGTTCGAACACATCGGAGTGTTGTTAGATGACCCCTTGTTGAAAGTCTCGTCATTTATTGGAGATTGCGAGTCCACTGTTTGTACGTGGATCGATTTTATGGTTCTGCCTTATTTATTGGCCTTTGTTATTGGTAACTGAAACTAACAAAATAAGTACCGATAGCATTATGTTTTCTATTTTATTTGCGTTTGTAAACAGTTATGTATTTTCTTGTAAAACACTGTATGTGTGTTAAAAGACAGAAAGTTGTATACCAGTTCAGAAAGGCTTATATAGCGAATAATACACCATGAACCATTACCAGCAGCAGCAGCAGCATCTGCAATATCAACATCAGCAGCACCATTGTCGTCGTCAATATATATGAATATGATAAAAGTAACAATGAAGATATTCCTAATACTGCCACTACTGATAATGATGATGATGTTGACGATGATGGTGGTGGTGGGCATGATGATGGCGACTACGACGACGACGACGATTATGATGTTGATAATGATTACCGTGATGAGCCAGAAGAATCATCCTCCCTAAAACAGTGGCCAATCTCCTTTCTTTAATGGCGAATATCACGAAATGGAGATAAAATCCACTGAATATTTGACTATGTAATGAAATGCACGTTTGCATGTATGACCTGTATGAACGATTTCGGTTTTAGCCGTGAAAGAAAATATCCGACACCAGTCAGTAACACTGTGGCGAGTCCACCTGCTGTAGATGCATTGGTTGGGCATTTATAACTGATAAGAACACTCTCAAGTACGCACTGGTTTAAATCCGTTTGACGTAAACTTTCTTAAAAATAGTTTGGGATTTGAAAAATGAGAAGCAGATTGAAAAGAAAGGTCTTTCACGTCGCACGGTAGAAACAGGCGCGTCAGGGGATATCTATCAGGCTGTAGCAAGCGATAAGGTAGAAACGTTTGTTAGATAAGCTTTCGTCCACACACTTGGTTCACTTCAACGACATTGTCTTCAGTGAGGGATATTAAGCGGTTTAGGGAAATGTGATTATATATATTAGAGAGGCACAAGCTATGGGGATAGGGCTCAACTTGTTTGTCAGATCTAAAGAGCTTAAACGGAAAGTAATACTGAACTGTCGGGTAAAAGAAAGTATACACTTGAAAATTGGATTGGCCCACAACATTACAAATGTTGCTATACTGAAAACAGTCGGGGAAACAGTGCAATACATAACCATCGAATTACCATATCTTGTTTGTTTCATTATAGTATACTTTCATTTGCCCGACAAGTTATTTCGAGATTTGATCAATATTTTACATACGGACTCTTATAAGTTATTTTGACGTAATATCAACTTACTTCGTGTTTTTGTTTATTAATGAAATAACAGTTATTGTTGTTGAGGTGGGAAAAAGACAATTCATGTACAACAGGGAATAATTATTAGTGAATAATGATCTCACAATGAAATGGTGAAGGGAAACACAGCAATATGTAACAGCAACTTTATCAATGTGTCACAGAAGCTACGTGAATACGTCCGAGTAACTATATCACTAAGTCACAGCAACTATGTCACTAAGTCACAGCAACTATGTCACTAAGTCACAGCAACTGTCGATGTGTCACAGCAGCTATGTGGATATGCCACAGCAGTTTTTTGGATATGTCACGGCAGATATGTAACAGTAGCTTTTGTGAATATTTCACAGCAGCTATGTAAAAATATCACAGCAGCTATGTGGATATGTGACAGCAGCTATGTGGATATGCCACAGCAGCTATGTGGATGTCACAGTAGCTATGTGGATATGTCACATCAGCTATGTGGATATGTCACAGCAGCTATGTGGATATGTCACAGCAGCTATGTGGATATGCCACAGCAGCTATGTGGATATGTCACAGCAGCTATGTGGATATGTCACAGCAGCTTTTTTAACCGTGACATTGCCACAGCAACAATGGGTTAGACGAAAATGACCAGCGTGATAATGACTTAAATGTTGTTGTTACTCACTCTCCGCTGCTGTAGTTATTCATAAACACCCAAATGCAACTGAAACAAGACTACTGACCAGATGTTAATCATCAATCTTATTTTAGGAATATGTAACCCAATAAATCCTATTTTATGAATATGTAACCCAATAAATCCTTTCCACTCAAATTTCCAGCATTGGTGTCCGTGTCAGCGACCACTCGGGTCCACTCGGCATATTCCGCTACCTACAAACCTCGGACAGCAGTGGAGTGATGGTTTTGCATGAAATAACTAAAAATATTGCGACGTCAGATCCCGCCACATATAGGTCCTATTACACGACATTCCTTTTTCAAATGTTAAAACCCGCTAGTCTGTAATTATCAGAAACAGGTACACACTTTGATTTAAAGACAAAAGCAAACGGAAAACAATTTGAAAAGTTGTTGCTGGTAGTCAAGTCATTATTCCGGTATTTAGCCGTCTCCCACTCCGTAGAAACTTTGTCTTTTATCTGACATTCAAAGAATAGATTGCCCATGGAAGGCAAATATGCAGTGTCTGATATGTTTATGTTGTTGTTTGTTCGAACACATCGGAGTGTTGTTAGATGACCCCGTGTTGAAAGTCTCGTCATTTATTGGAGATTGCGAGTCCACTGTTTGTACGTGGATTGATTTTATGGTTCTGCCTTATTTATTGGCCTTTGTTATTGGTAATTGAAACTTACAAAATAAGTACCGATAGCATTATGTTTTCTATTTTATTTGCGTTTGTAAACAGTTATGTATTTTCTTGTACAACACTGTATGTGTGTTAAAAGACAGAAAGTTGTATACCAGTTCAGAAAGGCTTATATATAGTGAATAACACACCATGAACCATCACCATCATCAGCAGCAGCATCATCACCATCAACATCAGCAGCACCATTGTCGTCGTCAATATATATGAATATGATAAAAGTAACAATGAAGATATTCCTAATACTGCCACTACTGATAATGATGATTTCGGTACCGGCCGGGACCACTCAGCTTATTCCGCTACCTGCAATACCTCGGACAGCAGTGGAGTGATGGTTTTGCATGAAATAACTAATAATATTGCGACGTCAGATCCCGCCACATATAGGTCCTATAACACGACATTCCTTTTTCAAATGTTAAAACCCGTTAGTCTGTACTTATCAGAAACAGGTACACACTTTGATTTAAAGACAAAAGCAAACGGAAAACAATTTGAAAAGTCATGCGATAGTCACGTGCACGAAATTAGTCCCACTGTGGATTCCTGGCAGTGCCGGCCGAGGTCCAATGTTTGGACTGAACCATGCAGAGTGGGTTAATGATAAGTCATAAAACAATATTGACCCTGTGGTCGATCTATATGATTAATGCCAAATGGTTAATCCTCCGGAGACAAGCCTCATTTTCTTCATAGTGAGTCCGGATTTAGTGTTAATCCCTGATATTGGAGGCCCATTAACCCCCGTCCATGTGAATAGGTGTACATTGATTAACTAGGACAGTGAATGAGTTGATTTGGTGATAAGGGGGAACGGGTGGGTCGGTGGCTTTGCAGAGTTGCGTTCCTTTTAGGCGTACCAGGATCCCGTGGTCGTGGGTTCGAATCCCTCTATAAGGGCTGATTATGACCCTTGGTTTGTCAGCACCATAGCCATAGGTTTCACTTCCGGCTCTCCTCGAAGATTAAACTGAAACGCAATGATTTGTTTCCCATAACAGAAATAAAGAACTGTTCAAAGATCTCCGTCACACACACACATTGCTAATTGTGGCGTAAAACAAACATTCACTTACTTGCCTCGTGAAAATCCGGGTTAGAATTGGTCTTCAGCAACCCGTAAGCGGCAACTAGCGTGATCGGGTGGTCACTGATTTGGTTGATGCATGTCATCGTATTCCATGTGCGTAGGACGATGCTCATGATGTCAGTCACTGGATTGTCTGGTCCAGCTTCTATTCTTTGCAGACTGTCGTCATACAGTTGGAATATTGTTGTGTGCGGCGTCAAACAACAAAGAAAGAAACAAACAAACCTCACTCACTCAGAAAGTCTTATTATCGATAGGCGCACCGCCTCCGTGGTCTTGTGGATAGAGCGTCTTACTTGTTCTTTCTGCGCCTGGCGTTCGGTAAACAAGGACTGGTCGGCTCGGAGTCAGTATACTGTGTCTGAGTGGGGTATCCATGTTAAACAGCAGCATAGTGTCTCAGTGTGCTATCACTATAAAACCTGCATTAGTACGCACTAGCATGTTCATGCACGTCGCAATATAATTGCAATAATCTTGCACTCGGCGTTAAACCCCATTTCACTTCACCTATGGATGAGTATGTATGTGTGAAGGGATTTTATGATGCTACTTGCACGAGGTTCGAAGTCAACGGGTGCCTAGGTTTTCTTGTTGAGTGAGTGAGTTGGGTTACTGCCGCTTTGAACAGTATTCCAGTTTTATCACGGCGTTTCAGCTGAATGTGTCGGATTAATGGGTGAGGAAAACCCGAAATGATGCAGGTCTCAGACATTTACTACTTTGCTGAAACCCACGAGCACGTGCGTGGACCTGACAAACCTAGGTATTCTGGAGGGTGAGCAAAGTATATGACAGTCTCTATGGGAGGGTCATATAAACTGGACAATTTACAATAAAATATAAAGTGACTTGCATTTTGGCTTTTCGGGTTAGGTCATGAAAAGAAAGAACAAGGACTTTGAGAGGGTCATCCCAAAATATATATATTAGGGGAGGGTAATTATTTTCAGTACTTTAGTGCAGCAAAAAAAACTCTGAGATGAGGTAAACAGTAACCTAGATCGAGTATTTTCGTAAACATCGTTCATTAAATAAACGAGACAGTTTGTATCAATTAAATTCACGAAAATGGGTGATCATTCTTTGATAGAGTTAAGGCGAAATTTCGTATATCATCTGTGAATCCGAAATCGTTTTTTCCCGGAACGGAAACAGAAAAGGGAAGATAACTCTAAACCGATGTCGCTAAGAAGCGCCTGAGTGTGTATGTTACGCTTTCTACAGTAAACGGATAAAGGTTTGTATTTCATGAATGTATTGTGAACTCTTCACTGAAGGGAGTGCAACGCATTAACTTCTGACACAACCAATTTTGACAGAGGAAATTGGTAAGGCTCCATTTCAACTGACCGGCATTGTACCAGAGAGCATGCATAATGCACAGGTATAGGCCTAGGCTATATCCTGTTAACAGAATCGTAAAGTTACACCCATACATTCACTGATAATATCTTTGGATCGGTGCCGAGTTTATTTGCTAGTGACGTTGGGAAAACTGCACACCTTCGTCTAAAAACGACATAACGTAACAACGGTAAAACCCACAATTTTCATATTTCACACTATAAAACATGGTAGAAATATTGAATAAAGTATGGAAAAATAACTATAATGGATATATTCTAGACCACACCCAAAACAGAAGAAAGGATAATTACCCCCTGCGAAAACAGACTGGTACAAAATTAACCCTCATGATTAAACAGACTGTACGTCAACATTCTGTTTTTAAAATCATGCATTAAATAATTTCCAAGTGTCACGTCACCTGCATTTCAATTCTCAAATCAAAACAATAGAGCTCTGCATAGCAAAGCCGATAACACAAACACGTTTCCGAGTGAACTAGCTTGTCTTGTTTTCAGTAGAGGCAAATTGAAGAGAAAGCTTGTGTGTTTTTCTTACGTCTGAGTTACAAAAATACTAATTACAAGCTTGATTAGGTTCGAAGCCAGCATTTATCAAAGCCTAGATTACAATATAAATATGTTCTTGGTTGTATGAAGCCAATAATTTTCACTCTCCTACCCGGGGCGGTCGGGTAGCCTAGTGGTTAAAGCTTCACGGGTGGTATAGTATTATGTCAGCTGTTGGTATAAAACAGTATGCGGCATAAAACAACATTCACTCACATTCAGTACTTTGTTTCCAGACTTCTTCAGAGGAAGCATCTACGTGAGTTCAGTATGGCTACCTTAGAGTTGGATCCCATGTTCGTGAAGGCTCTCAAACTGCTACACTCCCGGAGCAAGGACTCGGCTGCTCAACTCAAGGCCATGCTGGACGATGTGATCGCACAGAGGCGGGATCAGAAGGTACAACCCAATTAGGGCCACAACTTTTTATTTTAAGGCTGACAGAATTTTACTTCCCATCAGCTTTTGTTTGTCAAAATATGGAGAAATCTGTGCAGCTCATTATATTTGTATTTGGCATGAAGTTGTTTGGGTACTTGGGTTAAATGGGACAATGAAATGCTAACACTGTTTATACTCAATGGACTAATCTTGTCTGAAAAAATACTCATTAAACATAAAAGTCAATGCTGTAATTATTGTGCTTTTGTTTATCAAAGAAGGCGGACGTTTCTGATGAACAACTTGTATAATAAACTGATTTCTCCGGTTCCTTGAAGTTCATTATGTCCATGTTCTACTGTAGTTACTTCTTGTTATAAACCTTAAAATAATAGGTTTACCTAAGTCAGAGACTGCATGTATACAATTCATTTGAGAAACATCATAAATCATTATCTAAAATGTTTTTCATATAAACAATAATACACTTTTGTATGACTTTTGTAGTTGGATTTGTTTTTCATTTTTCTATTCATGAAAGATGGATAAACATGATAAAAAGGAAAATAAATATGTGTCTAAAAGTGTTCTGGGAATGTTTTAAAAAACCCAAATGGGTTCAGAAAATACTGGACAAAAATAATTTTTAAAAAACCATTTCTGGAAGTCAATGTTTTGTGGTTATGACTTGGAGTAGTGAGCACATAAACAAGGACAGAAATCCCAGGAAGGAAGGATTATTTTCATATTTTTAACTTTTGAACTGCTTCTATGATCCTGTCTGTCTAGGGGGGGTCTAGCGAGTCAGAGAAACCCTCCAAGAACAAACAGGAGGAGGACAGCAGTCGCAAGCGGGATACCGAGAAGAGGAACTTTGAGAAGGTGGGTAACCTACTTGTGTAATGTTCTTGTAACTGATATACCCATGTCATGGGGTGGCTAAGTCGGGTGTCCAGGGCACTACAAGTCGCTATGGGTTTGAATCCCAGATTCGCCCTGATTATGTTTCTCGGTTTGTTAGCGTCAACCCGTGCTGGTGAGTTTCACCAAAGTGGTAAACAATTTGAGGCTTTCTTCCAACATCTAGATGAAATAGTGTTCGAGTCTCATGTTGAGCATTGACTGAAGTGAAACTTGACTTGCCATCAGAGGGGCACAGAGCCATCTGGGCCATGCAGGACACAGTGGTGACTCTTAGCTGTGTAAGGATCCAGTAATGATGGGTTACTGGCGCTGGTGTGTTGCTTACGGCAAATGAGAATGAGAGAATGTTCTTTCATGTTTCCTTCATCTTCCTAAGGCAAGAGAGTTAACTGACTATAAAAGTCCAGTTTCCACCCTTGCCGAACTAGGCTGGTATTATGGAGTTACATTTTGGCTGGACTAACGAGTCTATGCATAGTCCAATCAAAATCGCGCACCGCAATCGAAATCCAGTTCGTAAACTGTCATGCAGATTTTTGGTCGATTGCAGGATTTGCAAAGCATGTGCACCGCCAACTCATTGTCAGCAGATATTTTCCAATTCTTTTCATGTTTTTGATCAAGGTGCTCACTTGATTTGATGCATTTCGCTATGTAAGACCCGTTTTATCACAATATAGATCTTGATTATCGATCAGATCGTCCTGACTGGGCGCCATCATTTTGTGTGAAGCAAACGCAAGTGATACGAGAGAGGGAATCTGATTGGTCCATAGGAGAGGCTTAGAGGGGACATAACTGGTAATAGCCACTGGTGGCGCTACGATCGAGCCCAGTACTTTCAGCCTAGTTCGGCAAGGGTGGAAACTGGACTTTTAAAGTCAGTTAACTCTCTTGCTTCGGGAAGATGTGTTTCCTTGTTAGCTCAATGCGTGAAATTAGAGCATTGTACAGTGAAATAGTCTCAGAATGATGCTGGCCATGTGGGCTAGCGAACCTTAAACTTGTTAAAAGTTACTAGCCAGTTTCAAATTTCACTAGCTTTGACACATGCAAAGGTATCAACCCAAATTGCAAATCATGAGTCGAATAAAGCAAAAAAAAGAAACGCAAAAGTAGTCAAATTGTAAATAACTGACAGAGTGTTACCGACATCCATACAAAATTAGTACCACAAATGAATTGGTCATTTCTGCATGGATTGAGATTGATTTGTGTGGAAAGCATGAGGTACTGCAGAAATTTGGTGAAAAGATGGAAAAATTGAAAAAACACAACCACGGGAGAGCCTGGTTCGGAAATTCACTGCACATGACATGCACGTGCAACATGACTTGTTGGGCAATAAAACGTTTGATTTCGAACAGGAGAATCATCTTCAACTGCAGCCAGGTTTTTCCATGTAGCACCAAGCACCATTACAAGACTGTGGAACCATTATCGGGCACACAGGACAACATGTGACCTTCCTAGATCCGGTCGACCGCGTGTCACTACTAGAGCAAAGGACAGATTCATACGGCTATGTAACTTACGTGAAAGAACTACGTGAAGGTATTTGCGCTAGATGACCAGTTCCAGGTGTCATTTTGACGGACCTGCATCGTCCTCTGCGAAGTCACTGGTGTCAAGGTCACAGTGTATGGCTACAACTGCGATGGAGACAAGTTTGGCTTTGTGATGATTCTTGTTTTTTGCTTTGCCACGGGTAGACATCATGTTTACAGGCGGCGCAGGGAACGTTATGCATGAAACTGCATAGAGGAAGTGGACAGATTTGGTGGTGGTGTAGTGATGTGGGCAGCCATCTCCTACACTGGTAGAACAGACAGGGAATTTAATAATACAACATTACATGGATGAGATTCCTCGGCAACACGTCTTTCACATTATGCAACAAGCAGACGTCATTTTCCAACAAGACAACGTCTGACCACACACAGCAAAATTGACAACAGCCTATTTCAGGAATAGCAACATCCTGCCATTACCCTCCAGGTCTCCAGATTTAAACACTTTCAAACATTTATGGGATGCAGTGGATCAACACGTCAGCAGCAACCACGGAACCTCTGACAGTTGGCACAAGGACTGCAGGCAGAGTGGGTGAACATTCCCAAGGCCACAGTTCGGGATCTGATTGCTTCCATGGGGCGACGATGCCAGTCAGTTTTGGACTCTAATGGTGGCCATACAAGATATTGAGAACAGATGACCTCCACCGTGAAAATCTATTGTTACATGTGTGCCATATAGAACTTGGGTCAATAACAATGATGTGTGCCAGTCTTGAACAATCGATTACTATCTGTTGATTATTTATATGATATATAAAATATACATCAAAAATCACTTTTCGCTTCCTTTTTTGCAGAGTATGTTATGAAGGGGGGTAACACTGATCTCAACTTGGTGCATGTTAGAATTTGAGAAAAAATATGTTATTGCTAAAAAAATAGCACAATGACCTATAGACCAGACTCACTCCGAGTCTGACCTGTTGATTTGTTTGGAGTTATTTCGTACATTGGTTACCATGTAAACCTGTTCTCTTGGCCTTTTATGTTTGTTGGGTGGTCGGGTAGCCTAGTGGTTAAGGCGTTTGCTCGTCACGCTGAAGACCCGGGTTCGATTCCCGACATGGGTGCAATGTGTGAAGCCCATTTCTTATGTCCCCCGTTGTGATATTGCTGGAATATTGCTAAATGCGGCGTGACACAATACTCACTCTCTCACTTTATGTTTGTGACATCGTTGATTTGCTTCAGTTGTCTCAGAATGTGACAGAATCCTCTCAGGATTCTAAGAAACCAAGATTGGACCCTCCGGCACCGACAGAGAAAGAATCGTCCAAGTCTAGTCGGGAGAAGGAGAAGGAGCGAGAGAAGGAGAAACAGAGGAAGGAGAAGGAAGCCAAGGAGAAAGAAAGGAAGGTGCAGGAGAAGAAAGAACGAGAGAGGGAGAAAGCTGAGAAGGAGAGACAGGAGCGAGAGAAGGAGCGAGAGAAGAAGGAAGCAGCAGTGGAGGATGAGTCAACGGATGAAGAGAGAAGCATGGATGCAGATGACTTTGCCTTTGACCTTGGAATATCCTGTGTTGTCTGCAGGTAGGTCAAGGTTGTTCTTAAGGCCTCACAGTTGGACAAATACGTTATTCAGCATTGAAATGGCATGTGATATTTCCGACTATAGTCGCAATGCAGTCTTTTTGTTCTCCAGTGCGGAAATTTCTAGTGAAAAAAATCAGAGGTTTTAAATTAAGCTTTAGAAGTTCTTGGCTTTTCAGTATTTTTGGACCTGCTTCAGTCACATGCCTGGCAATGATTCATGAATGTCCATGTTCTGGGACTGCCATGATTTCACAAAGTAAACTCCCACTATTCTACATAGACTTACAACAGTCTTAGCACTAAGATTGCCTTGGGTAATGAGAGATTACTGTGCATCTAGGGGGCTGCAAGTTGATGTGCATCCTCAGCCAAGCCAGAAACCTTTGACTGGGTTTGAATCAAAGATTTGCCCTGAGTATGTTTCTGGGTTTGTTTGCATGGACCCTTGCTCAGGTGTTTCACCAAAGTGGTCAAAGTCTAAGACTTGCTTCTCTTCAGGCTTTCCTTCCACACAAAGCTGACATGCCATGATATGACTATTCAAAGCAAGGGGGCACGGTAGGCCCAGTTGTCTAAGGCGCCGCGATTCGCTGTGCAGAGTTGCGTCCCTTGGGCATGCCAGAAACCTATCATTGTGGGTTCAAATCCCGGTTCTCCCTGATTATGTTTCTAGGTTTGTCAGCACCATACCCATGCTCGTGGGTTTCACCGAAGTGGTAAACGTCTGAGACCTGCATCACTTCGGGCTTTCCTCCCACATTAAGCTGACACGCCGTGATAGAAATGGAATACTGTTAAAAGCGGCGTTAAACTCAACTCACTCACTCACTATTCAAAGCAGTGTTAAACCAACTTCATTCATTCATGATGGGTAACCAGACTCAGACTGAGCTTCAGGCTGCTATATGGCTATACTGAGAGCGAGAATAACTTTCACCTGGAATATGGGCCACATTCTAAGTTGTATACAGTCAGACTCCCCTAACATCAGCTATCTCTAAACTGACCAGCGGAAATCCTTAAGCTGAGCTCAATATTCTATGGTGATGATGTATGTGTAACAAGTAAGGGTTGCTAATGATAAGTATTGGTTGTCTGTATACATCAAAACAGAGCAATGGCATTTTCACCGTTACATATTCCAGACAGTTTGATGTCAGTTCTGGAAATCAGCTGGTAGAGTGCCAGGAGTGCCACAACCTGTACCACCAGGTGAGTAGAGTGCCACAATCTGTATCACCAGGTGAGTAGAGTGCCACAACCTGTACCACCAGGTGAGTAGAGTGCCACAATCTGTACCACCAGGTGAGTAGAGTGCCCCAACCTGCATCACCAGGTGAGTAGAGTGCCACAACCTGTACCACCAGGTGAGTAGAGTGTCACAACCTGTATCACCAGGTGAGAAGAGTGCCACAATCTGCATCACCAGGTGAGTAGAGTGCCACAATCTGTATCACCAGGTGAGTAGAGCGCGACAACCTGTATCATCAGGTGAGTAGAGTGCCGCAATCTGCATCATCAGGTGGGTAGAGTGCCTCAACCTGTATCACCAGGTGAGTAGAGTGCCACAATCTGTATCACCAGGTGAGTAGAGTGCCACAATCTGTATCACCAGAATACTGCTTGGCTCATCTATGTGTATGCATACATGACTCCTGACAGACTGTTTCCATGGTTACAGGAATGTCACCGTGAGACTATAGTTCATGACAGGTAATGTGAGACTATAGTTCATGACAGGTAATGTGTGACTGTATATAGTTCATGACAGGTAATGTGTGACTGTATATAGTTCATGACAGGTAATGTGAGACTATAGTTCATGACAGGTAATGTGAGACTATAGTTCATGACAGGTAATGTGTGACTGTATATAGTTCATGACAGGTAATGTGTGACTGTATATAGTTCATGACAGGTAATGTGAGACTATAGTTCATGACAGGTAATGTGAGACTATAGTTCATGACAGGTAATGTGAGACTGTATATAGTTCATGACACGTAATGTGCTCATCTATGTGTATGCATACATGACTCCTGACAGACTGTTTCCATGGTTTCAGGAATGTCACCGGCCGCCCGTCACGGAGCAGGACGTGAATGACCCGAGGTTCGTGTGGTACTGTTCTCGGTGTTCCAAGTCCATGAAAAAGATGGTAGGTTTCAGGAGCTCCTAAGAACAACTTCTGCTGTATCTTAGTCTTGAATCTTGTTTCTCATGATCCAATCCCACTGAGAATGTATGTATTTTCATGAGGAGTAATAAATGCCTGATGAGAATGTATGTAGTTTCATGAGGAGTAATATGTGCCTGATGAGAATGTATGTAGTTTCATGAGGAGTAATATGTGCCTGATGAGAATGTATGTATTTTCATGAGGAGTAATGTGTGTCTGGCAAGAATGTATGTATTTTCATAAGGAGTAATGTGTGCCAGGTGAGAATTATGTATTTTCATGAGGGGTAATGTGTGCCTGGCGAGAATGTATGTATTTTCATGAGGAGTAATGTGTGTCTGGCAAGAAGGTATGTATTTTCATGAGGAGTAATGTGTGCCAGGTGAGAATTATGTATTTTCATAAGGAGTAATGTGTGCCAGGTGAGAATTATGCATTTTCATGAGGAATAATGTGTGCCTGGCGAGAAGGTATGTATTTTCATGAGGAGTAATGTGTGTCTGGCAAGAAGGTATGTATTTTCATGAGGGGTAATGTGTGCCAGGTGAGAATTATGTATTTGCATAAGGAGTAATGTGTGCCAGGTGAGTATTATGTATTTTCATGAGGGGTAATGTGTGCCTGGCGAGAAGGTATGTATTTTCATGAGGAGTAATGTGTGTCTGGCAAGAAGGTATGTATTTTCATGAGGAGTAATGTGTGCCAGGTGAGAATAATGTATTTTCATAAGGAGTAATGTGTGCCAGGTGAGAATTATGCATTTTCATGAGGAATAATGTGTGCCTGGCGAGAAGGTATGTATTTTCATGAGGAGTAATGTGTGTCTGGCAAGAAGGTATGTATTTTCATGAGGAGTAATGTGTGTCTGGCAAGAAGGTATGTATTTTCATGAGGAGTAATGTGTGCCAGGTGAGAATTATGTATTTTCATAAGGAGTAATGTGTGCCAGGTGAGAATTATGCATTTTCATGAGGAATAATGTGTGCCTGGCGAGAAGGTATGTATTTTCATGAGGAGTAATGTGTGTCTGGCAAGAAGGTATGTATTTTCATGAGGAGTAATGTGTGTCTGGCAAGAAGGTATGTATTTTCATGAGGAGTAATATGTGCCTGGTGAGAATGTATGTATTTTCATAAGGAGTAATGTGTGCCAGGTGAGAATTACGTATTTTCATGAGGAGTAATATGTACCTGATGAGAATGTATGTATTTTCATAAGGAGTAATATGTACCTGATGAGAATGTATGTATTTTCATAAGGAGTAATATGTGCCTGATGAGAATGTATGTATTTGCATAAGGAGTAATATGTACCTGATGAGAATGTATGTATTTTCATAAGGAGTAATATGTGCCTGATGAGAATGTATGTATTTGCATAAGGAGTAATGTGTGCCAGGTGAGAATTATGTATTTTCATGAGAGGTAATGTGTGCCTGGCGAGAAGGTATGTATTTTCATGAGGAGTAATGTGTGTCTGGCAAGAAGGTATGTATTTTCATGAGAGGTAATGTGTGCCAGGTGAGAATTATGTATTTTCATAAGGAGTAATATGTACCTGATGAGAATGTATGTATTTTCATAACGAGTAATGTGTGTCTGGCAAGAAGGTATGTATTTTCATGAGGAGTAATGTGTGTCTGGCAAGAAGGTATGTATTTTCATGAGAGGTAATGTGTGCCAGGTGAGAATTATGTATTTTCATGAGGAGTAATATGTACCTGATGAGAATGTATGTATTTTCATAAGGAGTAATATGTACCTGATGAGAATGTATGTATTTTCATGAGGAGTAATGTGTGTCTGGCAAGAAGGTATGTATTTTCATGAGGAGTAATGTGTGCCAGGTGAGAATTATATATTTTCATGAGGAGTAATGTGTGCCTGGTTAGAATTATGTATTTTCATGAGGAGTAATGTGTGCCAGGTGAGAATTATGCATTTTCATGAGGAGTAATGTGTGTCTGGCAAGAAGGTATGTATTTTCATGAGGAGTAATGTGTGCCAGGTGAGAATTATGTATTTTCATGAGGAGTAATGTGTGTCTGGCAAAGGGTATGTATTTTCATGAGGAGTAATGTGTGTCTGGCAAGAATGTATGTATTTTCATGAGGAGTAATGTGTGCCAGGTGAGAATTATGCATTTTCATGAGGAGTAATGTGTGTCTGGCAAGAAGGTATGTATTTTCATGAGGAGTAATGTGTGCCAGGTGAGAATTATGTATTTTCATGAGGAGTAATGTGTGCCAGGTGAGAATTATGCATTTTCATGAGGAGTAATGTGTGCCAGGTGAGAATTATGCATTTTCATGAGGAGTAATGTGTGTCTGGCAAGAATGTATGTATTTTCATAAGGAGTAATGTGTGCCAGGTGAGAATTATATATTTTCATGAGGAGTAATGTGTGCCAGGTGAGAATTATGCATTTTCATGAGGAGTAATGTGTGTCTGGCAAGAATGTATGTATTTTCATGAGGAGTAATGTGTGCCAGGTGAGAATTATGCATTTTCATGAGGAGTAATGTGTGTCTGGCAAGAAGGTATGTATTTTCATGAGGAGTAATGTGTGCCAGGTGAGAATTATGTATTTTCATAAGGAGTAATGTGTGCCAGGTGAGAATTATGCATTTTCATGAGGAATAATGTGTGCCTGGCGGTAAGGTATGTATTTTCATGAGGAGTAATGTGTGTCTGGTTAGAATGTATGTATTTTCATGAGGAGTAATGTGTGTCTGGCAAGAAGGTATGTATTTTCATGAGGAGTAATGTGTGTCTGGCAAGAAGGTATGTATTTTCATGAGGAGTAATGTGTGCCAGGTGAGAATTATGCATTTTCATGAGGAATAATGTGTGCCTGGCGGTAAGGTATGTATTTTCATGAGGAGTAATGTGTGTCTGGCGAGAATGTATGTATTTTCATGACAGGTAATGTGTGACTGTATATAGTTCGTGACAGGTATTGTGAGACTGTATATAGTTAATGACAGGTAATGTGTGACTGTTTATAGTTCATGACAGGTAATATGTGACTGTATATAGTTCATGACCTGTAATGTGAGACTGTATATAGTTAATGACAGGTAATGTGTGACTGTTTATAGTTCATGACAGGTAATGTGTGACTGTTTATAGTTCATGACCGGTAATGTGAGGCTATAGTTCATGACAGGTTATGTTTATCTGTTACGCAGCAGGTTTCCAAGCCCTCGAAGCCCAAGTCGTCCTCCTCTGCTGTAGCACAGAGCAAGGAGTCTCCCCCTCTCTTCACCAAGCCCAGCAAGACGGACACCACACCAGCCAATGTGCTGCCTTTTAGGAGAATGGATGCCAAGGTCAGCGTCATTCCTAATATACTGCTTGGATTACAGTCATTTGTCTGTACATTTCATCTCCACTGAATCCATGAGAATGCTTATTAAACTCAGGTTTTCAAATGACATGTTTTCCCCCCATTCTCAAAAAAACATTATCAGCTGATCACAGAGGTAGCGCCGTAGCAAGGGATCGCTGTTGTTGGTAGTTCTTGCAATTCTCTCAAAATACAGTCCCCACGCTTTAAACATCATGTCGGCAACCAATGGAACTGAAATGTCACATGCTTCTTCCCAGCCATGATGTCATCCCAATTTGTTCAAGAGGTCTGATTTTTTAATGTTTTTTTTTATTAACTCCGCACTCAGCAGTATTCCAGCTATAAATAATTGAGTCTGGACCAGACAATCCAGTGATTGACATCATGAGCATCGATCCACGCAATTGGGATACGATGAAATGCATTACTGTCATTTCGTTTCCAAATTTAATTCAATTTGTTATTTGTTGATTTTCAGCAGATATTTTCTGTTATGTGCAAAATTTTGTTTTGACTTGGAGCATGCTCTTACGTTCTCTCAAAAGGCATATTTGGCTTTGGGAGATTAACTTTGGTATGATCTCAGTTTGTGTTGCATTGTTCATCAAAAACTTTTACCTATTCATTTTTGGGTGTATTTTGTGAAATGGCATATCATTATGAAAATATTCATGCTGTTTTCTTGCATCAAAACTTGATATTTAAGTTCCCATATTCTTCTCTTCCCATTATATTGACCTGTTAACTCATGTTAAGCCTTTTAACTGTATTCCCTCCTTGTGACTCACAGACGGCAGCGATCAAGGAGCCGACTACCACCAAGAGTGTCAGCAGTAAGGAGACCGGCAACTCTAAACCTCTCAGTGGCCTCGCAAGTCTGGCAGCTAATCTTGCCGGAAAAACAGAAACAGCCAAACCAAAGGCATCAGAGTCATCCAAGAAAGCTGACAAGTTTAGTTCTAAGCAGGAGTCGATCAAACTGACGTCACAAAAATCAGATTCTGGTAAAACTTCATCACAGAAGTCTGACCATTCAGAGAAGAGTTCCAGTTCTTCAAAATCAGGCTCAGCCAAGTCCTCCAGCTCATCCACAAGTGTCTCATCCAGCGGCGGCAAGCAGTCCGGTAGCTCCGCCCCATCAACAGCTGCAGCCAGCGCCGACAAAAGACTTCAGATGATGAAGAAGAAAGCTGCTGCTAAGTTGCACGAGAAGAAGGTCCACTTGAAATAAAACCAGCAGAATGAGCAAGCAGTGGCGAGCAAGGAAGAGCAAGCACGTAAAGATTGAAGCCTCTCACTACCATGTGTCAGTGTAGCTCAAGACTTGTTAAAATGTTCACTTGTCAAGTGAAAGACTGGTTTGATTACCCACATGGGCACACTATTTGGAGCTCATTGTTTAGGCAAGGGGGTTAGGAGTTAGTCCTGTGCAGTTGCATATGATGCTGAACTCTGTTGGACTCCCCCAGGTGGGTACATCATGGTCAGGTAGGATGGTGGGGTTGCTTGTCATATGCAGTGTGTAGAATTCCACTATGCCAGTGATGCCCCATCACTATACAATTAATGAATATTCCGGAAGTGGAAGCGATAGGATTGACAGCTCGCATCACCCAGCCTAAGATAAGAAAGCACTGTTTTGTCCTACAGCTATTAATTCTTGATGTAATCAGACATTTTTGAAAATGTCTGTGAATTATCAGTAACAATTCTATGGAGTTATTCAGGGATGTTCTCCATGAATTGCTGGCATTCATCTGATCTCTGACAATAAAAATGCAAACAAAGACATATTTCTTATATTTTTATTCATTCTAGTCAATGATAATTGATGCCTGCCTCTTTATGCTCAGTTATCATAAAGGGCAGCCTTATAAAAAATATTTCACAATCAAATGTTCACGGACCCCCTCTGCCGCAAGGACATGGATAAGAATGTACGTGCGTTTGGTCACACAGCAACTACAGACACCTTGCCTGGTACACAGAAGTGGGTCAAGTCTGTGACCTTGCCTGGTACTCAGAAGTGGGTCAAGGCTGTGACCTTGACAGATACATATAAGTGGGTCATGATCACGATAACCTTGCCAATAACACAGAAATAGGCATAAGTCATCTGACCTTACCAATAACACAGAATTGAAGCAGGGTCATGTGACCTTGATGACAACACAAGGTCAAGGACACATGACCTTGCCAGTAACACAGAAGTGGGTCAAGGTCACAACAGCCTGCTATACAGATCTACATTGGTGTTTTGATACACCATCGCTTGTACTACACTAGGGCCCCAGCCTATGACAAGACAGACATTCTGGATATACCTGTTTGATTGGAAGAGATGGACAGTACAGTTCTATTGTTAACACTCTAATAGCCAGGTAATTACATAGATACACATATTTATAAGCCATTACTTCATATAGTGCTCACACTTACTGCTTTGAAAATGCAACATGTGTACAGAGTGGATATTTTAACCAAATGCATCTAAACTCACACGGTCCCCGTTCCCTTCAACCCATTAACTATAAGGCACATATCGCACAATAGTTCATTTCCTGCTACACTGTATGGGAACAGTTATCTCCCTTGTAAAATATACCAGCTTCACTGAAGTAGTCTGCCAATGATGGATGAAGACATTTGGAAGTTACTTTTCAAGTTATTAATAACCCTGGCATCATATTCAAATCTTGAACCAGTGACTTGCTCTACAAACACAGGATATCAAATCATCGTCAGATACAAATTTAATTCGTAACCATGGAAACCAAGGATAAAGGAATCCACCACTTACAATTTTTCCGAGATTCTGTATGGAAATGAACTATTACTACAGTGATATCTGCAAATGAGTTTCCAGGTTAAAGAGTCCGGAGGTCTGGGAAACAAATTAATTTCCTACACAAGAAATATTGAAGTATTTGAAGGAATCATAGATTGCCAACACTGATACCCAGAGAAGTGTGGGTACCATGATACCTGATGAAGTCTGAGTACCTTCTGATTCTCAGTTCCTGTAAGTACTTGTTTCTGGTTGAACAGACCTGGTAGAACATATTTTGCATATATGCAGTGTCTGGTTACCATGGTTACTGGTGGAAGGAGAAATGGTCCTGAGTCATACATTGGCTTGTTGGATGGAACAGTCTGTTGCTTGTGGGATAGAGTTGACATCACTGAAACAAGCAACCTGAAATATTGCTTCCTAAACTGATTATGTTTTAAATGTTGAATAAAAAAACCCATCAAAAGTCTTCAGTAAACATTTCAGAACAAAACCCTAAAATTGTAAAAAATATATTAAAATAATGTATTAAAAAGCAATATATGTCCAATTGAAAATAAGCTTTTATGAATATCCTTTTGTTTGAAGCTTTTATTTCAAGAGTTTGATATTAGAAATCTCAAATCAACCCTGATTTTACAACATTTTCCTGTCCTTTTTTAACCACCTTCATTTTGGTAAATTGACCAAGGAAATCAATAAAAAAAACTAAAAAATATAATATTTATATAAGAAAGTATTTATTTTCATTGCATTAACATAATTGTGTGAAATGATTTCAGCAATATCCCAACATGAACAGACTGAATCGGATGTTACCACAACAAGCTATGGTGTTGATGTTTGACAAATGATGTTTGGCTTCATGAGGCGTGGGTCTCCACCACCAGTAATGTAGCAATGTCCACATATGCACCGAGATATGCACCTTACAAGATGTACAATATTCCAAACAAATATTGTGGATACAACACATTTATCCCATACAAAAGGGTCATCATAACAAGCCATCACATTGCAAAGAGACAATGGCAAGAATGAGATTTAGGCCTATAGCAATGTGGATTCAGTGAGAAATAATATTTGAGAACAAAATTCATATTTGAGAAAAGAAACAGATTTATGAATTAAATCTGCATGGGGAAAAAATAAATAAAGCGTAAAATCTCTTTTAGTTGTACTGCTAAAGGGGCATATTTGGCAAGTAGGCCCAAAACACCTATCTTTAAGTTGTCTCCCTTGTCACAGTTATCTCCCTTGAGCTTGGGACATTTGATTTTGGATTAGTGAGAAAGACAATACAACGTGTACAAAGGGATGTATGTACAGGTGTTGCATATAGAAACTTGATAATTTTATTAATGTCATTTGATTGTGAAATGGAAATTTAAGCAGAGGGAAAACTTGGTTGAACCTAATTTTGTCAGTTATCACACAGCATATAGTGAAGTCTAGGCAGTGGTTTCTATGCAAATGAAAATATCTATGAAACAAAAACATCTATGATATGTTGATTTGATACGCGAATAAATTTAGTGTTGTTATCTCCAGAGAATTGTTTACATTTCTCACTTTTACCAAGAAATGATTCATGAAGAAAAACAAATAAAAAATCAACATCTTTTATGCTTACGCTCATTTGAAAACATGACATTACAGAAAATCAAGTTCAACCTTGTCATTATCCAAATGAAAAGATTCAGACGCTCCAAACCCGTACAAATAATTATGCATCTACCGGTATGCTCAACGATGAAGATGAAGACTGCCCTTTTATCACATTGTCCTTGACATTGGGACAGGGGTTCTAATTCTAACCTACAGGTTTTGCCTTGACAATTACACTCTGAACAATGTAATGAAGACAGATAGCAATTGAACTGAGACACAAAAAGCTGTAATGAACAGTGACTGTTGAAAGAAGTACTTCAAATAGAAGAGAAAAAGTCAATGTAATGGAATTGGATTCTAATGTTCAGTACTATGCTATCTGTGGATAACACAGAACGTTAACATGGTTAACATAGTCAACGGAATGTCTGAATTAGCACCAGTTTGTTGAACCGTCCCAGGGATTTTCACTCTACGAGGTACTGAGCTACGGGGGCAGAAATCTACAAATGATCAAAATATTTCTATATGATTCAAATGAAGTGCATCATCAATACCTCCAGGGTTTGTATACTCTACGTTCCTCCACTGCTGGTGAATACATATAACAGATTTGCAATGTAGTGCAGACAATCTGCTACTGAAAATTAAGCCCTACTTAAATTAGCCCTACCCTGTGCAGGAACTTTGTCAGTACCTGTATACCAATATGTGGTGCAGACAGCATCACAGCTATGACACAAGATACTAGAAATGTCAAGCGAGACATATTTGTGTGATGTAATCTGACCATTGGTGTGAGAACTCATAGGTTTTATGGGAACTGCCTGTCGCTTGATTTGTTGGTAAAATATTATGACCACACCCAAACATCGATATGTAGTCAGTGTTGATGGAAGATCGTAGGTCATACAGACCCATGAAGAATTAATGATGAATGACATGATTATTAGGACTAAATATCTACCAGTGTTTCCAGTTTCTGCTAAATGTGTCTGACTGGTGAATGTGTATTGTCATTTACAGTTCAGCAGATATTTTTCACAAGTTCCCCTTTATAGGTCTTCTTCCTTTGACAGCCCTGCATGTGTTGACTAGAGACACAGGTGCTTAGTCGAGCTGAAGAGTTGCCACCCAATAACAGTCAGTGTTACATTGTGTTACAATCACACTGCAGTCAGTGACTGTTCTTACATTGTGTTACAACCACACTGCAGTCAGTGACTGTTGCTACATTGTGTTACAATCACACTGCAGTCAGCGACTGTTCTTACATTGTGTCACAATCACACTACAGCCAGTGACTACTATTGTTACATTGTGTCACAATCCCACTGCAGTCAGTGACTGTTGCTACATTGTGTTACAATCACACTGCAGTCAGCGACTGTTCTTACATTGTGTCACAATCACACTGCAGTCAGTGACTGTTGCTACATTGTGTCACAATCACACTGACCTCACTGACTTGTGTCATATTGTTACAAGAACATTGCAGTCACTAGCAGTTATGTTACATTGTGTTTCAATCACACTAACATCAGCGACTGTAGTGATACATTGTGTTACAATCACACAGCAGTGTAGGCAGTTGATGGCTATTATGTCACATTGTGACCATGTCCTACAGCTAGCTGGTAAGTGGCACAGCATGTAACTGATTATATAAAGGAAGACTTAATCAGAACACAAGTTTAAAATCAATGACACTTGATAGAGAGGATGCAGAATGGGATGGAATCTGGTCCTATTTGACAAGGAACCATTCAGATGCCCCTTTAGTTTGGTTTTCCTTAAATTCAAGTGTGTGGCTAGATGTGGAAAAGATTACATTCTACCTTTATCAAGAGGTTTTGTTATTACTGATGGTCTGTGGGTTAGTAAACATGCATTACAGTGTGTACATATGTGGTGCCAGCCACTGTGTCTTTGATTCTAATTAAGTCATCACACATGAAACTCATCAACATAGGCTTGTTCAGATGAAGTCTTGTCTCTCATGACCTGCCTCCCTGTAAATTGCCTCACCACAAATATTTGTTTTTTATTGTGTTTTAGTTTTACACACGCTAATGAAAAGGCTTCTTAAACTCAAATTTCATTTTTAAATTAGATGCAAACTTTTTGCAAAAGACATGCCATTCAATCTGTGTCAGATTCCCATATGAACTGAGCTGTGGTCGGCAACATGACCTTGGCCCCCATCTCTCAAAACTTTGAGACACAGGGATCGTGACCAAAGGAACCATGTGTGAGTGAGTTGGGTTTGAACAGTATTTCGCTCATATCATGATGTGTCAGCTTAATGTCGGAGGAAAGCCTGAACGGATGCAGATCTCAGATGTTTACCACTAGATTTCTGGTGTGCCCAAGGGATGCAACTCTGCACATCAAATTGTGGCGCCTTCGACGACAACTGTGCCCCCAAAATCATGAACATTAGAATGATAGTTATTTTTAGAGATTTCTAACCTCTTTCAAAATAAGGAGTTTGAATAAAGTCATGAGAAACAAGACTATTTATATATCTAAACAGACCTTATTGTTGATGAAGTAATTAGCGCCCTCCTGAATGACCTTATAACCATCAAACAGTAACATAAGCACAGACAATTTAACAATTGTGACTGTTCCCTGCCATACAAAACAAACAATGTCAAATTCCAACAAATTCTGGTTTCAAAAACAACCCTGGTGTACATGTATACAAATAAATAGAACTAATATCTTGAGCCCGGCAGATGTACATTTAGGTCTTAAACAGGATATATTATTTTTTCCAAGGAGACAAGAAATATATTGACTTGGGGTTGCAGGATAGAGCTGAGATGGGAGTAACTATGTCCTTAGCGTCATAAATATGAACGAAATTTGTAAAAATACAAAAAATACAAACAATAAACGAACAGACTATGGAGATATGGCATAAATAACGATGCCCTGTCTTCGATGATTACACACAGGGTGAGTTTATTTTAAACACTTGTGCCATTCACATATTCCATCCTCGTCCCAGTGTCATCACAAAGCTTAAGTAACAGATTTCTTGACAAAGCAGCAATAACACATGCAGCCTTCTATACATCCGATATTATAAATAGTCTCCAATAATAAATTTATTCCATACATTTTAATTTCATCATCATGTATCCCATATCCATCTTATAACGAGGGATTAGCACAATGCTCAGTGGTTGAATTCATATGGAGCGTTATATAGAATAGTGTGATAATCTACTTTATATTTTCTACACGATATAGGTCTGCTGTACATACATACAATTACATATACTGAGGAAAAAAAATAGGGGAACAAATTGGGAAGAAAGCTTTGCTTAAAATATGAGCTTCAAGTGAACAAAATTTCACTACATGAAATGTTAGTTTTGTATGTGTTGGTGTCAATCTTCGTCTTCTCGGTGATATGTTTGGTTGATTTGTCAACATGCTGTTCTTCCCAGCCGTTCCCTTATTTCTTTCAATCAGTATAAATGCGATATATTTATAGTTGACTGATCTACTAATCTGGACTCTCCGGAGAAGAGCTAGAAGAAGGGCAGGTAATCAGACATCTGTGTCAGGAAATAAGTTTCTCCACTGTATTTGCACAACTTTTCCTGATATTTCAAAATCACAGTCAGTTTATGGTAACATAGGCCCCCGAATAGAATCTTTTGGTTTCCATTTGTTGTTTGGGATCAGGGGAATTGTTTATCTCTTTTCTTGTGAAGATCGGAAATAGGGATTTTCTTATAGAATAATTTACAAACTTGCAACCTTTAATGAGTTTAGAGTTACCCACCCTTGGTAAGAACGGAAGTTGGGATCAGATGAGATCTGACCTGATCTGGAAAATGACAATGTCAAAAACGAAAACCAAAACACTTTTGGGGGGTGACAATTGATCTTAATAATAGGTGAGTTATATTTACACACTATCAACAAAATATGTATTGTATCCCATGTTAACTGTTTATGAATACTGTTGACTAGCAAAGGGGAATATCCATCTAATCCTTTAACACATTTGTTCAAAATCCCTGATTTCTTTTAGGACAGAAGCCAATACACATACCAGACTGTTCACATAATGATGGCAGGGGCTGCTGTAAACTAAAAATGAGCCCTGATTAGGAATAACTTATTTACTGGCAGTATGTCTTCAAGAGTTCAAGCACACAACATACTGAGCACACAGCAATCTCCGATTTTCACACAATATTGCACATATTCAGGGCCAAGTTGGAAGATGGTTGACAATCAACATTTCAGCCATGAGAAGAAAACAGGACTGTTCAGCCAATCAGATAATGAGGACTGCATTATTTCAGCCAATCATGAAATGAGGACTGATTCACAATCACATGATGAAGACTACTTTATCTCAGCCAATCAAATAAAGACTGCTTTATTTCAGCCAATCAGGTGATAATGCCTGAATCATATAAGCCAATCAAGTGACAAAGACTGGATCAATTCAGCTAATCATACTGTAATAGACTTGGTACAAATGGTTCTGTTTTTGCAGCTTTCAGCTTAATTTGTCAGCCAGGTTACCATGGTCACGGAGATGGAAATCTTATGTTTATATTTTCTGGTCAGTGAATTCATATCACTATGCTTTGCCACTCACAAATAAAAATCACTCTGAGTTTATCATATTTCTTGTATGATTATCATTACTTGAAATAATGAAAGGTAAATAATAAAAAGTTCATAAAACAAAGTTAAAAATAAAGACAGACTAAAACTCTTATCCTGATTAAATATCAGAGTTGTTGTCCTAGAGGAAGAATCTTCATCACTAAGACAACGAGAGCCTGGGCAGTTCCTTGGAAACACTTAAATTCCTTTTTTTGATTGTTGTAGGGACGCTTATCTACGCTTCAAATTGCAGATACTTATCTGCAGGCCAAGCTCATATTCACAGGCAATGCTCCCTTTAACAGATATCTCGGAAAACATCTACTGTATGACCTGCTGTCACGTTTTCTCACAGCCCAATTGACCATACTTTTACTGCTGTCAAAATATATGTTTATCTTTTTCATCAGCGCTTACTTGAACCATCCTGGCATAGAAGAATCTGCTATTTTTGTAGTCGTGATTGGATGTAAGGCAATCTGAGAATAATGTTTAGAAAATAGACAAATAAAATACAAAGTTAATCTATTGCTTCTTTTCTAACAGAGATTCCTATCACCTTCAAGAGGGTCCTGATAGGCATGGTCACTTTAGGCATAGGACATTGTCAGTAGCAAGTATGACATTGAGTCAGTAGGCAGTAGGACATTGAGTCAGTAGGCACTAGAACATCAAGTCAGAAGGACATTTAGTCAGTAGGCAGTATGACATTGAGTCAGTAGGCAGTAGGACATTGCGTCAGTAGGCAGTATGACATTGAGTCAGTAGGCAGTAGGGCATTGTTTCAGTAGGCAGTAGGACATTAAGTCAGCATGTCGTTGAGTCAGTAGGCAGTATGACATTGAGTAAGTAGAACATCAAGTCAGTAGGACATTGAGTCAGTAGGCAGTAGGGCATTGAGTTAGTAGGCAGTAGGACATTAAGTCAGTAGCTAGCTAGTAGGACACTGAGTCAGTAGGCAATAAGACATTAAGTCAGTATGACATTGAGTCAATAGGCAGTATGACATTGAGTCAGTAGGCAGTAGAACATCAAGTCAGTAGGACATTGAGTCAGTAGGCAGTATGACATTGAGTCAGTAGGCAGTAGAACATCAAGTCAGTAGGACATCAAGTCAGTAGGCAGTAGGGCATTGAGTCAGTAGGCAGTAGGACATTAAGTCAGTAGCTAGCTAGTAGGACACTGAGTCAGTAGGCAATAAGACATTAAGTCAGTATGACATTGAGTCAATAGGCAGTATGACATTGAGTCAGTAGGCAGTAGAACATCAAGTCAGTAGGACATTGAGTCAGTAGCTAGTAGGACATTGAGTCAGTAGGCAGTTGGACATTAAGTCAGTATGACATTGAGTAAGTAGGCATTTGGAATCCTGAGTCACTTGGCATAAGGAACCTGCATACTTAGGCAGTAATAATTTTACTTTGCAAATCGACATGAACATTAATGTCAGCACATGGTTGAACAGCAATATTGATTTCCTTGCAATAAATAATAACAATGGAGTGTTAAAATATAATGAGTCTATTTTCAATTGTAATTTTTCAACTTTTACAATCAGTAATAAATTAATTTAGTATTTCTATAAAAAGTAGTATTTCATCGTCTTTGACAATATAATTGAATGGCAGACCGATCTTACAACAGTGTTTTGAGTCATTCTACACCAGTCACTGAACCCATCAGGACCCTCCCTCATAATCTGTGGGCTGTGTACACATACAAAACAAAATGTTTCCCTCAAGCCTGATCATAATGAATTAATGATAAAATGTTGAGACAGGCACTGGCAGCAGGGTCATCTCAAAACGTCAATGTTCAAAAAGAATACAACAAATCATGTTTGTAAAATTGTTCTCACAATTTGTAAATCACTTTGTGAGACAGCCCTAAAACTGCATGTTGTTTTCCTTTCATCCTTCACAACCTTGTGAGATTGAGTTATCTCCCTTGATCTGAGTTATCTAACTTGAACTGCAGATTCTATAACCGGGTTGAGTTTGTTGTTACAAAAACAATAATGAAAAGTGAAATTACAAACTAGGTTTACTTCTCATTTTAGGTTTTCCTCTAGTCTTGACAAGAAACTGAGTATTAAAAGAAAGAATACAATCATGATTGCCGACCTCGTGGTACACGGATACAGTATGGCTGGTGACATTTGATTGTTGTAGAATTGTGATGTCTCCTGTCTCCTGGTGTAAACTAAGGTTGCATATATTCATAATGCTACAGGGTATCGCATGTAATAAATAGTTGAATGACACCAATGTCGAGTACTACCACTTTTACACAACTACAGGTCAAAGGTTAATGGTTAAAGCTGACCCTAACTGCTTCCAGCCAATGAGAATCAAGATTATCTGATAACCTCAAACCAAATGAGGCATGATATAAACAATGAGTACAGATAATCTCAAACCAGATGACACATGATATAAACAATGTAACAGTGGGGTAGCATGTCCTGATGCATGGATATACACACATATACTCGTGAACCACCTGCTTCAACAGTTGATCCCTGGCTTGACCAATCAGTGTCCAGTAGAACTTAAACTGTCCAATACGAGTCCATTACAGTACACCTGATGTCAGATCCAGTAAAAGTCAAACTGACCAATCTGATTTGAAGGTAAATCAAATCGACCAATCAGGTTCCATTAGAATGGTAACTGTCCAATCAGAATGGAGTATACACCAAGATATAACGTCTTCCCTATACATGGCTATCATCAATAGTTCCTATGTTCTGTGGAGCGGCGTGCCACTGAGTTGTCCGGTGCCCGCCTTGTGTGCTGAGGTGACTGCTGAACGTAGGTCTCTGCAGTTGTCTCCCCTTCTTCCCCGCCCTCACGCCCCTTGCTGTCTTTTGTTCGGAACTTTTTCCGCCATGATGGTGCCCGGCGAAACTTGCCGCCCTCACCCTGTCAAAACATTAAAACTCAATTTCAAAATTAGTCCAAACAGAACTGATGAATGAACCGCAACTGTTTACTCAAACATTTTTCCAATATACATGTTTATCAAATCTTAAATGACTTGTCATGGTACTTATGTCAACACATTTGTTGTGTCAAAAAACAGGTTGCAATGAAAAAGAATATTTACTGAGCAAAAAGAAACAATGTGTTTAGTATATATCTGAAAACTAAAAGGACAAAATTAGCACACACCATTATGATATCACTGATTTGTTTTTATTAAGTGAAATAAATTTCGGACAAATTATGGAATGTCTCTATTCACCCATCTCTAGTAAAGACAAACAAACTAAATATGTTTACATGCGGTAAAAACTGGATTTCTGAACAAAATCGGATAGCAATATATCCCCCTGTTCCGATATAAAACATATTTATCTCGTCTTATATAGAATACATGTATTTAATCTGATAAAGAACAAACCCATTTGGTCTAATGAAGAATATATCCATCTACCGGTAATTTAATGTAGAACATAGCCTGTCTGACATAGAATATATCCCACTAGTCTGATATGGAATATGTCCTTTTGGTCTGATATAGAATATATCCCCTCTAATATGAAAGAGAAAATATCCACCTTGTCTAATACAGAACATATCCATCTAGTCTGATATAGAACATATGAATATATGCAGACAGACGGACATAGAATATATCCTTCCATTGTGATTCTTTAGAAGCAATTTTAGAAACTTTTCTAAATAAGTGATTAATAATACAACAGACCTGATCATTGATTGTTTGAGTGAGTTGGGTTCAACACCGCTTTGAACAGTGAGTATTCCAGTTATATCACGATGTGTCAGCTTAGTGTGGGAGCAAAACCCGAAGTGATGCAGGTGTCAGACGTTTACCACGTGAAACCCCCAAGCATGGGTATGGTGCTGACAAACCTAGAAACATCAACGGGGTGAACCGGGATTCGAACCCATGACCATAGGTTCCTGGCGTGCCCAAGGGACGCAACTCTGCAAAGGATATTGCAGCTCCTGATATGACTGGGCCAACCGTGCCCCACCTGACAAGTGAACCCCATGCAGACTTGGTCATTGTTAGTACACAGTGGGTAGGTACTGAGTGCAACATTTTGTGCAACTTCTCTACTAGTTTCTCCTGGTGTTTTTAACATGCTGTCATTTGAATAAAAAATCTTAAGCCATTCATGTAAACGCATTAGAAAACAAACAAGTTTATACAAAACCATTTGTTAAAATCTATCTTTTCCCTTATTTTGGGCAACTATTTATTGCAGAGATAAAAAGGGTTCATGAAACAGTGTTTATATTATTAAGTCATAGAAACATCTGTTTAGACTTTATCATATCAGAAATCTGAACAGATATGTTTTTCACACTCAAGGGGGATAACTTGTTATCAAACCATCTAAAGAACTCGCTTGACGGTATTGTTTGATATATATATTATAACATTTATAATTTGATGTAAAAATAATTTAAAAAAATTATAAAAAAATCCTAATTAATTAAATGAGAGCAGTTCATTTTCTGAACAAAGCACAGTCTGTTATGAAAGTAATGACCTCTGAAAAAGATTAGGACAGTGTGTCCTTTTACAATTTGTCTGAAACATAGACATCTCACCATCCTATATGTCACATGACTGTCACATGACTTGTATTCAACAACAATCTCAGGTTAACCACCTTGTTTCTCTATTTATCCTCTCAGTTAAGTCATCTTCTGTAGAAAAATTCACATGTTGTAAATCATATAATGAGCAAGTGAACGAATATTGTTTTATGCAAGTCAGTGACATTCCAGTTACAAAATTACTTTGACCCCTGTGGTCATTCTTGGTTAGAATAGGTCTCTGCCAACCTATTGTTGTGATAATAGGCGACTTATTGGTTGGGTGGTCAGACTTGATGTTTTGGTTCTGTGTCACTGTATCCAGACAGCTAAGATGCTGCTCATGATATCAATCACTAGTTTGCCTCATCCAGACTCGATTATTTACAGGCAGCTGGAATATTGGAATATACTAAACAAACAAACATAACTGCTTAGAAAAATTTAAAACCGAACCCAACAAACCAGTGGTTGATATCATGAACAACAATCCACACTGGTGAGGTACACTGACACAACATCAGCCAGTCACCACCTGATTCCAAACTCAAGTCAAAGAAAATCATATTTCTGATTTGTATTTTCATTAAGGAAAAATGGAGTATGATTCCTACATTGTTCTAAAGTATGAGATGAAACATAATTTATTTTAATCATCAAAAGAATGAAAGCTGAAAGTGAAATCAGTGAAACAAGGTAGATAACTCTTTGTACATGCACCATCACTATGGTAACCATGCTAACAAAACTGCAAACATGAAACAAACTAGGGATCAAGTCAGGCGGGGTTAGCGGCAACATGCGTCCTGCACTACTCACGTTATCATGTCAAAATCGCCCAATTTGGCGAAAATAAATTAATGTCAGCTAAGAATACTGAACCCTTTTTTAGTGAAAAAATATCTAAACAAATAGTCAAATATCTATGTGAAGATTTCAGATACAAAAATTTATGACAAATTATGATAATCAGTAACAAATTGCACAAAGTTGCAACACAAATAATAATTAATAATAACTTTAAGGGACAATTAGTAAAAGTGATTTGTTATGACCGGACAGAACAGTCCAAGATTTCAGAAAGTAAAAGTTTTTTTCCAAAAGTCGAAAATAGGTCACTGCAAATTTGTAGAAATTTCAAAGTCAGCAATGACCGGACAGAACAGTCCAAGATTTCAGAAAGTAAAAGTTTTTTTCCAAAAGTCGAAAATAGGTCACTGCAAATTTGTAGAAATTTCAAAGTCAGCAAGAACATAAAACGGCATTACCTGTGGTCTCAAGACACCATCAGGTTGATCAACTATGGCAATAATTCATTTTGAAGATAATTAAAAGACTACTACATTGATGTATATTTCTTTCAAAACACAAAACATGTCTTCTATGATGTAAAAGATAGGTAGAACAATATCATTTCCAATAAGCTCTACTTAACATTTTATTGATATGCAATTTTTGCCATGAAAGGAAAGAAAATTTCAATTTTCTCGAATTATTGACAGCATAACAAAGTGTTGGAAAAAAAAGTTGTTTTAGTGTTTAAGGAAATAGTTTAAAGAAAAACAAACAATGCACAAAACTGTGTCGCTTATTATTCTTATCATTGCTTCATGCCACATATAAAAAAATAGTTCCCTTGCCATCCTAATGAAAACATGACTACTCTTAGTGAAAATCTAAGACTGAGACGTAACCTCTGAAAAATAAGTTCCATTTTAAATGAAGTCATGCTAATCCAACTTCATGTCAATGTCTTAGTGTGAGCAGTTGAAGGGTTCAGTAATTCCAGCAGATGCTCCTAGTTATTGCTGCAGAAATCTGGAGTGAAGTACTGTGCTGTTTAAAAGGCTTGTGATTGAAGCTGTGATGCTACCACAGTGAATCTCGTGTTACACACATATCACAGAATAGACACAATATCAGTGGGATATTCCAAAAGTTGGAATGAACTTAAGTTTGTTAAATATTTAAATCACTACAAACATGTTTATTTATTATGATGAAAATATGTGATAAAGAACTGTCACAATTACTAAAGATATTATTTTTTTGAAAAGTAGTTGCATGGAAATAGTATTTGAAATATCTAAAAGCAGTTGTGTGTGTAACAGTATTATGTCTATTATGTGATACTTCGTCTACACATCCGTTACCTATGTTATCACACCTGACAGCATGGAATAAATCAGGGAAGTCAAAATGTAGACAAGTTTCAAAATGATTCAAAGAGAAATCCCAAAGACAGAAATCAACTTCATTTGCAAATATTTCCCATCAATAAATTCTTCAAATATATTGAAGAACCATGCAAGAATTGTTTTTCAATTCTAACAAATTGCATTTTATGAATATTGCTGAGAACCCAGCAAAGACAGAATTATATTAATAAAAAAAAAAGACAGTTTTTTCATCAAATATAATTCAACTTGAAATAGACATTAAATTGACAAGAAAATGGTTTAAAATAATTCTAAGAATAAAACATATTTCAACATATTGAGAGAGAAAAGTAAGAAATATATGCATATTTGGACTTCAAAGTTCAAATATATTTGATTTCATAAAGATCCAACCAGTTGTCCCACATCCGTCATCACCTGGACACATTGCCGTGCGTGTGCACCTTCACCGAAATGCTAATGACACCCGTAACCTGGTTAAGATTTACCTGTGTAGGAGGGAGTGAGTTTATCACTGTGCGCCACGGCTGAAGAAACATGCACAGCTTATTGCATACCGTGGTTCGTTACGTCTGAATAGTTAATTAATCACCACTGACAAACATTATCACAAACTACATTGTGTTAGGGTTTAAGAAGACATGTTGTGTATCAGGAACAACGATAAAGAAAATACTGGCACACAGTCAGGAAAATCATTGTACAATATTCATGAACTATCAATTCAGACAGATTCACTCTTTTCATATGAAATTCCATTCAAATGTGTCACCCTCATTCAACTCAATTGAAATTGTAAAATATATAAGGGGAGACAACTCAAACAAAATATACTGTTCAAGTATTGCCAAAGTGTGTACATATTAAGTTTGTATTCTTTGAAATAATTTAACAAATTGCTGAACAAAATCTATTCAAATATAATTTTGAAAATACTAAATCATATAAAAACCAAAAATTATTTGGCTATTATATAATTCAATATTATGTTAAAAATCATATTGCAATTTATCAAATTGTTTCATATTTTCTATTTAGATACATTTTGAAAATATCAAATTTAAAAATAAAAACAATCGTACAATTTGTTAATTGTTAAGAAAACAACTTGTAATAACATGAGTAGTGGGTATACAGTCAGGGACTACATGCAGCACAACTAGTTATAGGTTATATCATTACGTAGTGACTACCAGCAGCACATGAGAATGTCATTATTATTACAGAAAAGCTCTCAGATGCAGATTATAGACAGAGTAGATGTAACCGAAGATGCAGATGTTCAATCTGGCGAATATATATGCACTCTATTCTACGGCAGGCAAGTGATATAGAGTTAATTGAAATAAAGATGAATGAAATTTGGATGATTTAGCATCCTCTATATCTCCAGGGCTCGCATTTGGGTAAACCTACACTAATCCCTGGATCCAATCCCGTGGTTCTCAGGATCTCAAATTACCCGCCCTTGATTTTTATTTGCCAATTTGATTTGCTACACCATTCAGTCTAACGGACCAATCAGGATGCGAGTTACAAACTCGACAATGTTGGGTTGGCAATATCAACAACATGGCGGCTAGTCACATGGATTACGATAGAGTCTGTGAGAAATTGAACACTGAAAAACTGATTGACACGCAAAAGAAAGCTCTCAAAAGTTTTCTGGTCGGAAAGGATATCTTCATGTCAAATTCCTTTACCCATTTCCATATCTTGACAAAAAAATATCTTGGGGAAGATGTTAATGAAAATCAAGGGCAGGTAATTTGAGATCGTGAGATTCACTGGAATGGTTCCAGGGTTTAGCTCAGGTTTACCTGGAGATGTAGGGGATGGATGATTCAAATGTCAGTGAGAGAACACAATGGAAGGCTTGCACCCCACACATAGATATCTGGTATAGAGACATCTTGCCTTATTCTAAAAATAATTATTTGATGTGCTGTCAAACTTTTTTAAACTATGAAGTTTCATATTTCTCATATTAAATGTCCTCAATCTGCTCCATTTCTCTACATAGCACCGAGGCAATAACACACTACTTACTGAAGACACCACGGACTCATCTAAGCCTAGGAACTGGCAGCTGGGGATGTGTCACATACCGTATTTACTTACATAAAAAGTGCATCCACCATCCTTGGGTACAAGTTTTGTGAAAAATTGCTGTTTGGTATACAATGCGCAGTAAAAAACAAGATCGACCTGCTTCAGATAAACAAAGCCAAGTAAACAAACATAATGGTGAATTTTCGGATAAAACTTGATCTGATTAGTTTCCTGTCACAGAAGGCGTTTCTCGGGAGGTAAAGATTAAGATTATTGTCTGTAATAATCTTGTAAAATATGCTGAAAATAGTTATCACAAATTGTCCCTCCTGATCTACAGGGGATTCAGTTAAAGAGAAACCAAAAATTAACTCAAAAGAATTTTAATTCAATTACCAGAAGAAATTATATCTGACATTTTCATTGTACCAGGAATATTATATTCAAAAATCTTGTTAATAAGTAATTGCTTTTACTATATATTCAGAATTAAAATAATCATAAGGGTAGCACTTTGGTCTATTACTGGTTATTTTTGAACATGTGGAACAGTTTGACGACGTTGGTCATAAATAAACACAATTTATTTCCACTTAAATTTTCAAACTTAAAAACTGTTTCTTTTCATGCTGTCATATAAAAATATAAAAATATATCATTCAAATGCCCATTTCTCTCTGAAAATGTCTGATAAATGTACTATTGTCCTACTCTTCATATTTTACTCCAATCTTGATACACTACATTTTATCCTGAAAAATATACTATTTTCCTAATCTAACCATTATTACTTTTCTATCCCGTTCAAAATCCACCAGCTGCCAGTCTAACATCACCTGGGAAGAGAGCGCCACTTGGGCGGGGCAGGGCGGCAGAAAACCACCCCACCCCTGTCAGCATACAAGCTGATGACGGCTAGAAACAAGGCGACAGACAGAGTTGAAAGGTCACGCTGAGGTCAGCAGGCGGGCAGGGCAGCAAGGTGAGGGTCAGTTGCTGGATACGATGATGACGCAGACAAAAAATAAGAAAAAGATAACTGACCTACCTCGTCCAGGCGGCGATCAGTGCCGATTGCCAGCAGGTTGTTGAATTCCCGCTCTAAAACTTGCCTAGCCTGAAACAAAAATGGAATTTGTTGTGGGTCACTTTTCCAAAATCCACAAGCTAAGACAAATCTGAATGGAATACGAGAACAAGCAACAATATCATATAAGTATTGTACATGCTTGATTTATGATAACATGTAATTTTTAAATCAATAATTTGTTCCAGAACAATATTAAAAATAAACAAACCTGCCTCAGGTTTTATAATAACAATTAAATTTGATGCCCTAATAAGAGGTTGTGGGATCCCCATAATTGTACTTTTAAAGAAAACATAGCATGATTTGAAGTAACGACAAATAAAAATCTCAACCCCGCCTCCCCCACCATAATACTGAATGGTGGTCCCAAAGAGAACGCAAGGTGACAACAGACTTACTTGTTGGTTTTGTGTGGGTATTTGTAATGCGAGAGCCATGCTGTTGTGATCGAAGCTCTCATCTAGTGCTATAAGTGACCCATGGACTCCTGATTCTAGCAGAGTAGCTGAATATTCACGCAGGCCTATAGACATCGACCATTTGATAACTCGCTCATTAGACCACACCAACACATCTGAAACACAATCACGGGGTGTCAGGAGGCTGGTAGCAATACACACTCAAACACAGTTTCAGGTAATTATTAATATCAGGGATACAAAATACAAACAATCTTTTACATTGCATTAAAGAATTTGTAAGTTGACAAGTCAAAACTATGTGACAATGCTGTGATAATACTCAAGTGATCACATGACACAGGACCCGTTAAAGGACAAACTGTCAAACTCAAAGTCAAATGATCTGTACACATTCATGTAACCCAACATTCTGTATACACGTTGCAAGGTAACATCGCAGTGAGTGAGTGAGTGAGTTTGATTTTATGCCGCTTTTAGCAATATTCCCGCAATATCACGGTGGGGGACACCAGAAATGGGCTTCACACATTGTACCCATATCGGGAATCGAACCCAGGTCTTCGGCGTGACGAGCAAACACTTTAACCACCAGGCTACCCGTTCGCCCCATGAGACACCTGACAGGATGACAGGTGAGAAGGGACATTCTAATCTCACACACTACAACTAGTCTCAATTATATCTGGAGTTAATCCATGAAATGCTGACAATTACTTAAATCCAATGAAGTACTTACCTTTTAATTCATTCGAACTTTCTTCTCTACGCCGTTCTAATTCTTTTCTATCATAGTTTAATTTCTTTAATGAATTTATTCCATACTGTAAGCTTGTTCTGAAAACAAACAAACCAAATGTCAAATATCAACCAAGAATGCACAGGAATACAAACTGATTATCCAAATACAGAGCTCTGGTTTTGTTTAATGCTACGCTCATCAATACTCCATCTACATAATAGCAGACTGTAGATAATCAACTCTTGACAAGACAATCCAGTGATTGATATAATGAGCAGCAATCCATGTAGTTGTATTACAATGACAAGCCGATAATCACTTTCAGCAATATTCCAGCAATATCATGGCAGGGGACACCAGAAATGGGCTTCACACATTGTACCCTTATAGAGGTTTTGGTGTGACGAGCGAATGCCTTACCCACTAGGCTACCCCGCCACCAAGATAATCACTGAGTCTTAACACATGATCTATTTAGTCGCTTCTTACGACAAGCATCGGTTGATGTGGACCTGTTGAAGAATCCCCCAAATGTCAGGAATTCAGGAAGTGGTCCAGTATTACTCATCTTCCCACTTAAGTGAGTGAGTGAGTGAGTGAGTTTGGTTTTACGCCGCTTTTAGCAATATTCCAGCAATATCACGGCGGGGGACACCAGAAATGGGCTTCACACATTGTACCCATGTCGGGATTCGAACCCGGGTCTTCGGCGTGACGAGCTAACGCTTTAACCACTAGGCTACCCGACCCCCCCCCCCCCTCCTTAAGTGATACCCATGAGTCGAGGTAGGGTGCTGACACACCGAGGATCATACTCAGGAACCTCCAGTTCTCCCTCATCCCTTCATCGTTAACTATGAGCTGTTCAAGGCTCCTGACATGCCAAAGGGACGCGACTCTGTACAGCAAATTGTGATCACTTAGACGACAAGGCCACCTGATCACACCTAGGCTGTCAGATCATCACCAGGGTCATAAAGATGTATCAACAAGGGAAAATCAACAATAATTTAAGATCACTACGTAAATTAGTTACAACAGAGTCAGAAGCACATAAATAGTGACACACCGAACACACAGAGAAAGAAATGCACAGACCAATCAGACGATCATCACTCACCTATGGAAACTATCTACCATTTTTAATTGCCCTCTCAGATCTTTTTTGGTGAGGTGATCAAGCATGCGAGCATCGACCAGACACTCCATGAAATGGCTGCGATACTGAGGTAGGCCCAGACTTGGCAACCAGTCGTTCCCGATCCACTCATGGTTCATATCACCAAACGCTAGAGTCTGACAAAGAAATGGAAGCTGGTGTTCACAGATGCTAAACACGCAATAAACGTCTAAATCACAACAAACATCTTGCTTTTCGATCCCAACACTCATGGTTCATATCACAAAACGCTGGACTCATGAGAGACTCAAAGTCACATATATAAAATACAGAGTACCGTATTCGACGTAATAAGCACCCCACTCTAATAAGCGCCCCGTTGATGTTTGCAAATGTATTGGCAAGTGAACAATCCTAATTAGCCTCCCTTCCGATTGATCAATGTACACAAGACTTATTTATTCGGGTTTAATACGCACTCGTGTGTTATATGCACCCTTAATTATGGGTAATTAAATTCTGGAAAAATATATCTGTCGTGTATAATATTCTTTTGTATCATTTCAGGCTGTCAGCATAAACCACAAAATTTACGATCTTTCAACTGTTTTTCTTCACCAAAATTTTATTCTAATAAGGGCGCCCTATTTCTAATTTTGAGGCACTTATTACATTGAATACGGTAATTGTAGTTGTCAGACAAAGAGAAACATGTAAAAAAGAACACTATTATCACTTGTTCTTGTGATACTTTTTAAGGAGCTGGATCACATATTCCTTTCATGATAGAATTTTTATCATTATGACAAACCTTTGACTTTTGTTTATTTGGACAAACCTTAGAAGTTTGATCATTCTGACAAAGCTTAGATTTTTTATCATTCTGACAAACCTTTGATGTTTGTATATTCGGACAAACCTTAGGAGTTTGATAATTCTGACAAACCATAAACAACTTGTGACATAGTACTGATAAAATGATCACAGGACGATGAAGTCTTAAATTCTGTTCAAAACGTAATCTGTCAAGAATTCACACTTACTGTTCGTGAAGTTTTTGGCGCTGAAGGACTTGTTAGGCTAACCATTTCCTGAATGGCTAGTCTGAGTTTGAGCCTATGTAAGGGATTGCTGATACCGATCTCTCGTTGAATCTCCGTGTCGGACAATGCTGACATGATAGCTCCACTTTTGACATTGGCTCGACACGCTGCTACATACCATGCAGGCATCCCTACCCATAACTGAAACAACAATCAGTGGTTAGGACACTAGTAGCTGAAACAACACACAATCAGTAGTTGGGACACTAGTATGACAGTCTTATTCCTACTGTACATCCAAAAATAATGAAAAGAAAAATATCTGACAAAAACACTTATTTTTCTTAATCTAACGAACTCGCACAAACGCATTTGCATAAACCAGACTTAACTATAAAACCAACTAAAATATACAATCTCAACGGTTCAGCAAGATGGTATAGCATTGGACAAAAAAACGTCGCAAGTGAGTGGAAGTGAACTGTTACTTACTTCTAACCAGGCTACAACAGTTGGTCCGTTCCACAAGGCAAAGGGGGTGCCTGCCTTCATGGCCTCTTCCAACAACTCATGTCTGAAAATACAACATTCCTCATGACTGCTTATGTCTGAAAATACAACATTCCTCATGACTACTTATGTCTGAAAATACAACATTCCTCATGACTACTTATTTCTGAAAATACAACATTCCTCATGACTACTTATTTCTGAAAATACAACATTCCTCATGACTACTCATGTCTGAAAATACAACATTCCTCATGACTACTTATGTCTGAAATACAACATTCCTCATGACTACTTATGTCTGAAAATACAACATTCCTCATGACTACTTATAATGATCATCACCCAAAACTTGACTTAATATGTGGGACAAATGTATCAATGTCAGACATGCCAACTCCAATATGTCAAACTATTATTTTATAACCATCATGCTGTCTATATTTGGTGCAAGCCGCCATGACAGATAACAAAAACACCATTGGATTTTTGTTTGAGGCAGGATATTTTTCAGTCCATGCTTCAAAAGACAAAAACAATTTCTTTGAAAGGAAGCTGAATATTTTCTATCTTTCACCACATATTCTTTTCAGGACAGTATGTGAACAATTTTAGTTTTCTTAGTACAAAATATTTAAAATAAAAAAATCTGCAGAATATCAAATGGTCAGTACCTAACCACACCAAAACCTGTTGATTGGCACGCTTGGGAAGCTCAATTGTCCTTCATAAACCAGCAGCTTAGAACCTACTCCTCCAAAACCATGTTCAAAAACAAGTTCAACCTACTTTTTCTTTTTCCTCCTATCAAATTCTGATTGTCCTAGCCCCAGAGTGAGTGCGTCCCCGCTCCCGTCTGTATCGGTGAAGGCCGTAGCACCACGCTCCAACCCCATCGCTTCTTTGGGTTTCTGCTTCTCCTTCTTACTGAAGAACCTCCCTAGCGAACTCTTCAAGCCCTTCTTTTTTGTATGCTTGTGTAGTGAGTCTTGACTGCTGTGCACGCTCCCCATCGGACTTGCTGTCCCGTGAGTAAGTTCGTGCAGTTTGCTACACCTGAAGGGAAATAACTCTTGATTACACATGAGAACAAATACATTCATGGGGACTCCGGGTAAGAATATAGGTCCTAGCAACCTAGGCTTGTTGTAAGAGGTGATTGAATGGATCGGGTGGTCAGGATTGGTGGCTTGGTTGATTGCAGGTCACTGTGTCACAATTACTTGGATCGATGCTCATGACATCAATCACTGGATTGGTCCAGACTTGATTATTTACAGATCTACGTCAGATAGCTAAAATATTGCTGAGCTCAACATTAAACAACCAATAAATGATGCTATGAACCATGGAAACATTAAGGTATTTATAACAAATAGGGATGGGTATTGGAGTTTTAAAGTGTATCACAATATTTTACGATGCACAAGGTCGTATTGTGATACGTATCATGATATATTGCATAATTCTAAATTTTGAATTCAGAATCAGTTTGAAACACCAGTTTTTGAATTGAAGTTTATAAATGGAACAAAACAAGATTATGGTACAACATAATGTTTACTGATTCAATAAATAGGCATGAATGCATGCTCCAGATTCACGCTTTGGGTATTTGGCAAGTGTATAAGATTAAACACATGATAAAATTCTTGAAATCTCCCAATATATCCAGCATTTAGAATGATATTGTGATACGTATCGTGGAGAGAGTGTACCTCAATATACCCATATACCGGTAATACCGTGCACCCTTAATAAGAAATGATTACCTATAATAGCAGGTCCGGGATTTTGAAAAAGGGGGTGGGGTGCAATGTGATGAAGTGACTTCGGTGAGGGTGCAGTTAACATGTAAGGGGTGTGATAGAAAGGGTGTTGTTCACCCCACTCTGGGTCTGCCAGTGATCTATATCTGGTACGATGCTTGTTTGTTTGTTGTTTAACGCCGCACTCAGTGACTTCGGTGAGGGTGCAGTTAACATGTAAGGTGTGTGACAGAAAGGGGGTTGTTCACCCCACTCTGGGTCTGCCAGTGATCTATATCTGGTACGATGCTTGTTTGTTTAACGTTTCACTCCGCAATATTCCAGCAATATGATGGTGGTCTGTAAAAAATTGAGTCGGGACTAGACAATCCAGTGACTGACATCAGCATCGATACACGCAATTGGGATAATATGACATGCATCAACCAAGTCAGCGATCCTGACCACCTGATCCCGTTAGTCGCCTCTTACAACAAGCAAGGATTGTTGAAGAGCTATTCTAACCTAGATCTTCATGGGTCTGGTACTATGGGTAGATGTGGTACCGGTATTTCTTGACAGTTGTGATAGGGGTAGATCTAGAGGTTCATGATTAGGGTAGAGATATACATCTCCTCTACATACTAGTACAAATTTTCTAATTCAAATAATATCTAACCGTACCATGAAAAGTCATATTTATGCATAATCCGTTTTTCAAAATTCATTTCAATTGACAAAATATGAAATCTCCAAAGAAGCTATCTGTAGGCACTTACACCGGTGAGTTGTCTGCACTTTGTTGAGCTAGTGCTCTGGCGACCCGTTCTAACCTCAGTGACCTTGGTGTCGGTGGACTAGACTCGCACTTAATCTGCCGTGTTTCATCCTTACTGCTGAGGGCTGTGTCATCACGACTGTACTGGGGCTTCAAAGACGAAAACATGGGTGTGTAAAATTTCCTTAAAATTTCCCTTCATTCTTATCACACAAACATGTTACCTTCACAAACAGAGATAATCTTAGCATATTCTCCATCAAATCATACGCAATTTATAATAAACAACACTACACATGGTATTACGTATGAATATATACAATTTCTAACACCAAAAATATAATGCTGAAAATAAAATGTTACATTATTTATATCACAGATTTCTGAAAAAAAAATGTGTTAAGATACAGTAACAATTTGACACAATGTATTTTCATGTACCCTGTTACATTGGCTGCGATGTGACCAACTGTCACTATGTATTGACCTACCAAGCTGACCATAGCTACAGTTATCGGCATAATGGCAAACACTCTTAAAGGCATACCAAAATATTTTCACTTACAATAATAAAAAAATAATATTTTTTTTATTTAAATTATTTTTTTTAATATCCAGGTGACTGCATCATAGTGCTTACTTGATGAATAACAAAACATATGAAATCATTGGGACAAATGGTAATTCCTATTCTCGGACATTTAAAAAGTGTCTAAAAAGCATGCCTTTAACAATTCTTGCCACTTACAACCAATCAACCAGTCTAGAATACGCCAACCCTTGTTGCCATAATCGCTATGGTAACGCCTTAGAACCTTCCCAAAGCATTTCTCTTATTTGCGAAGCATATGGCCAAGCCAATGAGTTGCCCTCCCATCTGTGCTACACAGCAATGGTGACTACAGCGATATAGCGAAGCTACTAAGTCGAAACATCTCAGAGGGCAAACCAGCTTCAGGGCAACAATAATGACCACTTCATCAGTTCCCTCCCTTGGATTTCAATTGGCAAAATTAAATCACTTATTGATTTTTGTCTGACAGCTTGCGTCTACTTTGACTTGGCCTGTTTGCACTTCTACTGATAAAATGGTTTAAGAAATGGAGGATGTTCTCTGTAGCTATGATGTACAGAGAGCTACTCTAGGCTCTAGAGCGAGGTCCCTGGGCGGACCCATCTAATCTTCTAGACAGGTGAAACTAAACTGTGTGACTAGTTCTATATAGTCCTGCAAAATAATATTACAACATTGTTACAGAAAACAAAATTTATTTATTTCAAAACATCAATTGCAGAATTTAACCATGCGTGAAATAGTTGCCACATTCCACATTGTGCAGCCATTTTCCTGTACACAACTCAGATAGGCTTTTTTTTTTTAGGAAAAGAAAAATATGTCGGTTTCAAAATATCTTAATATCTTTAATGCAAATATGACCTTTGACCTCAGTCTTTTTGAAATTGTGTTGAATTATACTGAAACTTTACACATGAATTCGTCTAATTGTTTTGGAAAATTATGAATTCAGTTTTTAAACCGATTGAGATATGCAACCTGCTTCACATATCGATCTCCGTTAGCATTAATGTTTTTATCTCCTATTTCTTTTAAAAAATAATAAAGTTACAAATTCTTGCTCCCTTCATCATTTAACTGAAGGATTCAATATCTGTCATCTGATGCTATACATCTTTTACTCCCTACTTCCATGAAACATCTCACATGATATGAGATAATGTCTTACGTCCTGAGACATAATTATTTCTTTCCGTTGATAAAATGAGACACTTTTCTTCCATTCATGAGAGAAGTTCTTTCCGGAGAAAAATAATATTTATTTCAAAAAGAGAGACATGAAGTCTCATGATAAGTTATTTATCCCTTAAACCTGATTTCTTCTGCCTTAAGATCTAATTTTTCTCTCACTGAATGAGACGTGAACCTTTTTGTCCTGATATGAGTTATAGTTATCTTACAAAGATGAAACACATTCTCTCGTTTCTTGTGATATGGTTATTCATCACCATCGCATGAGATCCCTACCCCCTCTGTTCCCCGTTACCCCGAGATACAATATTAATATCGTCTTTTGTGTGAGATACACTGATAAATTCACTCCTACTCTGAGATACATTATATATATACCACCGAGTGAGATGATTCACCCCTACCATGAGATACACCGAGTGAGACAATTCAGCTTTCCTCTGAGATACACTGATAAATTCAATCCTACTCTGAGATACATTATATATCTCCCACCGAGTGAGACGATCCACCTCTACCCTGACATACACTGAGTGAGACATTTTACCCCGGCTCTGAGATATTTACTTATCTCCCGCTGAGTGAGACAATATATATCCGATATACCTGCTGCGCTGCTGCGGAATCAGCAGATGTTGCCAATTGCGGACTAGATGAGGAATAGGTGTACAAGTGGGAGGCAGATATACCCGCTGGTGCCTACAATGACAGGAAAAGGTCCACGTTATCCCACACGCTGGGAGATGCCTGTATCTCACACTGGGAGATACCAACCTTATCGCTCATGCTTGATCTCCACGATCTGTTTTGTCTCAATCAAATACATTTTAACTTTTAGAGCCAATTTTCCAAATCTCATGCAAAACAACTGTGTAAGAGTAGACCTAAAATGATTGAGGCTAATTGTTTGAATTCTCTTTGCAAAGACTTCAGCGAGGACAGGCAGAGCCTGTTTGTTTGGTCTCTACAAATATTAATGACGAAGGTGGAACTTTTGTGCCATTGGTATCCCCCAGATGAGAATTATACGGTATAATGCATGCTTGGGATGCAGTGTTTACAGTGCAACCTAACTATGATTATATTTCATCAGAGACGCTGCTAAAGGGCATAACACTACCAGCATGGGGAATAAACAGACAACACCCTCCCTTATGTCAAGTCTTTGAAAGGCATTTAGACACTTTTATGAATAACAACTTCATCATTTTAACATTTTTTTGCACCTTCTGGCCCATTCATCATGACACTACACCACTTGATGAAGGGGCAAGAAACAGCCCCAAAACACACCAATAAACAATAAAGATATTGTCATCTGTAAAAGATGTCGTGTTTTCACCTCCATTATATCAAGAAAAGAGGCTCTTTGACCGCGAAAAATGAAAATATTCTTCCTCTGTTAAAAGTTATTTAAAAGCTGAAGCCATATATGAAACACTGTTTTTAAAAATCTTTTGAAACCACACAGTATGGTGTATGATTTAAAGAAGGTGTCATTCTTAAAGGGGGTATGCTCGGGCTAATTTACAGACCCAGACTGATATAAGTCTTTCAAAACTAATTCACATCTTATGCTGTCAAGCAATCTATCAGTTAATGACGATCTGACTACACAGAGAAAATGGCTCTGTGTCACAGAGGGTCACAATTCCCATGCTTCAACATCTGGCAGTCGTAGCACTATGACAGCTATGTGGTATGGTCCTAACTTCTACCTGGTAACACAGGGCCAATAAGAGTTGTCTCCCCTTACCCCACCGACCTGCCCCTTCCCCCATGCTGATAGTGGCTGGCAGGGCTCTGTGTGGCTATATATATAAATATACATATACATATAAGTATATCCTTATCTAAGCAGGCAGGTTTATCATGCATGTTACTAGTTAATAATTTTTTTTAACTCATTCTATTGGGACAAAATAATTTACCAAAAATATTTTTTCAATTTGTTTAATACTTTATATGTATTTGTATTCATAATTATTTTAATATTCTCAATTTCAAATGATCAATTTGCAAAAATATATTTAGGTAGGAATTAGTAACACACATCATAAACATTCAAAAAGCTTCTATGAAAAACGATGAAAACATTGCAAAGCTTGTAAATACCATGTTCTATAATGCACTGATTATGCAGTTATATACTTGAGTTCTATTTATTTAACAGCTAGAATATAGGCAAGCGATAAAAAGTTCTTATAGTGCAAGATTCAATATATACTGACAAAAGTGCGTGATATGGATGATTAAATACCGATTTAAGAAATATGCCATGTACACTACCTAGCCAGTACCAGACAATTTTGTTTGAAGGGATTGGTCACGATGTAGGATATATACCTCAACTTTACATGCATATGAAAAAGAAACCTTATTATGGAGTAATATACTGTAATCCTTATGGCTGAACAAAATATTGCTTATGGTCTATCATATCACTGACAGAGTTAATGTTGTTTTATGCCATAGTCACCATTACAAGTACTGCATATGATCTCTTAATATATCAGTGAGTGATTGGGTGAAAGTTGTTTTATGCCATAGTCACCATTACAAGTACTGCATATGACCTCTTAATATGTCAGTGAGTGATTGGGTGAAAGTTGTTTTATGCCATAGTCACCATTACAAATACTGCATATGATCTCTTAATATATCAGTGAGTGATTGGGTGAAAGTTGTTTTATGCCATAGTCACCATTACAAGTACTGCATATGACCTCTTAATATGTCAGTGAGTGATTGGGTGAAAGTTGTTTTATGCCGCAGTATTCCCGCCGTGACAAGGGCCTTTAAGTTCTCAAGCCTCAGCTAGAAAATCCCAGTGTTGGGGTACTATCTCAGGTGTTTACTTTCCAAAATGGAGGCAAATAGGTATATCTGCGATAATTGGTGTGTCAAATTAGTAATTACCAAAATGAATCGGTAAACATTATCAGCATGTGTGACAAAAAGGCCTTGATGAAAATATTATCTCTGAAACATTATTTTTTTCATCCATCATTTTTCTCGCAAAATCGGTAAACCTTCTGATCACAAACTAAAACAAGTGATTATAAATTGATTATAATACCTGATAACTTGAGATATCAATAACATGAGACAATGGAGACCTTTCTGCCCAACTGTTCCCACGATCCAGCTCTCATCAGTTCATTTTTGTATATTTGTTTCGCCAATTCCAAAAATCATCTTTTATAAAACCCTGTTGACAATAAACCAGTAACCATGGTAACACCTCAACATAGCAGCATCATACTCATATAGGCACAGAGTGTATAAGGTTTAAGCCATTACTTTGAAGCAAAGATGACAATAGTGTTACTTGCAAGCAATCTACATGAACATTGTGCAACGTTTTATCATGGACAGGTACAGATACGTCACAATAGCATCTCCTCTTGTATTAGGACAGGAATCAATTGGCTCTATTCATCATTCATAGTCATGATTGCTTTGCTGTTTGTTTGTTGCTTAACGCTGCACTAAGCAATATTCCAGCTATATGGCACCGGTCTGTAAATAATCGAATCTGGACCAGACAATCAAGTGATTGATATCATGAGCATTAATCCACGTAATTGGGATACGTTGACATGCATCAACCAAGTCAGCGAGTCTGACCACTCGATCCCGCTAGTCGCCTCTTACGACAAGCATAGTCGCCTTTACGGCAAGCATGGGTTGCTGAAGACCTATTCTACCCTGGATCTTTACGGATCTTCCTGGATCTTCACGGTTTGCAGTCATATATAGTGACATTGATCAATATGAGATCCCAGGAACATCACCGATTCCACACCAAGTTGACTTAAACTCAGGATTTTATCTAGCATTGCCATGGCAACCACATTGGGAAACAATAATTATTATTTTGTGCAATATTGGAATTTGTTGAATGTTATTACTTTCTTTTGAGATTGATAACTATTTTTTTATCTTTCCATGATAAACAACATGGTTCTATTTAAATAGGATGGCATATCTGATTATATTTTCAAATGTTAAGTGGTATATTATACTGATTATTTTAGCTAAAACATTTAGATGGCTACAGCTGCAAGGCCATTATAAATTAATTATCAGATATTTCTCTCCGCCTGCCACACAACAAAACATCACCCACAATATTTCATTGTACCCAAGTACCTACACATGAAGAAACTGTTCACTTCATTCATTACTTGATGAAATACATAGACTTATCAAATGTGCGCTCCATGTGAACCACCTCCGTTGACAGTATTATACACAGATGCCTAGATCAGTTTGTTTAAAAAAAATTACAACAAACAACATAATGCCTCCTATTTCACTTTTAAATTTTTTTTTAAAAAATTCATGAAAATAGAAATCCATTCATTGCAGGCTAACCATTATTCAGCAATGTTCCCTTTATTTTTTCCATCAGCATACCTATTTCCCACTTTTCAACAGTCCCAAGCTATGAGCATTACGTATACTCAAGGCACAAACAATCCATGAGTGGACCTGTGTGGGCACCAGACCTGCATGGCATATTTCTTAATGTGAGTCTGATGATATAGTAGAGTGCTAGCATGCTACACAGATGAGCACCCTCTCACGACAGCCACATACAACATCGAGGTCAAAGGTCAAAGTCAGGAAGTCATGCTTCAGACAAGTTCAAGGTCACCAAAACAAATTCAAACTGAAGAATATTTTTTTAAAATAAAAATTCAGGCATGCATTTAATTATTTAAGATAATATTTAATGTCCCAAAATACAAAGAGCCTTTAAATGAATGAAAAACATGCTCGCATGCATTTGTAAGAATCAAATTTAAATTTAAATATGCATAAAATAAATGAAAATCAAGAAAAATGATGAAAGATGATTATGATCCTGTGCGACCAGCAGCGAGGTGAAAATATTCAGGTAAATAAATTCAGGTAAATAAAGTCAAATTTCAACTAAAACATCTGGTCAATTTTGTTGCAATAAAATAATTATTTCCATCTAAACTGAAATTTCTTTTAAAAAATTAGAACGAAAATGAGTAAGTATGGCACAAAATACTGAACCAAAGTACAACACGAGAAACGAAACCTTGAGAAAATGGCATGTGACCATTTGGCGACTGGGGGTGGGAAAATGGGCAGGGAGGGGAGGTGACTCAAGCATAAGCGAGACGCATGTCTGAAACGCAAATATAGCAAAATAGACTCGTTGTTAGCAAATTAATATCCAAAGATGTTGGTCATTAAATCTACACAACCACCCCAACATCTCTAAGCAAATAATTCAAAAACAATTCTGGTGTGTAGCAGTTAATTAATAAGTAAGACAAACATTAAGCTTTCTAATGACCATATATTAGTGCAAAAAAGCCAAAATTTACTCAACTATTTGCAAACAGCCAACAAAGATACATTGTTTTAAAATACATTATTAATACAACTGTGTTAATCAATGAAAAAATCTCAACATGCACAATAGTTAACTCGAGCAGTATCGCTAAATGACAAAGCAAATCTGCTTTACCACTTAAGGTCGATACACCATGAACTGACCAGTATTATATCTATACGCCAGAGAGATATTTTCCAAATTTCATCCACAGTATTCCTGTCATATGTTCTGCATACATGTATGAGCTGATATAGGCCAAACATATTGTGAAAATGCACGTTTACAAAACGCATGCATCACAAGATACGCTTTATTTTAGTATTAGTTGACAATACTACCAAATTTAGCAATGGGGGCCACAGTTCACACGATTATTTAAGCAATTAATCATGTCCAATTACGGAAACAGTCTGTTACAGGACAAGTATCACACATGTATGTTTTTAAAAATGACTGCCGACTATAGGTACGAACTATGGACGTGAGGGGATTAAGATTAATTCTAGATTCTTTCGTTGTCACCACGTCACCTGGGCCATTAGGCATGCCAGAAACAAACCAAAAGGAGGGGAAGAACTAAAAATAGCACAGTGCTGGGAAGATTCACAGTCTTCACTCTCGCTCGCACCCTCCACTCATGGCCACCACACACGCACGCTCGGCCGCTGATGACACGATGAGTGAGTATGCTAGACGTCAGCTAGCCCGGCCACGGACTTACGGTGTGGTATTTTTGGAGAATATCTCTCGACTGATATGTTCTGGGCGTGGGCGTTGAGCGCCCGCTGAGAGGGGGAGACGAGCGCTCGTAGCCCTGCGGCCACCTGGTGGCAGCTATAGCATCAAGACTCCCGCTTCCTACCCGACTCTCCAGTTCTTCTGCTCTCTGCTCGGTGCTCTCCTTTTCTTCCTGTATTAACCTGCAACAAAACGTGGTCTCTTAGCGGGAAGAGTCGATACGAGTGAAGGAAGCATTTGGAACAGAATATCAGATATTCTCAAAACGAAGGTAAAGAGGCAGTTCCAAATGGAGAATAATAATGGTTGGTTGTTTGTTTGTTGTTTAACGCTGCACTGAGCAGTATTCCATCTATAGGACGGCAGTCTGTAAATAATCGAGTCTGGATCAGAGAATCCAGTGATTGACATCATGGGCACTGATCCACGCAATTGGGTTCGATGGCATGCATCAACCAAGTCAGCAGGCCTTACGACAAGCATGGGTTGCTGAAGATCAATTATAACCTGGATCTTCGGGGGTATAATAATAATGGCCATATGGAGCCAACATAAGTTTGTTTGTTTGTTGTCACAGTCAGCAATTTTCCAGCTACATCAATACTGTAAATAATCAGATTCTAAACTACAATTCTCACAGTATTTTTTTTAAGGAGAGTGAGTGATTGAGCAGGGGTGAGTTGGTATGGTGTCGGTGGATCTTGGCACAGATAAGGAATACAACTCTGCAAAGTTTGTTGCAGTGCCTTAGACCACGTTTCCCCTCTTTGCCCGAAGATGCAGCCCTGAGGACTGGAGACAAGGGGAGACAACTCACCTAATCTCATTGTTTATTGCATCCAGCTGTTCCTGTAGCATGAGGGCGAGGGTCTGTGCGTCCGTGTGTCCGGTAGGAGACAGCAGATCCACAGCTCCGAATATTGACTCGTTATCATCTGTTCCCTCGGTGTCCGATGTATCAAATGCATGTTGAACGTTCGCCAGCACATGTGCTTGTTGTAGCTTCTCCCATTCTTGTTCATTCAGCGTGTTAACCTGTTGGGATGCCATGTCAAAATTGCTTAAAAAAAGATATTAAATCATGTGACTGGGCACATTTTATTAGAAATAGTGACATCTTTCCTTTGCAAGTGGTTATCAGTCTACCATCCCTCTCCTTACCTTGGACTGGTCAATCAACCCTTTTCCAGACATGGATTGGACCACCACCCCTCTTCCTACCTTGGACGGGTCAGTCACCCTATCACTATCTTTGACTGGTCCGCTTCCCCTATCACCATATGGGAATGGCCCAATCACCACCTTGCACTGGCCCACTACCCCTATCACCACCTTGGACTGGCCCACTACCCCTATCACCACCTTGGACTGGCCCACTACCCCTTTCACCACCTTGGACTGGCCCGATACCCCTATCACCACCTTGGACTGGCCCACTACCCCTATCACCACCTTGGACTGGTCCACTACCCCTGTCACCATTCCTCTCCCCACCTTGGACTGGTCCTCTAGGAGTGCCTGCTCCCGACCACGCTGTACTCTCCTCAACACGCTCTCCTCCACTCCAAGTCCCGTCCTGGAAGAAAACATCATCATCTTCAGCAATAATAACAACGAGATAAGTGTCTGCTTAAATATAATTGTTGGAATTATATAAATCATACTTTAGTATTTACTAAATATGACATTTAAGTCGATAAAACCTGACTGATAACACAATTTTGAGAAATCCAGGGGTCCCTGGGGTCCTCAAATTACACCCTGAACTTGGAACTCAGGAGGTGGTGTCCATGGTTTTGCTGTGTGCTTATTTGAGTTACAGACGAATGTCGTACCTCATAATTTGTTCAATCTGAGCTCGGAGAATCTCCACCTCTTTCCGGTATCTCTGCAGGTCCTCATTGATTCGTTCCTGGAATAGACACATAATGAGAGTCATACCACACAACCATTTCAACAGTGTTAGTTTCAGGTGATCAGAGTGTGAGTGTGAGTGTGAGTGTGTGAGCCTGTGTGTGTTTGTTGGTCAACGTCACTGTGAGTGTGAGTGTGGGAGTGTTTGTGTGTTTGTTGGTCAATGTCTGTCAGTGTGTGAGCCTGTGTGTGTTTGTTGTCAACGTCACTGTGAGTGTCAGTGTGGGAGTGTTTGTGTGTTTGTTGGTCAAGGTCTCTGTCAGTGTGTGAGCCTGTGTGTGTTTGTTGTCAACGTCACTGTGAGTGTGAGTGTGGGAGTGTTTGTGTGTTTGTTGGTCAATGTCTGTCAGTGTGTGAGCCTGTGTGTGTTTGTTGTCAACGTCACTGTGAGTGTCAGTGTGTGAGTGTTTGTGTGTTTGTTGGTCAATGTCTCTGTCAGCGTGTGAGCCTGTGTTTGTTTGTTGGTCACATTCAGCAATATCCCACATATTTGACGGTGCCTGGAAATAATCATGTCTGGGCCAGACAATCGAGTGATTGACATTAACAACAACAACACACAGCATCGAGGTACGATGACACACAAACAACCAAGTCACCGAGTTTGACCATTGTCGCCTCCTATGACCAGCTTAGGTAGTTAACTAATCCTAACTCAGAACCCCAATCGGGTCATTCAAAAAAAGGAAGAGGAAATGCCTCACAAGCAGGATCTTGTTTTTCACAGACACAAGGAAGCATTCATGGTCCACATGAACCACATCAGTGTGATGACTTCCAAAGAAAGCTTTTATAACCTCAGAATTTTGAATTAATTTGGCAAACCAGATGCCTTCCAAGGTCTGTGTGGCCTTTTCGAAAAAACTAGCCTATACTTTACTTCTTAGTAGATTTAACACTTTATAGTATGGGCTGTCATAAGCCAAGATTCCAAACAAGCTTGCCCAAAAGAAATTTACTAGACACATACAGCAGAAGCTCCTCCCACTATCAAGGGTTACTGGAGCCGAAGTTTGCCCCGAAACCACCATGGGATCAGGTGTTGCAAAGGGACATAACTGCATGACCTACCTTCTCCTGCTGCGTGTCGTCGAGGAGTTTCCGGGTGCGGTCGAGCTCCTGCGTCAGCTGGTTCTTCTCCTCGAGTGCCTGCATTCTTTCCTTGAGGTGAAGCTGCAGCCGCTCGTTGCTTTCGGACAACAGTTTGTCCACGGTTGCCGACAGCCGGGCATTATGCTCCTCATTCATTTTCTCACGCTGCCGAGCCTGTCAACATATCCAGATAACACATAGCAGAGATGCCAACATCAGATACAGGCGATCAAAGTATCGGAATAATTGTACATCACTCTCCAATCAATATCACCAAAATGTCCAGCTGTAAGAGGGCAAAAATACAGAATTCCTTGGTAAAACTATATACCCCCGCCCTTTTAGGTTGGGGTTTGATAAAACAAACTAAGAATCTGAGAGTCATTGTGAGAACTCGGATTGGGTTGGGTTCCTAAATTCAAAGAAAGCAGAAACCATCAGGAACAGAGGCCAACCCCAATTTGGAAATGGTTAATACAAGGGTAATAGTAGTGTATAGTTTGTGATGGTCTTACCCGCTGTAGCTCTGAGTCCTTGTCTTGGAGATTAGACTCCAGCTGCTCCAGACGCTCCTGTACCGAACCATGCTGCTCCTCCGCCTGAAACACAGCAGCAGAGTGAGTGAGTGAAACAGCAGCAGAGTGAGTGAGTGAGTGTTTAATGACGTTCTGTAAATAATCAAGTCTGGACCAGACAATCCAGTGATTGACATCATGAGCATCGATCCAAGCAATTGGGTTACAATTACAATTCAATCACATCACCACTCCAAATCAATCGGACCTCTATTTAACAATCAATCACATCTCCACTCCAAATCAATCGGACCTCTATTTAACAATCAATCACATCTCCACTTCACAATCAGTCCGACCTCCATTTACCAATCAATCAGATCTCTATTAGACAATCAATCAGATCTGTATTTAACAATTTATCATCTCTATTTTACAATCAATCAAATCTCCATTTCGCAATCTACTTGATCTCCAGTTACTAATCAATCAGATCTTTAACCAAAATTCAGTCAGATCTCAAATTTTTTTTACAATCGATAAGATCCCCATGTTACAATCAGTGAGTGAATGAGTTGTGTTTTATGCCGCTATTAGCAATATTCCAGTAAAACCCTTCCATGTAACAGTGGATTGTTCCTGTCATGAACTCAACATTGTTTAAAGTGAGTGAGTGAGTGAGTATGGTTTTACGCAGCTTTTAGCAATATTCCAGCAATATCACGGCGGGGGACACCAGAAATGGGCTTCACACATTGTACCCTTGTCGGGAATTGATCGCGGGTCTTTGGGGCGACGAGCGAATGCTTTAACCACTATGCTACCCAACCGCCCCAAACAACATTGTTTAAAACAGCTTAACCAATGGCATCATAGTTCTCCTGTTCAATTACGCAGCAAACATAAAAGTTTTCACAAACGTAACATTTTCAGCCAACTAAATAAAGCCTATCAATTCTATTGACAACAACAATGAGCCGGACTTGAAAACCTTGGGGGTCTGGATCACTGAAACTCTTGAAAATAAACCTCCGCGCTGCGTATTTTCATTTATTTCATTCTCAAAACATTCAAACCCCACTCTAAAACTTTCCAACTAGTGTTCACACATGACCACTGATCCATCATCAGCTTTCGCCATGCCGAACAGACAACACTGTCACAACACATTCACCTTTGTAGTTTATCAATACCAAAATAAATCGCATGAAAATTAATCCTGCTCGCATGTTGACGTGTGTCACCAGGGCCGAGTTCTGGGCATGTGACGTAAAGAAGACACTAATTAGTGCAACTCTTACACCAACCGTCCCACCGAGACAAGTTTCATGGCCAATGTTATCAGCAGGATCTCTCTTCAAAGGCAGCCAATCAATACATTAGCTCATCTCATTGCAGCCTAATGCTACTTGCCTACAGACAACTTCCAAGTCTGTATGTGCACGATAGCCTCCCTGCCGACCAGACTGGGATTGTGATTGCGTAACACCCCAGCCTGCCCTTGGTCATTTGTACTTGTAAATAACTCACAGGTAGTGTGAAAAACTGGTATTGTTTTGCTTTCATTAGGAACTTTGTTTTAAATTGTTTTTACCACAATTGATGTGTGAATAATTGAGTCCTTCTCCTTTGACATGCAGGGGGAATGTCTGATGAGTGCAAGGTGGGGACAGCAGGCGATGAATATTTACAACACCATATCTCATCGTTCTGTCAATAAGATAACATATACTACGTGACTTGCTGCAATTGACAAGTACATCAATGTTTCTATTTGAAAAGATAACGATAGCTGTGATTGCCCTGCTCCAGCAGTGCTATTAGGGATTATTAAGATAGTGAGTCAGTGATGGGTGATATAATCTGTATTACAGGTGTATCATCTATATTACATGGGCATGCAAGGTGTGATGGGGCTGGAGCAGGCAAACCAGTGGTCGATATAGTGACAGCCTATTGTTAATGTTATCTGAGACATGTTCCACAAAAAGATCCCACAACTTTCCCACCACCCACACTTAGATGTAGTCAGTGCTGGGAACTCTTCTTCCAATTGGTATCCTAAAGGGTTGCCCATCCAACAACCATCCACACACTTCCGTCACTGTGACTCTTTCTCTCACAACCATCCACACACTTCCGTTACAGTGACTCTTCCTCTCACAACCATCCACACTCTTCCGTTACTGTGACCCTTCCTCTCACAAACATCCACACTCTTCCGTCACTGTGACTCTTCCTCTCAAAACCATCCACACTCTGCCGTCACTGTGACTCTTCCTCTCACAACCATCGACACTCTTCCGTCACTGTGACTCTTCCTCTCACAACCATCCACACTCTTCCGTCACTGTGACTCTTCCTCTCACAACCATCGACACTCTTCCGTCACTGTGACTCTTCCTCTCACAACCATCCACACTCTTCCGTCACTGTGACTCTTCCTCTCACAACCATCCACACTCTTCCGTTACTGTGACTCTTCCTCTCACAACCATCCACACTCTTCCGTCACTGTGACCCTTCCTCTCACAACCATCGACACTCTTCCGTTACTGTGACTCTTCCTCTCACAACCATCCACACTCTTCCGTCACTGTGACCCTTCCTCTCACAACCATCCACACACTTCCGTTACTGTGACTCTTCTTCTTACAACCATCCACACTCTTCCGTTACTGTGACTCTTCCTCTCACAACCATCCACACACTTCCGTTACTGTGACTCTTCCTCTCACAACCATCCACACACTTCCGTCACTGTGACCCTTCCTCTCACAACCATCCACACTCTTCCGTTACTGTGACTCTTCCTCTCACAACCATCCACACTCTGCCGTCACTGTGACCCTTCCTCTCACAACCATCGACACTCTTCCGTTACTGTGACTCTTCCTCTCACAACCATCCACACTCTTCCGTCACTGTGACCCTTCCTCTCACAACCATCCACACACTTCCGTTACTGTGACTCTTCTTCTTACAACCATCCACACTCTCCCGTTACTGTGACTCTTCCTCTCACAACCATCCACACACTTCCGTTACTGTGACTCTTCCTCTCACAACCATCCACACACTTCCGTCACTGTGACCTTTCCTCTCACAACCATCCACACACTTCCGTTACTGTGACTCTTCCTCTCACAACCATCCACACTCTTCCGTCACTGTGACCCTTCCTCTCACAACCATCCACACACTTCCGTTACTGTGACTCTTCTTCTTACAACCATCCACACTCTTCCGTTACTGTGACTCTTCCTCTCACAACCATCCACACACTTCCGTCACTGTGACTCTTCCTCTCACCACCATCCACACAATTCAGTTAATGTAACTTCCTCTCATCTCACATCCTTCACATCCCACAAGCCTCCACCTGGGTCAGGCCATCCCACAAGCCTCCACTATGTACCTGGGTCAGGCCATCCCACAACCCTCCACTATGTACCTGGGTCAGACCATCCCAAAACCCTCCACTATGTACCTGGGTCAGGCCATCCCACAACCCTCCACTATGTACCTGGGTCAGGCCATCCCACAAGCCTCCACTATGTACCTGGGTCAGGCCATCCAACAAGCCTCCACTATGTACCTGGGTCAGACCATCCCACAACCCTTCCACTATGTACCTGGGTCAGACCATCCAATAACCCTCCACTATGTACCTGGGTCAGGCCATCCCACAACCCTTCCACTATGTACCTGGGTCAGACCATCCCATAACCCTCCACTATGTACCTGGGTCAGGCCATCCCACAAGCCTCCACTATGTACCTGGGTCAGACCATCCCACAACTTTCAACTATGTACCTGGGTCAGGCCATCCCACAACCCTCCACTATGTACCTGGGTCAGGCCATGCCACAACCCTCCACTATGTACCTGGGTCAGGCCATGCCACAACCCTCCACTATGTACCTGGGTCAGGCCATGCCACAACCCTCCACTATGTACCTGGGTCAGACCATCCCATAAGCCTCCACTATGTACCTGGGTCAGGCCATGCCACAACCCTCCACTATGTACCTGGGTCAGGCCATCCCACAACCCTCCACTATGTACCTGGGTCAGGCCATGCCACAACCCTCCACTATGTACCTGGGTCAGGCCATCCCACAAGCCTCCACTATGTACCTGGGTCAGGCCATGCCACAACCCTCCACTATGGGTCTGGGTCAGGCCATGCCACAACCCTCCACTATGTACCTGGGTCAGGCCATGCCACAACCCTCCACTATGTACCTGGGTCAGGCCATGCCATAACCCTCCACTATGTACCTGGGTCAGGCCATGCCACAACCCTCCACTATGTACCTGGGTCAGGCCATGCCACAACCCTCCACTATGTACCTGGGTCAGGCCATGCCACAAACCTCCACTATGTACCTTTGTCAGGCCATCCCACAACCCTCCACTATGTACCTGGGTCAGGCCATCACACAAGCCTCCACTATGTACCTGGGTCAGGCCATCACACAACCCTCCACTATGTACCTTTGTCAGGCCATCCCACAACCCTCCACTATGTACCTGGGTCAGGCCATGCCACAAGCCTCCACTATGTACCTGGGTCAGACCATCCCACAACTTTCAACTATGTACCTGGGTCAGGCCATCCCACAACCCTCCACTATGTACCTGGCTCAGGCCATCCCACAACCCTCCACTATGTACCTGGCTCAGTGCATCCATCCTCTGTTGTAACTGGGCTTCTATTGTCGGCAACACCTCCACCTTCTTCATAGACTGATGAAGCTTCTGCTCCGCCATCTCATATTTCTCTTGGACAGAACGGATCTTCTCCTCATTCTGTAAAGAGGCAGAACAATACTTTACTAGGGAAAAGGATGCTGCTGATAGTTAAGATATAGCAAAATGAAGCGTACATATTTCCATGCATTATGATTGGTATAATTTCCATTACAAGCTCCGCATCAGTGAAATGATACTGTCACTGGTGATATGCCTGTTATTGTCAGTCTTTATCTGGATCTAAGTGTTAGTAGATAAGAGTCTAAAGAGACTTTCTCTATTGGGAGACCAGCATGGACTGCAAGGGACCACTGACTGTAGGAGACCTCTATGGACTACGAGGGACCCCAGTATGGACTACGAGGGACCCCAGTATGGACTACGAGGGACCACTGACTGTGGGGGGACCAGCATGGACTACGAGGGACCACTGACTGGGGGGGGACCAGCATTGATTACGAGGGACCACTGACTGGGGGGGGACCAGCATGGACTACGAGGGACCACTGACTGGGGGGGGACCAGCATGGACTACGAGGGACCACTGACTGTGGGGGGACCAGTATGGACTACGAGGAACCACTGACTGGGGGGGGGGGGACCTGCATGGACTACGAGGGACCACTGACTGGGGGGGGGGACCAGCATGGACTATGAGGGGCCACTGACTGGGGGGACCAGCATGGACTACGAGGTACCACTGACTGTGGGGGGACCAGTATGGACTACGAGGGACCACTGACTGGGGGGGGGGACCAGCATGGACTACGAGGGACCACGGACTGGGGGGGGACCAGCATGGACTACGAGGGACCACTGACTGGGGGGACCAGGGACTGTGGGGGGACCAGTATGGACTACGAAGGACCACTGACTATGTGGGGACCAGGATGGACTATGAGAGACCACTGACTGTGGGGGGGGACCAGTATGGACTACGAGGGACAACTGACTGGGGGGGACCAGCATGGACTACGAGGGACCACTGACTGGGGGGGGACCAGCATGGACTACGAGGGACCACTGACTGGGGGGGGACCAGCATGGACTACGAGGGACCACTGACTGGGGGGGGGGGACCAGTATGGACTATGAGGGGCCACTGACTGGGGGGACCAGCATGGACTACGAGGTACCACTTACTGTGGGGGGACCAGTATGGACTACGAGGGACCACTGACTGGGGGGGACCAGCATGGACTACGAGGGACCACTGACTGGGGGGGGACCAGCATGGACTACGAGGGACCACTGACTGTGGGGGGACCAGTATGGACTACGAGGAACAACTGACTGGGGGGGGAAGACCTGCATGGACTACGAGGGACCACTGACTGGGGGGGGGGGGGACCAGCATGGACTATGAGGGGCCACTGACTGGGGGGACCAGCATGGACTACGAGGTACCACTTACTGTGGGGGGACCAGTATGGACTACGAGGGACCACTTACTGTGGGGGGACCAGCATGGACTATGAGAGACCACTGACTGGGGGGGGACCAGCATGGACTACGAGGGACCACTGACTGTGGGGTGGGGGAAAGGAGAGAGCAACATGGACTTCCAAGGGACTACCGACTGTGGGGGGGGGCACCAGGAACACTTACAGTCTTCAGCTGTGACTCCTTCATGGCCAACTCTGACTCCAGCTTGTCGTTGAGGTCATGTAGCGATGTTGACTCCCGCTGGGCGTTGAGGTACCGCTTCTCTAAAGTTGCTATCCTCTCTTCTTGGTCCTCCTTCTGGGCCTGAGACTACAAAGCAGTCATGTTACAACCACATGTTCATACGCCAACCATACATCATAAATATTGAGTTCTGCATAAATAATGAAAAACAATCACAAAATACAAAGATACGAAGCATTAAAGCTAATCTTTCCAGAGTGAAGATGTGGTGTCAGCCATTAGCCATTATCTAGATATTGTTATCTACAAACTACTCATTATCATTTTTAGACAGGAAAATGAACAACATGAACCAAATGTCAAGCCAACAGTACTTCAGTCAACATAGTGTTCAGATGCAAACTTAGACCAATGACTAAGCCTCTAAAATTTATAATTTTGATAGAAACAAGCAACTACATTTAAATTGAAAACTCAGAACCTGTGGAAAATCTGGACTCGCTTCATTTAGGACTTGAGCATTGTAGTAAAAAAAAATGGAGGAACTGTGAGACAGACTAATGACCCCTTTCCCTAACCTCCGACTGTCCCCCCTTTCCCTCACCTCCGACTGTCCCCCCTTTCCCTCACCTCCGACTGTCCCCCCTTTCCCTCACCTCCAACTGTCCCCCCTTTCCCTCACCTTCGACTGTACCCCCTTTCCCTCACCTCCGACTGTCTCCCCTTTCCCTCACCTCCCAAAGTTCTCCCCTTTCCCTCACCTCCGACTGTCTCTCCTTTCCCTCACCTCCGACTGTCCCCCCTTTCCCTCACCTCCGACTGTCTCCCCTTTCCCTCACCTCCCAAAGTTCTCCCCTTTCCCTCACCTCCGACTGTCCCCCCTTTCCCTCACCTCCCGAAGGTCCCTCTGCAGCTTGACCATCTGTTCCTGAGCTTTGACAAGATCCTTCTGGTTGGTGGTGAAACTCTCGTCTAGTTCGGTGCACTTGTTGGTCAGCTCCAGCATCTTCGTCCGTGCAGATGTCAACTCACTGTTCTGCTTCTCCACTGTTTCCTGGAGCTCGATGACGCGGTTAATGTCCGAATCTGGGTCAATTGACCCATTGGACAATCTCTGAAAGTAGGCATTCTAGGGCTTTGAATAAGACATTGAAACAAACTGACATCTTTCCACTAAATTGGACATTTGTATCCTTAACAGAAATTCTTTAAATTCTGATACAAATTTTTGTGGCTTGTCTTTTAAAGCATATGTCACAGTGCCAGCTATGATGTCTGGTTCCAATGCTAAGAATGAGTCAACAGAATTTTACACATCATAGTCATATATACTTCAGGGATACCATTACAGTCTTTAAGTTTTGTTTGTTTGTTTCGCGATTAATGCCACACTCAGCAATATTTCAGCTATATGATGGTTGTCTGTAAATAATTGAGTCTGGTTCAGACAATCCAGTGATTGACATCATGACCATCAATCCGCGCAATTGGGATAAGATGACATGCATCAACAACGTCAGCGAGTCTGACCACCCGATCCCGTTAGTCGCCTGTAAGTATTCACATTTAACAAAACCAAAGGTCGATAGTGTGAGCATGAACCAATTTTGTCTCAGTACAAGGAGACAATGTGAGTTTGTAAGGTGAGAGAGTGAGTATGGTTTTATGCCACTTTTAGCAATATTCCAGCAATATCACGTCGGGGGACACCAGAAATGGGCTCCACACATTGTACCCATGTGTTGTTCAATATCACCTATCAAAGTACTTTTCACTTGAATAAAGTGGACAATAATATAAAATGACACAAGCCTTATTTTCAGTCATAATACATGTTTGACAATTCCCAGAATTCCACCTACTTTGGGATGTGCCTCCTTTTGATTCTCTTCCTGTGAAGAGTCAGCAGATGATACCTTCCTCAACTTGTCGCCATCTTCCGTACTGCCGCTAGAATGCCGCGACTTGGTCTGCTGTTCACGCAGAGTAAACAACTGAAAACAACAACATTTCAGTGAGTGAGGTTTAATGCTGCCTTAACATTATTTTCATCATATCACTGCATGTCAGCTCAGTGTGGAGAAAGTCCAACGTTATGTGTATCTAACAGACTGAGCATATACTCTCAGAGACCTGGGATTTTTGCTAAAAAAATATCTTCCAGAAAACACATCTCTATGTCTTTACTAGTCTTGTTTTCTCGTGCAAGTCCACTAAGATACTATGCCATAGTTTAACATGGGGTATCTCACTGATGTTCACAGTTCATTGACTCTTAGCCGACCCGTGCTTGTTTTTACCTTCTTTATGCCAAACATCAGGCAAGGAAACAACACATACCAACTATAAATGTTAGAGTGAGTGAGTGAGTGAGTGAGTGAGTGAGTGAGTGAGTGAGTGAGTGAGTGAGTGAGTGAGTGAGTGAGTGAGTGAGTGAGTTGGGTTTAACGCCGCTTTTAACATTATTCCAGTTATATCGCGGCATGTCAGCTTAATGTGGGAGGAAAGCCTGAAGTGATGCAGGTCTCAGACTTTTATCACTTCGGTGAAACCCACGAGCACGGGTATGGTGCTGACAAACCTAGAAACATAATCGGGGGGAACCGGGATTCGAACCCACAATCATAGGTTCTGGCGTGTCCATGGGACGCAACTCTGCATAGCGAATCGCGGTGCCTTAGATGACTGGGCCACCCGTGCCCCCTTATAAATATTCGAGATAGTTGGAACTTAGTTAGTGACGTCACTTCCACATAAGCTATGGTGGATAATAGATCCAGCATATTCATCATAAAAGAATTGACACAAAATACACCATGAAATGAGGATGTGTTACAAAGTGATAAGCAGTATTTTTTCCTTTCTAGTTATGCAATTACTTAATAATATTTGATATTTAAAGTTTTTGCAACACCCAATCCATTACATCGCCTCTTTCAACCAGATTAGATTTCTGGGAACCTACTCTAACCTGGACTCCCCACAGAGTGAGTGAGGATGTTTTTATGGCATTTTAACCAATATTCAAGCAATATCACATGGGATTCTGGTAGTTTTTAACAATTATTGTGTCAAATTGGGAAAAAACATCCAACTTACATAACCTTTCACAATAACATCATCGGAACTAATCAGAATTTCAACAAAATTTCCATACTGTTGACTTTGTAAATGTTTAAACAGATCAACTACTTGTTTCACAATCCATTAGGGCTAGCGTGGCATCACATAGAAAGAAAATGTGAAGACATTATAAAGTATTTTTTTTTTTCAAAATGGAGATTAGATCCAACCATTTTTTACCCTGTGCCTCTAACATGCAGATTTAGCCAGGTCCATTACCAGAGGTTGAAAATAGCAAACAAGAATATCTCGGCATCAAATAACATGCCATTGAAATACACAAGAACGTCATCTCAAAGATGACTAACATCTGCTTTGCTATCAAGCCTCATCAGAAATTAAATTCTTTGGTATATTTATGCCTAAAAGCCTCTGCAAAATTCAAAATTCAATATTCTTTTATTATCTTGTCATTAAAGTGAAAACCAGTAACTCGTAGGCTGTCTTTGCACATAGTCTCATAGGTCTCCCAAAAGATTAATGGAGCTGGCATTCGCCAACCCAATGTCAAGTGCTCGTTAATTTTCATTGTAATAAACATCATGTTGTCAATATGTCAGAGGAACGAATCCTTCCTCCGAGCCAATAAAACACAACTCAAATCTAAATGAAACCACAGCTCGCTCTCTGACGATATTCTTGTTCAGCCACCTGTAAAATTAGTTCAATTTGGTCTCATTTAAAAAAAACACATCAAAGAAGCTGTAGAAATGCATGTCTAATACAGTTCATCAGCCGGGGCTATGGAGGCGAGGCTGTGTTTGATGGTCAGAGTCAAAAGATCGAGGATATTGAGATCTGGATTTCATAAATGTGATGGCACGCGGTTATGATATCTATGCTGCTTGACCGTTGGGCAGAAGTCTATCAGTCACCATCGGATCTCGCTGTTTTTATAAGCTATTATCGCTAATGAGACGCCAACACTTCCAACATGGCAGATTGGCAGTGGCTATCTTGCATGCTTCTTTGAGCAAACACAGCTTTCCGATATGAAGTCAACGAGACAAACGATCGCACACATGGAATTCTACACCCCTTTGTTTGAGCAGACAGTTCCATAAAGCGTCCATTTCCCTCCTGGCGGCATGATACAGATTTGTCACAAAAGCCCAAACTTCCTCCCTGCATGGGCCGACTATTTCCATGGATTTGATGGAATAAGACTCATTTTGGACCGAGAAGCAAATATGGTCATCCTTTGTTTTACCCCAAGGCACGAGTGATTCCTGGTCAGAATTTACACATTTTGGCGGTTTGTTTGAAGAGGGCAGTCGCTACTTGATCAGTATTACGAGAAGTGAATGATATTATTTGATCTTGTCATCAGAATGCATAATGTCATCCATATTGCAGGCGTGGCGTCCATGCACCTCCTCCCTGGACAAAATAGCTGCTGATATGGATCGGTGTCAAGTCAGAAATAAACCCACAAGGGGTATTTATCCATTTATTTTTAATTAGTTAACCGATATCGGAGTCCAGGGCTCCAGTCTAGTTAACTGAGGGGGGAAGGTGAAATGGCGCTTAACGATGCGTAAAAGATTATCGCACTTATATAGCAATGTGCATACACGTGTGTGTGCGTGGTTGCTTGTACTAGACCGGGCTAATACCAGTTTTATAGTGCTAGCCAATTGGGATACTATGCCACAGTTCTAACATGGATAAACCACTCAGACACAGTATACTGACTTCGAGCCAATCCAGCCTTGTTTTATCCCCCAAATCCAAACGTCAGGCAGGAAAACATCAAGAACCATCTTTTAACGTCTTTTGATGTCACACGACCGGGGATTGAACCACTGACTTTCCTCTCTCCGGACAGACACTATATCCACTAGATGATGGAGGTGTCAGTTGATAGGATGAAATGAACATGGGTTTAAAGATCTTGTGTTTAATCAGTTGGGTGGCCCCAAACAAATTTGACATAGGTTTATGTCTAAAGGGTCCTATGGCCCCCAAATATCTCCAAGAGCCAAACGGAAAAACAAAAACAATTTAAAGATACAAGAACAGATTGCTATTTCATCCCTCTCCAAAATGTGAACATTCACTGAAAAATTGTTGACGAAAATACTTACAACAAAACCCAGAAAATTTCCGAAAAACTTTTGTCAACAAAAATCTTTTCAAAAGTTCTAACAGGCATATTCACTTAATCAGCTTGTAAATCAGTTTGCATCACTTAAATATCTAGACAGAATGAGTTTTAAACTCCCGATTTCTTCCATCAACCCATCGTAATCATCCTGATACAAAAAGAATAAAGATCAATTTCTTTCAATTTCATCCCACCCTCTTACAGATTACCAATCAATCTGAAGCAAAATTCATTTTGTCGGCCTTGGAATACATCTTGGTAGCTGAACAACACCAGGGTGAGAAACACAAATCCTGGAGTTTTTTCCCCAGACATCCAAAATGTTTGTGTTGAAATAGTTCTATGTCTGGCATGTTTTTTCAGATAGGATATCAGGCTGTAATAAAAATGAGTACTGCGAAACTTGGGAGATGTGGTCTATACATGATTAATCTGTCAGGGCCTCGAAACTTGGAGAGGTGATGTAACCACCATCATCATCATAACAACAATAATAACAACAATAACATTTGTTATACGCTTAACTCTATACATTAGGTGAATGGTCACAGCACTACATAAAATAGAAGAAAACTCTGCTGATACAAGAATCAAGACAAATAGATGTGTCACTTGGTGTTGATTTTAGATTTGATAATAGAGGCTGAACAGGAATGTCTTTAGACGGGACTTGAAGATTGTTAGAGTTTCTGCTTCTTTCACATGTGATGGGAGATGGTTCCATAGAACTGGAGCATTGTAGGCACATGACCTCTGCCCAGACCTTGTCAGTTTAGTCTTAGGTATACAAAGGAGATGTTTCTCAGCAGAACGGAGGGATCTAGATGGTTCATATGTATATGTATAGATGTATAGATGCCGAATCTGACAGATGTTTGACACTATGCTAGCTGATCAGAAACCAGGTGAGTGTGAGAGTCAGACAGCAGGCTAGCTCTGCATCAAGCAGTATTGCAACCATGTAACTCACTTATCTTGTTTGTTTGTTGTATAACGCACCACTCACAAATATCCCAGCATTATGACGTGGCCTGTAAATAATCAAGTCTGGACTAGGCAATCAAGCCATTGATATTATGAGCAATGATCCACATCGTCAGTGTATGATAACATGCAATTAACCAAGTCACTGAGTCTGGCCACCTGATCCAGGTGCTCGCCTCTTACAACTAGCATAGATTGCTGTCGACCATTAATTATTCTCACCTGGAACCCGCAGGGGGTCACTATCTTGAGGGAATTGGGATTAAATGCCTGTATTTCAGTTATATCGTGGTGTGACAGCTTCATGTGGAAGCCCTAGGTGATTCAGGTCTTGGATATTTGTTTACCCCTTCAGTGAAACCAATAGAATCATAATCAGGGAGTGTGGAATTTCTAGTAGATTTCTTAAAAATCTAGTTTTTACAAACAACACATGTCCAAAATATTCTGCTGAACACACCAACCATAATATTCCATCCTGATCAATACCAACATTTTACATTCTTACCAATATGTTACCTACCACAATTTCCCTTTCTTACCTATATATTACCAACCAAAATTTTCCTTTCTAATCTATACATTACCAACCACAATTTCCCTTTCTAATCTATATATTACCAACCACAATTTCCCTTTCTAATCTATATATTACCAACCACAATTTCCCTTTCTAATCTATACATTACCAACCACAATTTCCCTTTCTAATCTATACATTACCAACCACAATTTCCCTTTCTAATCTATATATTACCAACCACAATTTTCCTTTCTTAC